GGGAATAGCCTCATCAGGGGTCTTGGTATTTGCCGAGAGTCGCCGAGGCTCGCACCGGGCCCAGCCCGTTACAAAAACAGTGATTTAGTGAAACACTCCCCCCGACTTAAGTCAAGTATTTCTAGCGGTCATTGACGCAATTTCCACCAAGGTCACCCTTCTAGCAGTTTCTATGCGCAAATACATCTCAGGATAACTGCAGCCCAGGAAGCCGAGTCCACCGGCCACCACCGCATCTGTATAACTTAAACCAGCCAGCTAGCAAGCGAACCGGCCGCATTCAACCAGCTATGCAAATCAGCGCCCTGATCAAGCACAAACAAAGATCTCCGCGCCTTGCCTGCAGCCCAGCGATTTTACCGTCTTCATACACAGGGCCAGGTCCGGCCACTGGGCCCAGTCCTTCGAGGTTTACGACATCCAAAACCTCTTACGCGCGACAAAAAAATCGAAATCCGAGCCCTGCGCAAGCACTGTAAGTGGGACTACTTGAAGATAGCCCAGGCTACTGGCAAGACAGTCCACCAGGTGCAAGATACCGTAACTGGCCCGCTCACCCCACGAAAATGCGAACGCGGCTGTAAGCTATTTATCAAGACCCTAAGAACGCCCTTCTTGAATTCCTCTGTGCCGACCCCCCACCACCGCAAGCTGCTATGGGCCGATTTGCGGTATTACATCCCTGGCTTTGAGCTCTACGGGGGGTATGCCATTACGACTACGTTCAGCCGGCCGAAGCTGCCTCTCTTTCAACACTGGGTAATGTTGATTATGTATGCTTGAATGGTTTGAAACCATTGAGATTTAGTCCCCTGTCCCGGAGCAACAATCAATTGCTGGACAAGTTCAGTTTACCGAACTGAGGGGCGACGAACGCAGTTCCGACCGGGTGTTTCAGAAACAAAGCGCAAGGCTCAAGGGTCTCCTCAGTAGCTGGCCTTGACTATTCCCAAGCGAGAATGAAGGGGGGAGACAATGTTGACTGCCTTACCGTAGTACGTAGCACACCTTCTTTTCCATTATTATTCCCTGTCGCGGCCTGGCGGAACCCGGAGCCACGTACCTTAGATTTAGTAGGTATGTGCTGTCTGTACTAATTACAAACCACACTTCAGAACAACTCCGACCTCTTCTCAACACATGTGCTTTTCCCATTTACTTGAATGTTCTGCACTGTTGCCGGCGCACCTTTAAGGTCGCTCATTCGTGAAGAAAGGCCCAGACCAGGGGCCCCAGTGAACGGTTCTCTGACGGTGGATGGTGAATGACACTCCCAATCAAGCCGGAGGAAAGCGGGCAAGGTGCCCTCGTAAACCCTATATAATAGCCCAACACCAAGTGTACTGCTGTCGCAAGGCTTCTCGCGTTACTGACGACACATAGCTTACGTCACCACATTTAAGGTACCTTCTGATTTCCTCCTCCAAGTCCCTATTCTCAACTCAAGAATAAGGTTACAGCAGACGAAGTCGGCTAAAATAATCAGCTGGGATTGGAGTGTTAGATGTTAACGTCCAAGCGTAGCATCCACTTGCGGGTCAGACGCGTTATGCCAGCTAGATGAGTGGTGGGTTATCCCGTGACCACTGAAGCGGGGTCAGCATTGTGCCCACGGCGGCACGCTTCCGGGGAAGATGAGGGCAGGATTATCAACACAAGGCGGCTTGCCTCCCCATTTACCGGGACAGTCGTTCGAGATCTACAAGACGTGTAGTCTATTTCTGGACCCCTTCGTGACTGAAGGGATCGACATAGTCGACAACCTCCCAACAGTTTCAGGCTGACGATAAGCATCAGACCGTGACGGTCCAGCCCCAAAACGTCGCGGTCGCCGTGCCCAGGACCCAGTTCGGCAGTTGGAACCGGAGAAGAGCCGCAGGAATGATGGCCAAGATCCTTGGCTTTTTCCGAGCTAATGGATGCCGCAAAAGGGTCTGCCACACAATATACAAGAAACAAGCGTTGGCATATTTGGCCATGCATCGGCAGACACAGCTTGGCTGCGTCAAGTGTGGTTAGAAGTGGGACCCGAGACAACTTTATGAGAGATCTACACCCAGCTTCTAGAAATGGGAATCTCGGAGCAAGCCATTAGCAACCGACCCGGTTCCGGCCAAGGCCGCTCTCCGTTACTGCTGCGGGGGCCGCATCGATCCGCAAGGCGAAGATTCAGGCTAAATGGGCTTTGCCCCTTCATTCGTACCGAATGATGCCGGTGGAGCTACCCCGGCCGCGGCGAGGCCATGTGCCCGCAAGGCCGAGCTGCCGCGTCATCGGGTTTGTGCTGTAAGCGACTAAGACCGCCGGCTACCGTTTCAAGTCTAACTATGTCGCGAACACGCCGGCGGATAATGGCTAACTCCTGCCCTTGGTTTGTTTATGGGGCGGACGGTCCAGAACTCCCTGAGTACCTAGAGCCCCTTGTAAGTGGGGAGAACTAGGCAAGCTAGAAGACAGCCTGTCTCGAGAGTCCATAAAGATGTATATAAACGACCATCTTCTTGCCGCGTCTCCAATTACCAGATCCTACACTCTTCACCTCCTCACCACCAGCGTCCTCCACTTGCCCTACGCACTGCAGGTGACTCCAAAAGCTCCGCAAAATGGTCTCCTTCAAGACTCTTCTCCTCGGCGCCGCTTGTGCCTTCGCCTTCCCCTTCAATGTGACCGAGCTGAGTGAGCTTGCTGCACGAGCCGGCACCCCGAGCGGCACCGGCACCAACAACGGATACTACTACTCGTTCTGGACCGACGGTGGCGGCACCGTCAACTACCAGAACGGTGCCGGTGGGTCTTATAGCGTCCAGTGGCAGAATTGCGGCAACTTTGTTGGCGGCAAGGGATGGTGCGTTCTCTTCCACGTTTCTCTCTTACACACGAAAAAGATGACTAACTCGCACTTCCTCCAGGAACCCCGGCGGCCGGCGCACCATCAACTTCTCGGGCAGCTTTAACCCGCAGGGTAACGGTTACTTGGCCATCTACGGCTGGACGCAGAACCCGCTGGTCGAGTACTACATTGTGGAGTCCTTCGGCACCTACGACCCGTCCTCGCAGGCAACCAAGCTGGGCACCATCACGCAGGACGGCAGCACCTACACCATCGCCCGCACGCAGCGCGTCAACCAGCCCTCCATCGAGGGCACCAGCACCTTCTACCAGTACTGGTCCGTCCGCCAGAACCACCGAACCTCCGGGTCCGTCAATGTGGGTGCTCACTTCGATGCCTGGGCAAAGTCGGGCCTGCAGCTTGGTACCCACAACTACCAGATTGTGGCCACCGAGGGCTACCAGAGCAGCGGTTCGGCCTCCATTACCGTTTCGTAAATGGAAGCGTGTTGTCGAGTGCCTGTGTTGTGTCGCCGGATCGAGTCGACTTCAGTAGTTCAGTTTGAGAGGCTTCTGCTGGCTGGTGATCGGATATACAGAGGCTGTGATGGGACGGAGTTATGTAAACTTGAAGCAAGATATCCATGGAGACAAACCATGACGACCAGTTTGTGCTCCCCGTGCTGTGTTCTTTTTGTGTGGTCGGGCGATGTATATACGCTTCTATAAGTATGAGCTGTATAAGTGAGTAGGTACCTTGTTTATCTTGTTTCGTTGCGTTTTGAACTGTTCTGCTTCGTGACTTGGCTGTATTACGCTGACTTTCGCTGCACTGCATTGGAGATACCTTGATCATTCAATGCACCCGAATAGGTAGTCCAAACTGTCCAGGTGGGTGTTCCGGATTTGACCGTGCCGTCACTGCTGCCTGGGCGAGGCTGGAATTGATTGCCTCTATGCCAAAATGTACAAGTACAAATGCCCAATAGCTGGCACCCAAAATGTTGACTTTGTCTTCAATCCAATAAACGGTCCAGTCCTGGCCATCAGAATCATAGCGACAAAGGAGATTCTTGAACGCAATCCCGGCATTCTGCGCTTCTTGCCGATCATCCGGCGGTGTATCTACCTGCCCGTTGGCTTGGGGCCCAGGAGATGATTATATCGGTGCGAGCCCAACGTGCGAGCACCATGAGGTGGAGAAAACGATGGCCGGGGCGCAAATCCTGCACCAAGCCGACCAAAAGCTCTTCTTTCGGCCTGCTGGTCTCCTGTCGAAATATATGCACCAACGCATCCGCCCCCTTATATTCGTCCAACTGGCTCGCATTCTACTACAGATCCACCCAATCCTTGGAGCCACTACGAGCTCTGAACCCGACGACTGTGGCATCGCTGAGGAGAGTGAAGTGGCATCGCTGAGGAGAGTGAAAGTGGTCTTCAACCATGCATCCTGCCATTTCCCTAGGTGGGACCATGACGGGGGATACTGCGATTTAAAACCGACGTACGAGATATACTACCCGTGGGAGGAGAAAACGGACTCGGAGTCTTTCGTGTCCTGATTATCATCGCGACCAGCACGGGTTCCCCATCCCCGGGCCGAATGCATCAGCCTCCCTATTGCGATGAATTGAAGCGAAGCTTCAATGACGAGGCCGAAACAGTGTACAGTGTGCTGTACACAGTGACAGCGAGGGCGAAGCTGAGCTTCATTACGGATCCGTACTGGGCATTTCGACAAAAGTTTTCAGAGGAACGATTGGCTGATGACCTGCTGCCGCGTGATTTAGCGCGTTGCGCACAGTGTCCGCATCCCTGTATATTACTGTACCACGCTTCACTTCCATTATTGAAGTCGAACTTCCACGGTCAGGGAGGGTATTTTAAGACGGATAAGTTTTTCCGACGCGTCTCATTCCATTAGTTACAACGAACCCCAAGTAATTGCCTACCAGATCCTCACCTCCTTCGCAAAGGCGAACATCGCCCGCCCGTCGTTTAGTCGGTACTCAAGGAATCATGGAGCGCATCCCAGTCGAGCCTATCACACTCATTTACGGGCCCCTCTGCCCACATTGCCAGTCGCCCAATGCGTTCCCGAATGCAGACACGCGTGGCCAAGATGACCTTGTCGCGTTTGTCGCGAACGTCCAGGGCGATGCGCGCCATTGTGCAGCCCTTCGTCTTCCACTATTACGCCACCAGAGAGTGCCCATAATCTTCTGGGCAGACAAGCCGGGCTACACGTACGCATACGGCCAAGAACAGACACAATTCGAGTATGACCTGCTTACTCCTTTCCTCCGTTCCATCATCGAGCGTCCTGACCTGGCCAGGAGTGTCCAAGCGCTCCAGTTGGTCCCGTCTACCCGCTTTAGACACCGCAAGAACCCCGACTATTGGGTTCCTATCGAGAGGGTCAGCGTTGAATTCGGATTGCTGGCTTTCAACTTCTCCCATCCGGACTACACTCAGGAACGGTTTGAGAACAGGCCTTGCGCTTTACCATTCGAGGCCTATGAAGTTCACCACCTCGTTGAACAGTTGGCCCATTTTACTCTGTCCCAACGCGGGCGTCCTCTTACTGCAGAATGACTTCTGGCGGCCTCATAACTTCTGCAAACTGCTCGAGGCAAGTGGGCGAAATCTGCTGGCACTTAAGACGATTGGTTAATTATCCAGGAACCACTGGGTCACTACGCGAATGCCGGCCCTCTCCTGGCGCTGGCACCTAACCTCGAAACCATATATGGTGTCGAACCCGGAAGTTCGTGGGTGAGGCTAATGGTTGGCTCTCGCCTTGGGAAGGGAGCTTCTCCAACGTCTCCAAGGTGGTTTGCACGACCTGCGCCGGGAAAGCCTCTCCTCGCTCGCCAAGGCTTTCCCCATGCTCCATGACTTTCAATACACGGATACGACGGATTCCAACACCGAGGCGCCTAGAACCAGCCTGGACACCGTGAGAGCGCTCAGGACCCTTCACAAACCTTTTGGCGCCTCGCGATTTTCGTTGCAACCGAGCCTGAGCCCGGGGAGGGTTCGGACGAGATCCAAGTCATCAAGTCCCTGCGACACTTTGAAGGACTGGAAGAGCTGGCACTCAACCAAGCGGTCATCTATCCTCTTACCGAACTCGAGCAGCTACTCCCCGGCGGACTAGGCAGACCTGCCTCGGTCCATCATAAAACTGCGCATCTCGCACGTGCACCAGAGCTTCACAAACGACCTGAGGAATCTGGCCCGCGACGCCCCAACCGAGCTGCCGATTTTCAAGTCGGTTCGAATCGACTGCTTGAAGGATATGCGCGATGATGTGTTCAGCCACGACGCCAAAAAATCCATGGCGCGTGCCTTCGAGGTAGCTGGAACTCTGCTAAGCTGGGGCACGAGCTACGATGATACTGAAATACTGGACATACCGGGTCTGCCCGTTAGCCTTTAGTTTTAGTCTGATACCCGCACGCGCCGGATAATCCCCCTTAGATCGGATGAACGAGCTCGCCGAGATGTCGGTAGAGCCCGGCCGCCCGAGTTCGCCGCCGGCGGTATACGGCACCGTACACGGAGTGACGCCGCCCTAACCTTCTTTCAGGCAAGCGTGGTCCATACTGCGGAGGCGAAATCGCCAAGTTCTCGATCTTTCTCCGCATTTTGCCTTGGCCGACGCGATCTAGATCTTTGGCCTTCATGCTCGCTAGTTTCTTCAACCCTTCCTCAGCCAACACCGAGCTCAGCAACACTTCGCGGATAATGATGCTGCAGAATGGCCGACCCCCTGGGACTCCACCGCTGTCCTGTCTGCTTCAAGACGTACAAGCGACGTGAGCACCTACAGCGCCATCGCAGCTCACACACGTCGGAGCGACGGCACCGCTGTCCCCTGTGTGGCGCCGCCTTCCAGCGCTCCGATGTGCTGAGACGCCATCTCCAGACCTGCTATGGGCCCGGTGCACCACCCTCCAGCCGGCGCCGCGCTTGTGACCGCTGTGTCCGCCAGAAGAAGGCCTGCAATGCCGCCCAGCCGTGCCTCAACTGCGAAAAGAGGTCGCTTGAGTGCCAGTATTCGAACGGAAACCCGTCGACGTCACTCGTACCACAGCCTGCAGCACCCGCTCTGGAATGCAGTCACTCGTACTCTCAATCCAGCCTCGACAATCACCCACAGTCCAGCCATGCCGACCCTATTGATTTGACCTTCGACCTCATTCCATTTGATGATCTCGACGCCTTCATCCAGCAGGCAGTCTCGCAGATTCCAATATCGGATGGCCAATCAACCGACCCCTGGCTTGACCATTCGAGCTTCCCACAGTCGCAGGCGACGGTCTCCCCAAGCGTCGTACCATCGACGCGTGAGCAAAATGCAACATCGAGGTACCGCGGCTACTCGTTTCGCTTTCTGTCCGACTTGACCAGCAGGACCGGTTTGGTCACGTCGTTTGAGTGCGGTACCCTCGCCCAGCGACAACAGATTGTCGCCGCGTTCCAGCAGTCCTACCTTGACCAGCAGTCCCCGGACTTTCTCCTGGGGGTTCCGTCGCTATCCACCCCGACCAATGAATGCAACCCACAAATACCAGCAGTTCCCCTGGGCCTTGTGTCTCCAGAAATCGACATCTCATCGTTGTCCTCGTGGCCTCAAGACCCCATTGTCATCAAGCTGGAACAGGTGGTTCTTCTCGTCAAGAACGTGGTAAAGGTCAAGCCGCACAACAGCGCCATCACCCTGAACTGGTCGGCGGCACTCGAACAGCGATGTCGGCAGTTCTTTTCACCCCCGAGGTTCTCCAAATTTATCGAGCTGTACTGGTCGGTCTGGCACCCAAATTTCAACATCCTCCACCGGCCCACCTTTGACCCGTCAAGTACCCAACCGATTCTGTTGGCCACGATGGCCTTGATTGGTAGGCCTCAGCCATCCGCTCCAACAGGGGAAATCGTATCTGACCGTCGCAGGCGCCTGTGTCTCGCCGGATCCGGTCGACAACGAAGACGCCAGGATGTGGCTCAATTGTGTCGAAGAGATGGTGTTCACAGACGATGACTTCTGCCGAGACATTGACCCTCCGGCTGTCAGCGACATCACGTTACCCATCAACAGCCCTGAGAACCGGGCGAAACTCGAAGCCCTCCAGGCAGCCTTTCTCGTCTGCATCTACCAGAATTGGGAAGGCAACAACGCCAACAAGCGACGAATCCGACGACATCGCTTCAGCACTGTGGTATCGGTATGATTTGTAAAGACAACTTGCCTTCGTGCATTTACTAACCGACAACCACCTGCAGACCGCGAGAGACGTGGGCATCGACACAGCACGGCACCTCGACTACAGCATGCAGCCCAAGCATGAGTTCGACTGGGGCGAGTACGTGATGAGGGAGGGCTTGATCCGGTAGGCCTACCAATCGCCAGGCACGGAACCTAACATGGGGTGCTGACGGTCGACAGAATCTTGATGTGGATTTTCCTGCTTGACACGGCGTTTGTCATCTTCAACAACCTCCCCCACCGGATGGTCATCAAGGAGATGAAGATGAACATGGCGAGTCCCGAAGCCTGCTTCCAAGCGGCGACGGCTGAGGAGTGCATCGACAAGATCCACCGCTGGATCCCGCCGACCAGCCCCTTTTGTACGCTTCTTTTGCGCGAGGCGATCGAGAATCTCTGCCTCGACACTATGATGCCGGAGTCACAGCAGCAATTCTCGCAGCTCGGACCGCTCAATCTGTTTGCCATGGTGTCAGGTGAGTCATTTCTTTGAAATCGACAATTGCGTCCACGAACTGACAGAGCCGTCCTAGCGATCCACTACATGATCTTCCAGCATCAGAACCTCTTGGCCGTCGAAGGCCAGCTTGTTCCCATCCGAAACGGGCTGCGGAACTGGATCGAGATCTGGGAAAAGTACGCCGAGATGCCGCCTTCCTTGACGCCCCACGGCTTCCTACAAGAGGACTGCCCGGCGCCGGAGCTGATGTGGAAGCGCATCGGCTTTGTCCGCTTCTCGCCCGAATACTGGCTCCTTGGAAGCCTCATCACGGACCGACTATCCGCGACGACAACAACAAGCACTTCGGCCGATCAAGCTGCCGCACCTGGCACCTCTGAGGGTTTCTCTCATCCTTCTTCGAGCTCAGACGCCAAGGCCAGGTTTAGCGAGCCCATCCTTGGGAAGTATGACCAGACGAGCATGCGCCAGGTCAATGACCTGATTACCGACTTCCAAAAGTTCGGCATCGGATGATCAGGGAATTGGGAACCAGGCTCCACTGATCGGCTTCGGGCTGTGCCGGTATCCGCACCTGGTCAAAGATTCAGGCGCGAGAAGGTTTTGAATTTATGCTCAATTCTTCACAAATGCACTTGAATACTCTCCGATCCGAAAGATAACCCTCCGTGTCTCTGCACCGCGCTGTCAGGTCGAATACGGATACGGCGGCGGTCTTCGTTCTTCAAGCTGGAACGTTATCCCACCCTCTCTTGTCACTAGTCTTAGGTCGTCCAGTTTTTCCCAGCAAGCCGATGCCCGCTGATCAACTTCTCCAGAGCCTGTCATCTTTCCGGCGCGGCATCTGGCTCGGTCAACGCAAGGCTGACATGCTGTCTCATCCACGAAGTCAACACCGCCGGCCCGATGAGCATCCGAGCGGCCGCTATCACGATAGCCGTGATACCAACGCTTGTGCATGCCTTGGCAGCTTCTTAATAGATTCCTGTCTGTTTGCCCGCTCGGTCTCCATGGCAGAAAGGATAGTCGACTGTTGGCCCTGCCTATCTCTCCCGGTATGTGTCTTTGGTGTTTTCTCTCCCAAATGGTTCCGCTTTTGATGGTGTGTGGCCGAGCGGCGGGATCTCATCCAGCCGACCTCTTTCTGTCATCTGAGCTTCCCAGCCTGCCACGATGCCGCGGAGGATGGCGCTGACGCCATCTCGAGGTACCGTCCCCTCGGATAACAAGTCATCAAGAAATCTATTATTAATGGGAAATGAGTTGTTCCCGTACTGTGTTCTGATGGGCAACTGGCTTTCCATCATCATGCGCGATGGTGTGGTCTTGACGACGTCGGAGCATGAGTTATTCATGACGTCGCGCAGGATTTCTGCGACGGCATAACGCACCTTGTATGTCACCCGCTGCTCGATGCGTTGTCCTTGCGTTCCAGACTCATCGCCCACCCAGCTGCCCCGTCGCGCCCACTGAATTTGGACAGTGCCAGGTTCCAGACGCGGTAGTCAAATGACGGCCCGCTCGCTGCTCTCGTTGAACCAACCCACAGTGCTGCTCTCCGCCCGAAACCAATCCCCTTTCTCCGGCGTCACGTTCCCTCCGCCGTGCAGACTTTCCTAGTCCCTGGCAACCAGAACGACTTCCCATGTTACCAGCGCGCCCGAATCGAGAGGGTGGAACATCCCGCCGCAGTCCGCCCAACTATCCATGACGATTACCCGCGGGGCCAATAGAGCGTCATCCTCATCAGAGAAGGAACTACCGTAGTCAAGGTGGTGGAGAAACGCGCGGTTCGTCCCAGATGTCGGACCGCCGCTGACCCAGGGACTCGCGGTGCCATTCTCAACGGCCGGCAGCGGCGGAAGTCGGAGTCGGACCCGGTCAACCGGCATCGCCTCGGTCGCTTGGTACCTCACTTCGACGACGGCAAACTTGTATCCGACCGACGTCGAGATGCCCAGGGCAACCACCTATAGCGCAGCACTACGAAAAGGGGATACCCGTGCATCAACCCGAGTATCACAGGTGCCTGCGGCTGCGTGTTCAGATAGCTCGCGTAGTCGAATCCGGGATCCTCATCGCACCTGGTTGCCCGCCAGGTACTCCATGCGTCAAAGACGTGCGTGTAGGTTGTTGCGAGGCCGTGCGAGAGGAGGCCGAAGGTGGCGCCTAGTATGGCGAGCCATGACTGCACCGAGAGCTGCGACCCGAAGCGGAAACCCCCCCTGCCCGCTGTCCTTGTGTGGATGCGTGTGACCAATTCACGGATCTTGTCTGAGAAATTGGGAAAGTTGGGGACTGATGGCTGCGAAGTTGACGTGCTTCACGTAGCCCATGGTTTATGGTCGTTGACCGGTTGACGTTGAGGTTCTGGCATGAGCAATGCAGGGTGCTGGGAGGGCCTGAAGCCTTTTGTGGCAACATGTGAGGTGTACTTTTTCCAGGCTTTGCGCCGTTGGTTTGAGAACGGTTCAGTTTCCCTTGAGGCGTTTTGAGGCGTTGGAATTGGTGAATCAGCGTGCGGGCTGCGCTGCATCTCAGCTCACCCACCGTCGGGACTGATGCACAGCCTCCTCAGGCCTCACTCGCTTCTCCTAGGGTCCTACCTTGATGAAGGGCCTGGGGCTTTAACGACCCGGTTGTGAGCCACTTCCCACTGACCCATAGGGCCAAGCGCCTTTGATGCGACCTCGCCCATCGAATTCGACAATGAAAGGCCCCGACCTAGTTATAGAGGTTAGACGTCGTTGTCCGTGCCGCCTCTACCGAGGCACCTTACCGAGTACTGTTTGGATTCCAGTCCTCAAGTAGTCTCAACTGTTCGACAGCGTGGTACATGGCCGGCAACGACCTAGAGATCGAGTAGAGGATGGGGTTGGGGAAGTAAAGAGAAAATGAGAGATGTAGAAGTAGAGGACAAAAAGTAAGAATCAGGAGTAATTCGAATGAGTATCACATGCTTACCCTTCAAACCGAGTTGCAACACCCCGGGTTGAGTTATGTTTCGTCGAATCTGCGTCATTATCTAAACTGCCATCACATCAGCTCCTATTCGACACTGTCCCTCACAGATCCATCGCTCGGCCACCTCTCATATTGCCCGTTATAATGTATCATCACGACCTACTCGTCTCTCACTAGCAGGGGACAACCCCTACCTAATGACTTTCTTCCTTGCCTATGGTAGTTTACTATTCAGCAAGCACGCCTCAGGCTATCGACCTCCTGCTAGTGAAAAACGAAAAGGTCGAAATTAACGATTCGTTATAGTTTAGGCATCAGAGGCCCCTCGCAGATGAACTATAGAAAAAATAATCTCGAAAATATTAACCTTTGACCCGTGCCAGGGATTTTTGCCCACACTCAGAATCGAACTGAGAATCTTCTCATTACTAGTGAGACGCTAGACCATTAAGCCATGCGGGCTTCTTAGACAGATTGATTAAATTATCTTTATACATTGCAACAGATTTTGAAAAGTTTGAATGTTCAATGTGTCTCCGACCTCTCAAAGGACCTCTGGATGGACAGAATGGAAACAGCGAACACAACGCCTAAGAGGCTCTAATTCTGCGGCATCATGTCAGAAGGCGAGAGGGTAGCTGGTGTTTTGATAGCTGTGGTCAGCGAGCGAGGACAGAACGAACAGCATTTTTCAAGCTTGTGAGCTGTGCAAGAGGCAGGAATTGATGTTCCATACCATAATCCGAACGACTCGACAAGCCAAGCTTCCATTCAAGTTCTCTTTCAATACTTACATACTTTCTGAAACCAGAGCTTTGTGAAGGCAATATTGAAGCCGCTTTCAAACCTGACCGACACTGGCGGCAATGTCGAATCCAACACTCCATGCAAACCCAGCATATGCATGTTTCCCTCCTTCAAGTCCGAATCAACTTTTTGCCCATTCATCCAAGTCAACGCTGCCAGCGCCCATAATCCTTGACTTCCCGAACTCCTATTAACACGCCCCCGAAAATGCGTGTCCGAACCAGACATTGCAGACCACCTTTGTCCCAGGCCAACCCCCCCAAGCCCGTCAAATCCAGATCCCCTTCCACAAACTTTTCATTCCCTGACGCCCCATATCCGAAAGCAACGGCAATGATCTGACTTTTTCTTTACCCTCAACGCACTCTCTTCTCCATCAACGGATCCTCCCACCCCCCACGATCAGCAAACACATCCTCCTCGCTCTCGGTCGGCCGCGGCGCCGCCTCACCGGCGCCCAGGCGAATCGTGTGGTGCAGCTCGGGCGGGAGAGGGTCCACCTCGGAGCGGTCTGCGACGACGTACGCCTCGCTCTCGGTCGCGTTGGGTCGAATCTCAAAGCCGAACATTTGCGCCGAGATGTTGACGCCCGTTCCGAGGCCTGTTGCGGGGCCGAGGCCCGGGTTTTGGGTCGTCGGGGTCCTGAGGTGGTCCATATGCAGGCCGCGGCGGGTCGAGGGGCAGGCTTGGCCTTGGTAGATTTGGGTGCTGAAGGAGTGGGTGTTGTTGCCGTTCAGGGCCCCCGTTGCGTCGATGTGGGAGGACCGGTTCGGGCTGAAAACGCCTCGGTTAGACTGGAGGTCTATTGGGGTGTACGCTGAGATGGCAGGTTGATATGTGCCGTGAGGGAGGACATTATGGCTGGCGGGTGGGGTGTCGGTGGTTGGGCCGGTGGTGAAGATCCTCAGGGCGGTCGCCCTGGGGAGCGTATTCGTGATACTTCGTATCGCGCGCATGTTGATATCGTGGGTTTGAGGTATCGGAATGAGAGACTGGGATCGATGTGGGTATGACGGCGATAACTACTCTGAAGCCATGCCGGCGACTGTGTACTAATCTATACCCCATCGCCTTCGATGGTCTTCTGTAACATCCGTCTGAAGAAGACAGCTTACACATGTGACGTCACGGGACGGCGCCTGACTGGTTTGCGGGGTAGACTTAAACCTTGGACGGTCGATCGAGCCTGTGAAGGAGTAAAGTGCTTGTTATAGGCCATTACCCCGCGTGGCAAGAGGCGATTGTTGCTTTCATCGCGGGTGAGCCGACGGAGAAGCGTCGCATCCGGAGTCCATGAGAGATTCACGCTCACAGCTGCCCGTAACATAATCGTTGGCTGAACAGCCAGCCATTATCTCTTAAACGGTTCAATCGATGAGGCAAAATCCAGAATGGCCTCAGTCTAAGCCCAGTGTACACGGTCAACAAGCCGTCGTAACTGGCTTCAGCCGGGTGAGTGGTGACTGGAACATCTCAAACAGGTAGGCATAAGGTTTTATCAGATACATTCGTATCCGAGGAACGATATTCAAGGGGTTTGCTCCTCGGCAATCCGTGAGAATGACTCGGATCGCACCCATCGCCGTCGACAGAGGAGAGGAGGGAATGGCAGCTGATCGTGCGGTTTTACAAGGCGCAACATCCGACGTACCTTGCTTTTGCACACCATGCTCGGCGTGACACCCGACATCAAGGCGCAACCCAGGGAATGCCACCTGCTGGCATCTTGTCTTGGGCACAGGACACGCTTGAGGCTGGTCCTGGCCGGCGTTCCGAGGTGAGATCTTCAGGGGCCGGAAAATGCGGGGGCTAAATCCGGGCTTGGAGAAGATCGCCCAGCGAGACCTTACAATCGACTAGTCGATCGCAACCAAGAGGCTACACAAGCCTTGCTCGGCACCGAATCATACTCATGGGCAACGGCGCGGGTAGGGGTGTAAAACAGGATAGTCCGGGGACCATGGGCGGGATCCCTATCGCAAGGCATGCAACCGCCGCGCGTGGGAATGGAATCCGCACGGGAGATCGCAGCCCGTTTGGGGGCATTCCATAAGGCCGTGCCGGGGATGCATTTTCCTTTGAAAGCCTGCGCACCCACCGGGACGTCGACTGACTTGCTCTCTGACCGCGACAAATTCCTCAACCGTAGTCCAAACACTGTGGACGTCAGCCGTCGACATGTCAGCCACAGCTTTCGTCAACCAGGCGCCGACCAATCTGGGGCCGCTGACAACGACCTTCGCACCGCCAGCGGAGTGCACCCTCGCTGTGGGGGCAGGAGGCGGGCTTCTGGCGGGGGCACTCGGCGGCGGAAAGAAGGACGCTGCCTGGCTCGGGCAAACATGCTCCGGGGGAAAGGCCGTCGATGCCATGTCTTGTTGGCCGGAAACTACGAAAGGCGCCGCGTCGAGGACGGCCCCACTCCACGGATGGGGCTTCTACTCACCTGGGCTGCACTGCCCTGTTGGATATGCAACCGCTTGCTCCGCGACGGGAGGCGAGCAGTCGGGGTGGCCAGTGCAGTTCAAACTGCGCGAAGGGGAGACGGCAATCGGCTGCTGCCCAAGGTTAGTTCAATTCTACTTCAGTTCAAGACGAGCGACTGACCTCGGCCCAGTGGCTATGGCTGCGCCAACATCAACGGCCAGACCTGCACCATGGTGGCAACGTCCACCACAATTTCAATCGTCACATGCGACGGGAGCAAGCCCGGCGATCTTCCTTCCCGGACACTCCCAGACCCCGAAGCATCGATTACGGCGTTCAGCCTCTCTGCGCCGATGATCCAGATTAACTGGCAGAGCAGCGACCGGCCGAGGGCAACGTCAAGCGAGAAAACGTCCAGCGGGAGCCAAAGCGGGCGCTCAAGCGCGGCAAGAACAACAACAAGGAACCGCATCACAGCCTCTGGCACGCTTATCGTTGACACTGACGCAAAAACCAGTGCCGACACGCTTATCCTCGACGGAAGCCCGCGGACGACGGGAGCGGGCAAAATTGATCTCGGCGACGCAACCCCAACCATCACGCTCTCTCTGCAGGAAAGCGAAACCCCGTTCGACAGCGGGTCCTTTAGCTCTGGCGCAAGAGTCGCCATCGGGGTCACGGGCGCGGTAGCCGTGATCATGATGGTCATCTGCGCGTTCTTCTATTGCTGGCGGAGGCGCAAGAGCCAGCGGGAGGAGCAGGAGCTGGACAGGCTGTACGCTGTGAAGGGCACCATGACCTGGGGCGCAAATTTCACCGACAGCGGTAACATTCCCGGGTGGTATCGAGGGCAGAGGCTGGTGACGCCGACTAAGGATCCGTCTGCTCCGCGTCATCAGCCCGATGGAAGTTGGGTGACGGAGATTGAGACGCCGCCGGTTTTGCGGACGCCGCCGGTTCCGCATTACAGGCCATATCGGTCACCACTCGGGTGAAGATTATCGTTATTGGTGCTGTTCGGGTTGTGTACAAGTACGCCAGGGCGGTGTTTGTGTAAATGTGCGCTTGTGTCGTTGTAGGCTACCTTATGCAGCCAGGATTGAGCAGTCCGCTGAGGATGATTTTCGAAATCTGAGCATGAGACCTTCGCTGGTTCTCTGGATCGCGCATCAAGAGTGGCAATGTGTGTGGGACCTGATGTCGACCTGTGAAGACCAGACCCTGGTTCCATTGCTGCCAAGACTCTGCTTGTTAAGCACAGACGTTGTCGGATGCTGGGCTGCTGGAGCTCCCATGATCATGAGCTCCAACAGCACCTCCAATCCTATCGTCATCGACACAACCACACCTCGTCTACGGCCACCAATGCATCCGCCGTCGGTTCGGTCACCATATTCCGCTAGCTAACCACATCATGAGACAATGTCGACCGAGCCGACACGCCCACTGCTGTTGCCACAAAATCGCAAACTACGACATCTACGCGGCATTGCACTGAGGAATCTGACCTTCTGGCGACCCCGAGGACGAACCATTGATGACACCGCCCTCAACAAAACACCCGCAAAGCTTGAGTCGTTGCGCATCAATACCCAGCTGCACCATGCCTTGTCGTCTGAAGACCTGCGCCCGCCCACCGCTCGCCGGAGGAGTACATACCTGGGCAATGACAGCCCGGCCACCAGACAGAAGAGGTTCGAGGACATCTTTGACAGCAGACTGGCCGATGCATTTTTCTCGCTGCATATCGAGGGCGAGGAGGACCCCATATACATTAGCGAGGTCGAAGAACGCGCGACGGTACGCCCCCACGGAGGGCCCCACGCAGAGCCTGGCTGACGGCGATAGAACTTTAACTTTCGATTCTTCGATATCTGCGAACTTGACTCGGCCATCACGCAGTCGCCCCAGGTGACAATAAAGGTGTGGACAAGACGCAGCTACACGTGGACCTTATTGCTGGAGGATGAGGTTGACTTACGCGCCCTCAATTGGCTGGGCAGCCTCCAAAACGTGCACTTCCCGCGAAACTGCCTCATCTTCCACATGGTCGACGGCATCTACTCGCTCGAGGTGTCTGGCAAGCCCCCTCCGCCAAAGCACGCTGCGCCGGCGCCAACCTCATCCTACAACGCGCTCATGAGGCTCGCCACCTTGGATAACTCGATCCAGGACGCGCTTGCGACTCGGGAGCGCCTCACACAGCAGATCAACGACTTTTTACGTCGCGAGGCGAAGAACGAAGTGCCAGAAGCCGAAGACAGGCTCTCTCTAACCCAGAGATACCTTGCGCAGCAGCGGCGGGCCGTTGCACAAGTTACAAAGCGAAACGAAGACCTGAAAGCCTCCATCGCCGCGCGCAGAGAAGCCATCGCTCAAGGCCGCATCGCCCAGGCCAAAGCCGCCAAAGACGTCGAAAACGCCACAGAACAGCTCACCCAGTCCCGCGCCCTCCTCGCCAAGACGCAATCCAACATCCGCGGCCAACGCCGCCGCATCTGCGAAGACCTCTCCCGCATCTACAACATATCCCCGATCCCCCACGCACCACCGCTCTCCTTCCAAATCTGCAACCTCCCCCTGCCCAACACAACCTACGACTCGACTACCTCCTCTGAATCCCCCGTCCCACTCTCCGAAGACGCTCTATCCGCCGCCCTGGGCCACGTCGCCCACCTTACCGACTTGCTGCAGTATTACCTCGCCGTGCCCCTGCCCTACCCCATCCGCGCGTTTGGCTCCCGCAGCAGCATACGCGACGATATCTCGCAGCTTCCCGACCCGCAGCGCGAGTTCCCCTTGTATGTACCCCGCAGCGGCTCTAGCGCCCAGTTCCGGTTCGATTATGCCTGGTTCTTGTTGAATAAGGATATCGAGGCGCTGTGTGCTAGCCAGGGGTTGAAGGTGGTGGACATTCGGCATACGCTGCCGAATTTGAAATATTTGTTGTATGTGTGCAGTGCGGGGAGTGAGGAGGTGCCGGAGAGGAAGAGGGGTGGTGTTAGGGGGTTGTGGGCGGGCAGGATGGGTTTGAAGGGGGTGAGTACCGGTGGTGCTGCTGGTGGAGCTGGGATTGCGGGGATTGCGGATGATGCGAGCTGTTTGGGCGCGAGCAGTCGGAGGGGAAGTGAGGCTAGTGATGTTCTGGGAAGACAGAGGGAGCAGGTGCGGAAAGCGGTGGCCGGTCATCCTGAGAGAAGGGATGGAGATGAGGCGAATGGTGGGCTATTCGGGGATGGGGAGCTGAAAGTCAGTTTGAGGACGAAGGGGCTTCGGGAGAGTGCCGCGCAGTAGGGGCATCGTGTCAGGCTTGATGGCAGGTTGCCAAGCGATATTCGAAGGATATCGCCAACGAGGTGGTGTGTTTTGGTGGGAAGCATGCACAGCGCAGCGGCACCTTTGCTGCTTTTTGTGTTTAGCCTCTCTTGGATCATCTCGGGCAACTAGTTATCGAGTTGATGATTCGAAGGGATCGATAGAAGGACTGGACGTTGCCCCTGGACAACTTTGAAGCCTGCTCAAGGGGTTGTCACTAGCGAATCACGAGAGCACTGTCATATGGCAAGTACGGATAACACTGGAACTCGCAGTAAATACCGCGTGCTTACCCCGTAAGGAGGACATCGGCGGCATCACACTCGGCCTCGAGAGCGCAAGGGCTGGGAGCACACTTGGGTGGATCCACTAAGCTGTTTCAGAAATTCTTGACCACCCGACCACTTTCTCGCCCCCAAAACTGCTCTTCAACGCACCATCAGGCTGCAATGCCATCGATTCATGCATCCAACCAAAGCGCATTCAGCAGCCACGGATCAGGGGAGCATCGCGCATGATGCACACTGCCGACAGCAATGGCCCCCATGCAAGCGACCCGCCGTGCCCCTTCCTGCGGATCCAGCTGAGAAGCGAGTGAGTCTCGCCGTCTTGGCGCATTTGGGGGCCGGCGCCTAACCATATCAACAGAGAACGGAAAAACAAGCGAGCTATGTAGCCATGACAAGGCTGGGAAGTTAAATCCTTCATGAGAGGTGATTCCTCCTCTCCGCGTCCCGTGACGGAAATCAACGTTCCTACGCGGCGACTTCTCCTCTCCACCATCGCGATGTCGCTCAACGAGACCCCAACCGCTGTCCAACAGCACGTTTATCACCAGGATGGATCCAGCGGTACCGTCGGCGACACAAAAGCTGAATTCATCCTTGGTGACAGCGAGGTCGAGAGACAAGAAGCCTCTGGAAGAGTCCCGGAGCAACCCCCGCGCCGCTACTGGTGGGTCGAACCTCCAATACCAATTCATGGTCATTCTGAAGGTTGACATATGTACAGGCTGCGTGGCCTCGTCCTCATCTTCGTTCCGTCCATCGTCACGGCCTACTACGGAGTCATCTGGGTCCACCTCTTGCATAAGAATCCCATGGACGAGGCCGTGAAATACCGCACCTATTCGGGCTCCTTGATCTACTACTCGTGGTTTATAATCGGTGTCTTCTGCCTGTCCTGGTCAAAATTCGGGCTCGTTGGTGCCGAGGCCTCGATGCTCTGCTCGCATTTCTGGGGAGCGCAAAATCTCGTCGCGCTTTTAATGCACTCCAACGGGACCTGGAGCAGCCCATCCGGTTGGATCAACGCCCTGGTCCGCCGCGAGTTCCATCGACTGTGGTGCTTGCTTGCCTTCCTCAGCCTTCTCCCGTTTATCGCGCTGCCGCTCTCTGGACTCGTTTTTGAGATCACCGACGGATACGTCAAGACACCGGATGCCCCCATCGTTATCGGGCGGAACAGCACCACCTTCAACCTGAGATATGATGAAATAAGTCGTCACGGCGAGAAGGATGTCACCAATCCGGCGCTCTCAGCTTGGTTGGTAGGGTCGAGCCCGGCAATACCAGGGCTTGGAGTAATCTTCAGCGGCGAATCCGTCGACCGATCCAACCACTCCGTTTTCAGCAAACTTCCAAACACCCTGCCGCTGAACGATTCAATCTCAGACCTCTTCCTCGCGCCGCAAGCCAACAGACCAGTATCGGGCACGGCGTGGGGTCTTCGGTTCAAGTATGAGTGCTCGACTGTGCGATCCGTGTCGGAGTTCACGATTCTCAACCAGAGACCCGCGTCATCCGTCATTGACTTCCCGAACTCTTCCATGGATGACTTTTCTCCTGTCCTGGAACTCCGGACCCCTTCTGGCGATATGATCACGGTGGCGTGCAAAAGTCTGATCAACCGGAACGTGCAGGCCTATGTGGAAACTGGGAAAACGGCACCGTTGGAAAGCAGCTTTGAAAAAGACCCTCTGGACGCGATTGACAAATACAAGGGAAATCATCCTGGTTTTGATGCCGAGCTCGTCTTCGAATATGCTGCTTGGCAACTCCGCATGAACGGGTTATACGACGACTATCTCTTGCCGTTCAATACCTCGGTTGGGAACGCCATTGAAGGGATGGGGTCCCCTTTTCAGCCCACCGATGACGGGCGTTTCGCCGTGAACCGGACCTTCTTTACAACCGCGGGGGATCTATCCGGCCTTAGCAACGAAAATGTAACCATCAGGGATGTCAGCGATCTTCTGCGGTTGCCCGGCCATTGGGTTAACGGGTCCTCGGACGGCCGCATGCTTTACGTCGCGCCGCCCATCGGGGTCAGGTGTGTCGCCGCCTCCGACGTTGGTACCGCAGAACTGGACGGCGTGACATCCACCTTCCGCAATTTCCAACGCGTCAGCCCTGATTTTGACAAATATTTCCAGGGCTCGCTGCGGTTCGGCAGGACGGCCGAGGCGATACTCCAGGATCAATTCCACCAGCACTATATATCGGGTGGCCTGCCCCAAGTCACGGTCGGCGAAACGGAGGACAGCAGACGGCACGAGGTGTTCATTGACTCGGAATCTCTGCTGCGCTCCGTGAATCTCGCCTATGCTCTCGACGCGTCCAACCTCATGTACGGTCTCTCGTCAACCTACCGAGACGAGTGGGTCGAGCAGGGGCTGACGTCGTCACGCGCGGGCAGAGTCCTCTCGGTCGCCTCCCTCATCCCGGGTTCGGGCGTGGGGTACTTTGTGCTGGCGCTGTTTTGTGTGTGGGCGGCGCTCTCTGCGACGCTGGGACTCGTGTACGGATTCCGGAAGAGGCCGGCTGATAAACTCGACGGGTACTCGATGCTGCGCATCGGCGCTGACATGGCGCCCGAGCTCATTGAGAACCGGGACTTTATGAGTGGGATGCCGTACCAGGACAGTGGGACCATGGCGGCTATGCCGTGCAATGCTTCACGGCAGAATTCGGTTCGTCAGGTCTAGGTTTGTGAAGGACACCGATCATGCGTGGATTCATCGTTCGGTTCACATTGGATAGACACGTTAAAAAGGCACCACATAGACATGTCATCACTGAATCAACGGTTCAGCATCTCGTGTCAGACTTTCTATCCGGCCTGCTGCGCCGAGGAACGCTCTTCCAGTACAGCCTGAGTCCGCGGTTGGCGGTCCGGCATTTGTATCAACCGCGTCTTGACAAGGTCAACGTACCAAAGCGCGCCAGAGAGCCCCTGGGATACAGAATAATCAAATTTGGTATCATGCAAAGTCTCACCTTTCACCTCCCCCGGTAAACCACAGATATGGCAGTTAGGTTTGTCCTGGTATTTTGGGGACCAAAGCGTCTGCAGGGTTAATGATGTCGATCCTATCTTCAAACCGACTCGGGACGGACACGGCGATCTACTGTACAGTCGAGAGTCGAGATTGTTCATTCCCATCTCCGCTGAAAGGCGAGGGCTTCCGTTCCACCGTTGACAGGCATTGCATCCATACAAACCAGCACTACTCGCGGGCTCTTGGCTTGCACTGGACATCAATAAGAAAACAGAATTCGATCTGGAAGGAACAATGCAAATGAGAAAGGAAGAGAGGAAAATATAGAGAAGGTCAAAAGAGAAAACAGGCCATCAAGGACACATTCCGGCTCACATACAGCCTCTACACGCTGCTCCTGACTGGCGCCAGCGGAAACACGTCCGCGATCATTGGCGGAGTAACGCTCCATTTGGCGACGGACATTAGATCCGATGGAGAGAACGAGGTGACAAGAACGATATCGGAATGAGAGAAGTTGCGCTGGAAAAATCATAATCATGTTGATCGTCGACGAGATCAGCCAGGTGGCCGGTCTCACGCTCGCGGCCGTAGAACAGCGAGCTAACGCAGTACACGGACAATCTGCGTCGCCCGTTCAGCCGGATACCGATAGTCACGTTATTTGGCGACTTCTTCCAGTTCAACCCGGCCTATAGACCAACCTCCTCTTACCAATGCCCAGGAATCACAGCGGACAGCGACCGGAGCGCTCGGCAAAGCATATAGCGGCACACAAGCTCTTCCTACAGTTCACGACCGTCATTATATTTCCACGAACAGGTCCGGGCGGGCGGCTGTCCGAGGCTACAAGGCTTCCTTCGGCGCCTGCGCAACAGCGAGCAGACCGAGCTGGACTTCCAACGGCTTTGCCACCGCATCTATGCCCCATCGTCTCGAGCTTCTTTCGTAGACGGCCTGCGAGCCATTACTCCCCTAAACCGAGACCGGGAGGACCGAACATGGCAGCCGTCGTCCAGTGGGTTCGTACGCACGACAGGCACATCTCCATCTTGGTCTCCGAGCACGAGGCCGAGTTCAGGAAAAGGCTTAGCGTCGAAGAGCTGCGTGACGTGCTCTGGCACAGAGACGACTCCCAGCTTCCAACTACCGGCGCTGTTCTTCTATGCGCAAGGGATGCCGGTGGTGGTGACGCGAAACCAGTTCGTCGGGTGAAGGTGGTCAACGGGGCGCCCTCCAAAGCTGTCGACGTATTCTCCAATCTCGCGTCGGACACCATCACCCTCGCCAGGGACGTGACCCTCCATCTCGGACCGCCCGTGGCCGTCCTTCTTCAGTCGGACGACAGCGCGGGCCTCGCAATACCCGGGCTCCCCTACGGCATGATACTGATCAAGAGCAAGGCGGTTGCCGTCCCGGGTCAGATGCGGGGCAAGATGCGCAGGTCTCGAGGTAAGCCAGGGTCCAGGTGGGTCACTCATAGAACGGGCCCTCTTCGTACGCTGGCATTCGCCATGGCAGACCAGAAGAGCAGGCAGGGCAAGCAGTTCTCGGACGTCCTTGTCAACCTCAAAGGCATCCACGCCGGCGGCACGGCGACGCGGCCCATCTTCATGGGCCTGTATGTGCAGCTGTTAGAGGGCGGAGAGGTGGGAAGGATTGCATTCTGTTTCGAAAACCGGAGCGAGGCGACTTCATCGAGCCGAAGAACGTGCTGGCTCAAGACATGAGGGACGCTATCCTCGAGTTGGAAAGACGGGGTGAGGAGACCAGATGGCGGTTTGAACGGGATCACAGCGACGAGGCGTGGTTACAGGAATGGAATGCCATGGCCGAATATGCGCAGGTTGCTGAAGCCGCCGACGAAGAGGACGCGTCGCTCCGCCCCAACACGGGATCGTGATACGCCTCGCCATGGTTGCTTCGGCTGCTATGGCCGCTCTGGGTTGCGCCGTGCCTGAAGTTCCTCCAGGCACGGCGCATGCGCCTTCAAGTTCCCCCAGCCCCTGGATCGACAGGCGGCATGTACTAGGGGTAATGTTATACATAACATATTTTGGGCTATTTCAGCCATGCCTTAGATACTAGGGTAGCCTCTGCCTGAGGGGTTTAAGTAGCCCTGCCTTGCCAGCTCGGCGGCGCCGGGCGCAGCAGCCAGATACTCCAGCATGAATCGTGAGGTTGTCCTGGTACCCGGGCCGGAAAGTCACAGATGAACCTACCCCCCCCCCCCCCCCGCCCCAGCCCCGGATGACACGGTGCTGTTGTTGTCGAACGCCGTTTCGCCGGGGCACGACGACACACCAGCGCTGCCATTGGCGACTGGCAGGAACTGCGTGCCGCCGACAGAGGTCACCCACAAGCACGAGGCGGGAAAGACCGAGGCAAAATGGCCCTCGCTGATCCTACTGTTCTTAGGGTTATCCCGGTCGATGCAGTACGTCAGCTGGTTTGCCGGCCCGCGGTCGGCCGAGCCCGTCAGCACCGTCACGCCCTACAGGCCCAGCTTCAGGAACGCAAGACGCGAGCGCTAAGCATACACATCCGAGTACCGCGCCTCGTTCCACGCGTACACGATGGGGATGACGCGCGGCGGCGTTTACGTACCGCAGTCGGTCGCGTTGTACCCGCCCGGGAGCGAGTTCGGGTATACGGGGTCGAACTACGGGTCCAGGCCGGTGCGGCAGTTGTGCTTGTGAAGGCGGCCAGCAAGATCTTAAGGTTACCTTGCACGATAAGGTCGCCCACCTAGATGTTGGTGACTGGGATAAGTTAGGCTTAGCCATGGCCATAGTGTACTGATAGTCGAGGTTAGCCTCGAGGTCGAAGATGGGCAGCTTGTACTCGGTCTGACGCGTACCGCCCGAGACCGACATAAACACGGGCCGCTTGCCGACCAGGTTCGGGGCGAAGTCGGCGAAGAACATATCGAGGTCTTCGGGCACCCACGCGCCATAGGAAGCCGTATACACACCGAGCGAGCTGTTAGCGTAAGCTGTCTAGCTGGCGCCGTCGTCCATGTTGTACAGTAACTGATCTGAAGATGGACGTCCTATCAAAATCTCCATCCATCGGGATGGACTGTGTCTTGGTTCCCGATCATTTTATACTCGTCCAAACCACCGGAAGGCAACCAAACCCTTTCGCCGGATGAACCCCTCGTCTGCGGCAACACTTCACACCAACGTATTCCCAAAACGGCAATCGCTCAACTCCAATCGCCTATTCACACGCTCAGTCCGTAGGAGTCAATAAACTCTATCAGATTTTGGACGCTTGGCGCTGTGTGATAAAAGTCCGGAGCAACATTGGCAAACAGGGGTAAACAGGGGCTGAGCTCTGGAAGCGAGTTTCTTACGTCAAAGATCGTTATCAACAGCAGCAACGTCACTTTTCCGTTGGTCTGGTCACTGACGACGTGAGAAGCAAAGTCCATTTCTGTTTGTGTCTGTCAATTTACGACAAGGACAGCGAAAGTCTGACTCCGTCATTAGTCTGCTTGCTGACAGCATCAACAGGAGTACAGCAACGTCTATTCGTTCCAGTTTAATGCTGACTGGATCTGCTACACAGAGAGCCCAAACCTTGATTTTCTAGGTTCGTGGTGCATCGGTGCCAAGCAAGCGTTCAGATATCAACTTCGGAAAGACTTGCAGTGCTATCATGAGGCGAGATAGCTGTCGAAATGAGACGGGGAGATCATGTAAGCTGATTGCATGGGCCGCTGTCAGCGTTCCATTGACGGATGAAGGAGGAGAACGGCCCAGCTGAACCCACTCGATGACCAGGCTGTTGTTGAGGGGGTAGCTCATTGAATGAGAGCTTGCGTGGGCTCCCTAATGGTTTCAGGGTGACTTTTTGACGAGAAATTGTATAAAAGAGGGTTGAGCTCCCCAAGCTCTTGTTTCAGAGGCCAACCACATCCGCATCCCACATCTCTCTATCAACAACGAAGCACTCAGCCTTTTCCCAGATATCTCAACCTACCCTTCGCCATGCGCTTCACCGCCCTCCTCACTTCCGCCCTCGCCAGCCTGGCCGTGGCGTCCCCAACCGCCCGCTCGGACCAGTCCAGCACTGCTGTCAAGCAGCGCGTGCGTCTTCCTCTATCCTTTCTCCACTCAGTGAACGGTCCAGTTGCTAACAGATATTACTACAGGGTGTCTTGATTGTACGGCCTGCTCACGGGAAGCTCACGCCTGCCTCTGATTGTGGTCACTAATCTCCGCCCAGGAATTCTGCATCGCTATTTGCATGGCCGGGCCGTGTATTATTAGCCCTCCTGTCTGCGCGGGCTGCCTTATCGAGTGCCTGGGCACTGCTGACGATGGGGGCCCGGTTGTCCTTGACCCTGTCGTCCTCGACAAGGAGTTGGTCGACAAGGTCGAGGGGTATACGCCTCACGTTGGCCACGCCTAACTTTCCCGGACGAGGGACACTGCAAGTGGTCATGGAAGGGGATGAGGTGAGGTGGTTACCTTCACATAGAGGTCGCCTAGGACTGGTGTACCAGAACTCGTCCCTGATGAAGGGTGAAAATTGTGGATGGAGTGTGCTTTGTCAACCATCGAACCCTGCCTCTTACCTAAAGGGTAGAAGTACAATTCTCCGCTGAAACGACGTTGTCTGATGCTGATGACCAGATCGGAAAAGTCTCCTTCAACCACTGCTATTAAGTCGAAGCTCGTAGCAGACTTCAAGTTCTCTGTCACATAAGGATTTCTGTTTAGTGTTTGTGCCGTTCGACTGTGTCGTTGTGGATAGCTCTGTCCTTAGGTTTCCTCTCCTACCCGGACTACTACCCGTTAGCAGCTCAGATGAGAACTTGGTATCGGATACCCTTCGTTACTGAATTGGGGAAGCCTCACCAGGCAGCAGAGCATCGTGCCTGCTTTCAAAGGGCTCATGACCCACAGGGATTCCATGTCAAAAACGCAGCTCAAGCACACTTCGTTGATCCGTGACCTGCGCATACGATGCCCAACCGACCAATCTATTCACCCTCACCGAATCTGGGCAATACTGATACGCCAGGATGCGCACATGCCGGTGTCAAATCAAGCAAGCGCTCTCACCTCAGTAATACTGCAGAGGAAACTGTTGGATATGAACAAAGGTTAACCTGCCTGTCCGAGCCTCATCGAGACTTCTTTGACTTAGTTTTACCGGCATGAATCTATGCTCTTCAATGTTTGTTTGTTTGGTTGTTTGGTTATTTATTTCCGCCCGGCGGGCTTAGTTCGATTGGGCAACTATCACATGTCTAGGAGCACATTTCCTAAGATAGATCCTGGTCTCCAAAAGCCATAACGTTACACCCCCATTCTGTGCTTGTGTCCTCGATCTTCTGCCCTATCCTCCGCGGTTGAAGCGTGCTTACTCGGCGTAACATGAAATGGTGGTGGTGGTCCAATTGGTGATGGTGGGTTAGTGGTGACGGGGTTGTGCTGTCCCTCTCTGTGGTTGGATGGATGGATGGATGGGAATTTATCTTGCCCGGAGGCACGAAGCCTAGAGGGCCATGGCACGCTAGTTACATCCGGTACTTCGACGGCCCGTCATCAACTCGTACAAGCACTCTACTCTTTCCCTTTCCTCACGCCATCTGCTGCCTCTTGACTTGGTTTTTAGCAAATCGACTTGGAGGCTGCGTTCTCCAAGTGTTCAGCGTCCTAAATTCAGAAGCTAAAGCGGGATCTGCTGGTTGAGGCTGTGTAGTGTTAGTGGAGTTCCCCTACTGTGGTTGTCATCCAATCTTCGTTGTTGTTCCTCTCCTGGATCCAGTCTTCCTGTCGCCGTTGCGTACTTGATCGTTGCCCGGAACGCTTTGATGTCCGGCGCCCACTCTTTGAGTCGGATGGTGCTTCCCTCCCAGATAGAACGAGAGGCTCCCTCGTCTTGCCACTGTGCATTGCAGAATGTCTTCCCTCAGAGCTTCCCATCTCACGCATCGCAACAGAAACGTTACTCCGTAGCCGAGCGCCAAATCGAGAACCAAGACCTGCGTAAGCGTAAGCGAGTGCGAGTGCGAGTGCGAGTGCGAGTGCGAGTGCGTCAAGGTCCTGAAATAGTGGTTGAATGAGAATGGGGCTCAAACTTGAAAGTAACCGGAATTTAACTGAAAGGACGAGATATTTATACTGAGCCACTGTCGTGGATATTCGTGGTCGGCCTCCTCTTCTCAAGTTAATTTATCGAGTAGTTGCACAGCGGGCCTAGGTTGAATGCCAACTTGCACAACAATCATCACCAGCGGGGACATCATACCCATTCTCAATCATGGCAGAATCAACAAATTATCCCGAGCTCAAACTTTACTGGTATGGAAGCTGGGAGGACCTCCATAACCGTCCCTCTGCATTCGACCCCGGCTGATCTGGACACGAAAGGCTCAACAACTCCCGCGCTCAGCGCATCGTCTGGTTGCTCGAGGAGCTCGGCCTATCGTACGAGGTCGAAATATTCCAACGCAACAAAGATATGTTCGCGCCTTCGGAGCTCAAAGAAGTCCATCCCCTGGGGAAGTCTCCCATGGTCATCGTCACCATCCCGCAACCCTCGAGCCCAGTCAAGCGGAGAAAGCTCGTCCTAGCCGAAAGTGGTCTTATTGCCCAGTATCTTGCCGACCACTTTGGTAAACACCTCCTCCCAAAGCACTATTGCGATGGACAAGAAGGCCAGCCCGGCGGAGAGACGGACGAATGGATACGCTACCAGTACTTCCTGCACTATGCTGAAGGCAGCCTGCATCCACCACTTTTGGTCCAGCTTATTTTAATGAGTTTGTCCACCAAGTTTTGTGTCTTCAACAAGTAACTGATGCTAACTGATATACTTTCGTATAGTCTTGAAAGGCCCCAAGATTCCCTTCTTTATCCGACCCATCACCTCGCTCATCGTCTCCAAGCAACGGCAAATATCTTTGTGGTGACCACCTGACAGCCGCCGACATCCTTATGAGCTATCCGCTACTCGAAGCCAGGGAGAAAGCCGGCGAGCTCAATCCTCCCAAAACGGAGAAGTGGTCCGAAAAATATCCCAAGCTCTGGGTCTATTTGAAACGGCTGGAGTATGAGCCCGGATTCAAGCGGGCCGAGGTCAAGATCAAGGAGTTGGATGCCAGAAAGAGCTGAGTCGAAGGCGAAAGCTCACTAGATTATGTTGCTCGGATACGGGGAATCGCACCTGAATGTAGACACCCCTTCAGCTTACTCGCTGTTCATGTACCTAATTAACTGCCTACGTGGTTAGCTGCACCACCTTCTATCAACTCGTAATGTCAATCAGAGGTTGCAGCACACGGGTCCAGAAACCCGTGACGGGCTACTAGACTAACAAAGAAGCCACGCTCCGTAGAATTTGAAAGGAGTGTACATGGCCTGAAATACCCCGTGACTATCAGAGAGAACACAACTTGATCCTTGATTTCCATCACGTTGACCCGTTGGCAACCGCGCGGACCCATATCATCGATGCGGGGGCTTGCGGCAGCTCGTCCCGCGCTTCCACCACAGGCCCCTGCTGTAACGATCTGACCGCAACTCTATGCGCCGTCCTTGATGACGCTCTCGGACCAAATCAAGAGTGCTCTCTGTCCCATTCTCAACCATGTGATGAACTAGACTGCGACAGACGGCGATGTCGGTTCTGTATTGAACTTGTGGGTTGGCATAATGCGACGGAGCCCCGTTTCGAAAAAGCGTTTCGAGGCCGGTAGAAACGAGAGGCATAAGGTATGTACATGCTTGAGTGGATGAGCAAAGATCGTCGGGGACTGTCCTGCGCCGTGCCCAGTCTCAGCGTCAGAGGGAATTTCGGAGAGATCCGATTACATGCATATCCGTACAGTGGGTTCAATCCCCAGACACACACTTTTTTGTCACCGCAACCCTTTGACGCATTTCTGCATAGCTTTTAACCACTAAGTCTAACGTTAAGACCCTAGGAAAATAACTATATACAAATAAGAGCATGGGTCCCAGCCATTTATATTCTGTCTACCAACCCCTAGATTTCTTGACTGCAGCCAATCGCTGGGGGATTGCACCGATCAGCCGGTCAATCTGAGCCTGGTCAATTGCCCACCAGCATGCCCCAAGACACTTGGTAGACTCAGCAAATCCAGCTGGTTTTGCTTGGGTCACCAGATATCAGGATATTCCTGCTTCATCCTCTGTTTCAATAGAGCCCACATATGCTCGACTGGGTTGAGATCTGGACTATGCGGTGGCCAATCTTCAAGCACCTCAATTGTATGCTTCAGGAGCCAATCGGTCCAGGATGCAGACGTATGAACCCGGGCGTTATCTTGCTGGAAGTGCCTCGTCTCATCGTAAAATGGAAGAAGACCTTGTTTCAATGCTTGTTGATAGCTCCACGAGCTATATCCTCCTTTCTGCGGTGGCTTATAGTTGCGCTGCATGATCACAAAGATCTGTTGTCACGAATACCTGTAACCAACGACAGGCCGCATGGGGGGAGGCCAGATGTGCGGCGTGGGAAACGCCCCAAACCAATCATTCAGAACAGCAAGGAAGACCAGTCAAGATAGGGCGCTATGGCGCCAAGACAATCGAGCACAGCATGCAAGATGCTAGAGGTGATCGAAGTCATAATAGGACGAGCATCTAGGGGCTCGAGAGTGCTCGGCATGCGAGCACAGCGAGCACTCTAGGAGTCATAGAAGTATACAGTCACTCGTTCTGGAAGACTCTGGGAGTTCTCCAGTAACGTAAGGAATCACAGTTTGTATTTACGGGTACGGGGACAATTGCCTGTGCACTTGTTGGGAATCCGTTAGCTTCACCAAACCCACCCAGTTGTCAAATACCTTTAGGAGTCCCTTTCAGAGTTGGGGCTTGACAGATTTGTCACACATGCCATGATAACAGGATGACAGGAACGGGGAATCATGTGGCATTTCTGCATCCACGCTTCCTGAACCTGTGGTACTACCAACCGGATTAACTACTCGTCTGGAAGGAAGCCGTTGGTTCCGCAGCTTGAGTGACTTTTTGGCCAGTACTGACTCTATGACCCTTCTAAGGTCGGTAGTAGAGCAATGGGCCTGTAGTCTCCCGGCGTCTGATATACTAGCGGAGCCTTTCCCGGCTTTGGTAGCACTACGGTCTTTGCTCTTTCGCAACATCTGGGAAACCAACCTAGTTCAAGACATCTTGTAGCCGTAAAAACCCCAAGGAGCTTGGCAACAGATTTTCAACTGCGAGACCGTGGTCAGCAGCTGCGTTCCACGGCATGGGGGTGCGGGATGTATTCACATTTACCATATTCCGGTGGTATGATGCAGCCGCAACAAATTTCTAATGTAACCTTATAGTTGATATCCTGTCTCGTCACTTCCTTCGGCAACTGTTTATCAACTGACGATGTGCGTAAAGCCCGCCGTCGTGTACCGCTTAAGTCTTGAGGCGCTGGCTGCCAAAGTGTAAAAGCTAAGGCCTACTTAACAGCTAGTCCAGAGGGCGGTCACTCGACCTAACATGAGTAACCATTTTAGAGATATGAGTAACGTTATAGTGAGTGAAGAACATGCAGTGGAGTGCGCCGGACGCTAATTCTAGTCTTCGCGTCCAACTAAAAACAAGATGACTAACTCCCGGACATTAGATTTCATTTGCTACGCTAGGTTTGGTTTTGACTTGCCATGACTATAGCATCTGAATGAATGAACCTGGCATAGCCATTGAATCTGGTTTTGGAAGCCATAACCAACCCTATAGAACGAACGACTTTGTCCAACATGACAATTTTTTTGCACTCTCTGGCTCGTTTGAACCCAATGTCTAGGTAAACCAAGTCCAACTAAGTCCAACCCTCCTGTCAATGGAAAATCAACCCAAACACAACTCGGATCAGTAAACCGTTGTGAAGTGGCTGCTGCTAAGACTTACCATTACATTAGTGACGTTACCTCAAGAATTCAGAGAGACTTGGACTTACTAAAGGTTTTGGACCGTTGGAAAGTCCAAGCGTGCACATCTAAGGTACGCAGTACGCGGCCTGACCGCCGTTGACCAGCCGGCAACCCGGATGGCCGTAGGTTATGCCACAGTGGGCGGACAGCTGCCACTGGCCGTAGGAGTTGCAGACCCAGATGTTAGATCCGTACTCGTTACCCTCGTGCTGGTCTTCGCAGGTGTATGTTCCGGGGGTGCAAGCCAAGGCCGGGCGAGCCACAAGCAGCAACATGGTAGCCGCAGTGAAGATGGAGGACAGATACAGGTGCATGTTGAGTTATCAAAGGCAGAGTGACTGGTAGGTGTCTTGTCGATGCCAATTTCAGACTGCTGAAGTTTTGGAAGTGATGAAGGAGGAGAGAGTTCGGAACTATAACGAAGGCGAACTGACGAGCCTTTATACTGCGAAGTTCTCCTTTTGATTCCGCCTTTCACCAGCGTTGCTGCCCAGAAACGGTTCATATTGACAGGGTTTTGAAGTGCTACGCGAGTGGGACGGCAGCAAGGGTCGGTAACTCGCAATAAAAGGAGAGGTACGGTACTGGTGAACAGTTCTCACACGGGTTTCTCCGAGTCGATAACTATCAAGGTTGTTGACTGTTGCTTATAGGTACAGTTCATTGGGCATTGGGTATGATCTGGCCTCTAAGGATTCGCTACCGGAAGTGATGCTAGTTTGGCCCTTAAGAATGATTTGCCAATTCAGGAGGATTCCATCACGGCCCCCAACTCATTTGAACCCCGGATAGTAGGCTGATGGCCGCATGTTGCGAGTTGATCATCGGAGTGCTGCTGAGAAAAGCCGTGGCTTTAGTGTCCATTGTTACGCTGTCTCAAGATTGAGGACCATTGTAGACGCTGATCGTCGCCATCCACTATAGAATTCAAACTAATCGTCGAGATGGATGGATGGAATTTATTTCGCCCGGAGGCACGAAGCCTAAAGGGCCTTGGCACGTTAATCACATCCGATTCGTTGACGGTTGACGACGTCACCATAGCTTACTGGGGTTCTGCGCCGCGAGACGAGAGTGCAACCCGCCATGCCTTCTCGATCCTCGACGAGACCGAAGACGCCCTCACCCTCAGCCTGCGGCGATTCTGCCAACGGCCCGAAGCCCTGCAGCTACAGATCTATTGCACCATCCTCGGAGTGGGATCGTGACCCGTATGGGTCTCCAAGAGAAGAAGAAGACGCTGCCGCGGCCGGTCCGCCCGACCCAGATCCCGAGCTGGACAAGCCGGCATACACCCACAAACACCGCTTCCGCATCGTGCCAATCCGCGAGGTGATCAACCCCCTGCTGAAGGCCATGGCCCACACCATCAGACGGCTGCCCCGGCTGTCAGATTTCAGTGGATCGACTCGAACGACTGGCCTACGCACAGTGTCGAGTACATCTCCAACTGGCGTGACGGGGGTGGAAACTTAAACTTTGATGGATGGGGCATATATGAGGACGGGATGACTTCATTGACACCTGCGAACCACTTGTGAATGAAGACATTCTTGAGTATTTCATCGAGTTGCCGTCTGCCAGGAAGCTCGAAGAGGGGATCAATGTTAGTTATATCTGAATATTCGTAGGTCCAAATTACCTTACTTGCGAAAGGATCCAGTGTCCTAGAAAAAGGGTGCGTTCCCTGGGCGTCTCAAACAACAAATATGATTTATAATGAAGCTCTTGGGCACTTCGGAGCATGCGCTTAGTTTCAGGAAGGGCCACTGCAGTTAGTAGACTACTAGTAAAGTACAGTACCATCATAGCAGGCAGTGAAAAAAGTAAAAAGGAGATAAAAAGAGATCGAAAATTCGGGCCCTACCAAGTTACGTGACATATATCGAATGGCCAGAAACGAAGAAGAATAAGGTAACAAGACGGAATGGAAAGATGGAAAAGGAAAGGCCGAGGAGAAATAGTGGAGAAAGATGGCTAATCCTGAGCCAACTGCGAGACCATATGTTTGAGTCTCAACTCTTCAATCGAAAAGCCCTTCAGTCTTGGTGTGCTGCAGATGTGACAGATTCTTTCGTTGGCCTCAGGCCGGGCCTGGGCCAAAGAGGTCCAGGTTGTAATTGGTGCCATGTAGAACCACTTCGAATCATGAGAGGAGGGCTCAAGCAGGGGAACCTTTTCCATGCCGGCGTACTCCAACATCTTGAGCTTTGAGCTTGAGCTGGAAAAGGGGCCTGCTTGGTAGCCGCGTGTCAAACGTCCAGCCTTCTTCACATGACCAGGCAGACTTCACGCACCAGCACCCTGATCTCTTTCGGCCGTCTTGATGTTTCTGTTGGGACCGGCGGTTGAGCGGCTGGGAAAATTGAACGAGAAGGTGGGCAAGTCCGGGCGGGTGCCGGTGTGCCCTTGGGTTCCCGTACTACCTAGGTTGCTGAAGAGGCCAGTGCCGGGAGGGCCAGGTGCAAAAATGGGCCTCCCTGCTGACGAAGAAGATTGCCCACCAAGACGACTTGGTGCCGGAGATGAGCTGAAAATGGACTGTGTGGAGTTGGTGCTTGTCGAAAAGAGCCTAGTTTCAGATGGTTGGGGCCTAGCACCTGCAGTTGGTGCTGCTGGCGGATTCCCGAGCGGAGTGGGAGATCTCGAAGGAGTTACAGCATCTTCGCGCGTTAGGGTAACTTGTCCAAGGTATCTTGGCAAACACACACAGTGTACTTACTTAATACTGATTGCGCACGCTCGGAAACGGAGAGACGGGATAGAGTCGATGCGAGCCCTATTCGTCATGTCAGGCTTCGTCATGTCAGACTTCGATCATGGTGTGCGACGTGCGCTCCACGTCAAGGTTGGGGCCACGCACCCGTTGATTCCCTTGGCTTGTGCTTCTGGCACTTGCGAAGGCCCTCTCTCAAGATTCTGACCTCCTCTTGGAGACGGCTCCTATTCGTCTGAGTCTCCTCAGACTCGGAAGCCAACTCTTTCAGTTCGTCGACAGACATTTCCTCGACTTTCCTCGCGGTCAGAATGTTCTCGACCTTAGAGATGAGACAGCTCTCTACCGCAAGATTGACGACGTTGTCCATGAACGTTCTAGCCGAGATCTGCTCGTTAGCGTCAGCGTGTATCCAATATTGGGCACCTTCGAGTAAGGAAAGGCTCGCTCACCTCGTAGTAAGCAACCATCATGTCGAGAACCTTCTCAGTGCCAAACCCGCTTTTCTCGGATTCGTCCCACTCGTCTAGAATAGCCCGCTGAATCTTAGCACGGTTTAAGGCACCTTCGTGATCGGCCTGGAACCACTGAGGATGGTACTCCTGCAGCTTGTCCGCAACCCTATCGGCAAGCCGGTGAAGGGTCTTCTTGGACACTGCTGCGAGAAACTCTCTCTCCGGGGGAAGGCTACGGCCGTTGATGTAAGGATGAAGGAGCTCTTGCAGTTTGGACTGAAGATCCTCCTTTCTTTTCTGAAAGAAAGGCTCAACGCAACCCCTCCAGATGGCATCGGCCGTAGTCTCATCAGCCCCAATGAAGTGGTCGAACGCCTGGACTACAAACTCCTTGGTCATCTTGAGGACCTGGTCAAGGTATGTTTCGGCGATTCCTGGCCAGCGCTCGGCCTGCTCCTTGAACAGCTGCAGGACGAGCTCCCCACTGGGCATTCCCGGAAGTTCTCGCCCTTGGTTGGAGGCTGCGTATGACAGAAGACGGTCGTTAAGGTCCTGCTCGGTAATCAACTCGGGCTCAGGGACTCTGTAGACGTCGGTATATGGTCGTAGGTAATCCTGAATCCGTTCACCACTCTCGTCTGACTCCTGGTCGTCATCTTCACCGTCGTCGGCCATGCCGTTCCCCCAGTCAATCTCATACCGTGCTCCCTTCGTCTCCATGACGGCGTAAAATGAGCGGCTGAGGTTTCGCAGCACCGCCCGAAGCTTCATTGCGTTCTTGTCCTCGTCACCAATGGCCCCGAAGAATTTGTCGTTGTACCGCCCCTCGACAGCATCGCGCGCCAAGCGCTGAAAGTCCCCAGTGATGCCGTGGAGATACGACCGCAGCTCGTCCGGGCTCGATCTCGACTTTCCTAGCCGGTCAAGCTCTTCCTTACAGGCGCTTAACTTTGCTTCGATCTCCTGGATCATGTGGGGCAGGCTTGCCTTGATGTGGTCGAGAAGCACTTTGCTGAGCCTTTTCCGCAGGCACTCAACGCCCCTATTCAGGGGGCTTACGGTGTTCCATGCGCTCGTCTGAAAGAACTGCTCCTCCTTGGCATCTCGGGCGTCGGCTCCTGAGGCTCTTTCTTCCTCGGACCTGTTCCGCAACACGTACCAGCCGAGGGCCAGCTTATGCACGCTCTCGCGACCCTTGGCCAGGTCAAGGTACTTCCGCTCGTTGGACGATCCGGCCAGGTCGGGTTTGGTAATGACACCAATGGTGCGTTCCTTGAGGGGGTCGTACTTTCGAGCTTCTTGCAGGACCAGCTGATTGGCCAACTGGTTGTTCGCTGCGACGACGGCCAGAATGATGCTCTTGGGTTGCTTCATGTAGCTCTCAATCAGCTGGTCCACAATCTCCTTGCCCTTGAGGTCCTGGTCGGCCGTCGCGCTGTGGAAGATGCCCGGTAGGTCGACAAGAGTCAGTGGGTAGATATCCGGACCAGCGATCTCGACGCGGAGGATGTCCTTGGAGAACCTCTTGGTACCGCCTTTCGAAATGCCCATGAGCTCTTGAGCCTCCTTGATGATGTCCGGGAGGGCATCTTTGTCGAAGCCTTCTCTCTGAAACGGCTGTGGCGCTGCGCCGCCACGCGGTGTGATGGCAGAGGGCTCGTCGGCAAATTGGATGGTGACCTCGAGTGCCGTTTTGTCCGCTCGTCGAAGAATGAGCTCCGTGGCAAAGCGTGTGCACAGATCGCCATCGACGGGGAAGCGAACGCGCGAGATGGCTTCGAGAACGGAGCTCTTTCCCGAGGACTGATCGCCGACCACGATGATCTGAGGCAGGTCGACGAAATCGCCAACCCCAAGCTGTCGGAGACCGTCGATGGTGTCGAGCAGTGCCCGCGCGTCGGAGCTGGTCATCTGCGCCAACGAGCTGGCGTCGAGAGTGACCTGTCTCGGTGAAGGCTGATCCATGTTTGCTTCCCCGTTTGTGGTTCAAGAGTAGAATGAATTTCAGCAGCAAAAGAGGTTGATTCTGGGGATGGTTTACCAAGAAGTTGAAAGAGAGTTGGGCTGCCTCAAGTCCTCACCTGATGGCCAGTTTATCTTTCCATCGATCCATGTCTGACTTGAAGCACCAAAGGGGCGTTGATCCAGTCTGACAAGGTACCTCATGCAAGCTTGTCGTCTCTGTCACCAACAGTGTTTCATGGCTGAAGCACGGCGCCTAACCGGGAATGCTGGGGATTGGTTGTGCTCCTGCGAGGCTTTGCTGCAAGCAATCAAGCTGAGCTGCGACCGCACAACCAGCTTCAGATCGCCCTCGACAGCACATGCGAGCACCTTGGCTCGTGCTCGTGAGGCTGCGGCGCATTGCGTTATGGTGGGTAAGAACGGCAGGCAACACGCTGCGTCCGGCCCAATTCCGCCGTGGCATGCACGAGCACTCCGTTCAAAATAAAAACGCACTATCGATCGAGACCATCGTGACCGTCGAGGGCGGCGAAGAGTCGGCATATACAGGACTCCATAACGTTAGGCGGTCGGTGACAGTGGTGTTTATGAACTTTAAAGCAACACGCCTGCAAAGCCAAGGGACTCAAAGTGAGAAACGGACGAGGAGATGGATTGACACTGAATCTCGCATAAACTCGTGTTCGTTACTCTTCAGCTAATTCGTTGCCTAACGTATGAATACGGAGAAGACTGACTTGTTTCTCCAAAGCGGACTTCGCTGGGTCCTATTATTACACCAAACGGCCAACAGTTTCTTATCTTCATTGTTGTTCGAATGGTGCGGTTTCTTGTCCTTATAGCGACTAGTTCTGGTTCCTTCTGAGCTGATAGGGAACTTTTATGGGCAAAACCTGGCAGCAAGCATTGAGTACGAGTTGCCCAACCTGAGTGCAAAAGAGATCTAGACTCTAACTAGTGCGATTTATTGCTTATGTGATAGTTACGAGTATGCGCCAAAGTGAACACATTGACTATCTCACCTTGATTTCATACTCGCGCTGTCCCAGAATCGATGCAGGATTCCACCATTGCTTGCCCGTAATCTCAAAGTTCAGGTATCCAACAAAGCGTCCGCCTTCACACTCTCCCACACGCCATCAATTCGTCTCACCGCATCGTCACTTAAAGGGCCCTTCTTCATAGCCACGACCGTCTCCCTCAACTGCTCATGCTTCCTGGCGCCCACAATCACGGCATCACCCAAGTCCCCGCGCAGTTTCGAGTGGTACACAATCCAGCGATATGCCAGCTCTGCGCGCGACACGCCCTCGTCCCGGGCGGTCTGATCCCATTCATCCAGCGCCGCAACAAAGCTGGGCCGGTTGTACATGGCATTGTACACGGGCGCGAGCGGGTTCTTGTCGCCGAAGCGGCCCTCTGCGCCGCCGCTGGTCAGCTGGGCCTTGGACTTTGGCCAGAAACCCACCGGCGATGGGGATGTAGGCATAAAAGGCCAAGTTGTGCTTGCGCAGCACCGGGAAGAGCTCGGTCTCGGCGCGCCGGGCGACGGCGCTGTAGTTGCCCTCGAAGACGGACGGGACCACGAAGTTGTTCTCCTTGGCCAGGGCGATGACTTCTTCGACTTCGTGCGGGAGGAAGTTGGACAGGCCCAGACGACGGAAGGCGCCTCGTTTATACAGCTCGTTGGCGCCGCTGAGGGTTTCCTTCCAGGGGATGCGCCGGTCGGGCGTGTGGAGGCAGTACACGTCGACCTGGCAGCACGGGTGGTTAGGTAGAACTCGAAAGAGTTTCGCCTGATGACTTACCGCGTCGGTCTTCAGCTTCTGCAGACTCTGCTCGCCGGACTGGATGACGTGGTCCTTGGTGGCGGGCTTCTGGCCGAAACCCCCGTCTTGCTTGGTGTCGATGGTGAACTTGGAAGCGGCGCCGGCCTTGCCCAGTAGCTCTTCTGACAGACCGTAGCACTGCGCCGTGTTGATGTTCTTGATGCCGACTTCCTCGATGGCGGGCAACCACGCCTTGACGACGGCTTCGGTGGCCGCAACGAAGGAGGCACTTCCGAAGACAATCTTGATTTGGTTTGCAGACATGGTGGGCGTGTTTGTGCACTGTGTGTAGTCAGTTCAGGACTAAGCTTGGCAAAGTACCCATCACCTGTTCCAGGTCGTAGGCACTCAAAAATATATCATTTTGGGATTCCATTCGGGCTACTGGGTCCGTCCGGCGCGGTGCAAATGATGTTGTTGGATGTTGGTTTATTAGTCATCTTGAATCAAGGCCCCTTCATAGGATCATTTGTCACTCTGTGGGCTTGACTGCTTGATGAGACACAAGTCGGGGAAGCCGCTGACAATTCTTACTGCGTGTGCAGTGGCATGCAACTCGATTTGAAACCGACCGCTGCGTGGCAGCTCTCAACGACTGAAAGCGACTGGAATGCAACCGTATTGCCCTGGACTCATTTATGAAATCAGGATTCGTCGCTACGCTCGATCAAATCCACTCGCTCAATGTTGGTTCGAGTGCTTTGATGGAACCCAATTTTCAAGCATTGTTGAGCACTCGACATTCGGCGGTGTTCCGTAGATTCGATGGCCAATGCCCAAGAACGCGCCCCGTTCTTTCTGGGCTAAATCGGTATGGCAGTGGCGGCTTTGTGTACAGAGTACTGTACCTAGGTTCCGTCACCAAGCTTTAAATGGCACCGCAAAGCCAGTTTTTACTCCTGCAACCACCACTACACACATCATCGTGGCCTTCAGATATCAACAACCTTCGGCTTCCCCATCTTCGCACCCATTTTCTAAGGCGGTAAGAGTCATCGCCAGACTTCTCCCCTATAGAAATGGCCTGGCAAGGCCCAAAACAGTATGTAAGAAAGCGGCCTTGTTGCGACGACGACATCGTCAAAGAGCTTGCAGCGAGGAAGGTTGGGCCTCTGTTAACCAGGAATCTATCAACAAATGACACAAATGGGTGGATTCAAACCCACAGATCTTCAAAATTTGCTTATAGTTAGATTGGGGGATGACTGGCAACGAGATATATCGAATTTGCAGCTATTTTGAGTGTGTAGATGGTTGAGTATGGTGGTGGGCCCTTTTGCAGTGCCAATTACAGTACAGTAGTTAAACCTTTGGCAGGGGGCTAGGTAAGAAGGTATCGTGACGATGGATTGTTGCAGATCAGGGTATCGGCCACCCGATTCGACCAAGCCATGGGTTGATGGGTTGATCGCGACGATAGGTGCAAGGGAGTCTGTAAAGCCAGGAGATCTTGTAACAGGGATCGGCTATTGACGTATAGGTAGACTGCATATCTACGGGATGCATTGGATGCCCAGACCGGCACCGACGAGTCTGCCTGCGTGTCTGCCCGCTCAATTGGGGTGCTCTCAGGATGCCACGCTTGGAGCTCTGAGGTGTGGCAGGGAAGTTCCGTCGGGGCTGAGCGATCAGGCGATGCGGGATCTGCACTGCCTCCAGCTGCATATGCGTGTGTTGGAAACTTGGAGTGATGCTGCGACTGGCGCAGCATCATTCCCGTAGCTGCCAAAAGTGGGCCAGGAAAGCGACTAAATCAGAAAGAGACTAAGTGACCAAGTTGATGCACATCGGTGTCTCGAAGCGAAAAAGAACTGTTCTTACTCGGTAACCACCTTCATGTTCCAGGCTAAGAAAACTTGCAGGCTGTGTCTGCAGTGAGGTGCGACTAAAGAGTCTGTGACCGAATCATAAAATACCCGGAATTTGACTCGCCTTCAGCTGGTCTTCACTCGTCCCTGCCCGAGAAGCAGCACCACGACCCAAACCGTCGATTTCTCCCTTCCTCTCTTCATCCTGTTTTGGGGTGGCCAACCACCGACAACAAAACATGCAAAAGTACATCCCAGACAGAGAATCCGAAGATTTGAACCAGCCCTCTCTTGCCAGCCATTTAACATCGCCGGAAAGCAGCGACAGTCCAAAGCGCAACAGCGACCCGGTCGACACACCCCCGCCCGCTTACAGTGCGAGAGCTCCTTCAGATGCATGCTATGCACATAATGCAATAGAGAACCAGGCGGTCAGCCTGACGGCGGCATTCGAAGACTTGGTTCTGTCCGACTTGCCCGTTGACCCGAGCGTCGACACATGTCTTGCCCATCTCAAGTTGCTCTTTGCCATCCAATGGATGAAAGAAGACGTTGGCTTCGCCGACGGGCTCTGGGGTCTCTGGGATGCCCAAGCCGGCCCCATGGACCCAGTCCACAGGCGACGGCCCGAGAAGGTGAAGAAGGAAAAGGACGAACCAGAACCAAGCGCCGAGGAAAAATTGCGAGAAGAGAACCTCAAAACCCTCAGCTTGATCCGGGAGAAGCGATGGGCCTTGTTCATTGCCAGGGCCGTTCACCGGTACGAGACATGGTGGAAATCTCTGATGGACGTGTTCCCTCAGCGACCACTGTCCGAGGCCGACATGGAAATCCCCGGGTTTGTCATGTACGAGGGCTTTCCCACCGACCGTAAGGCAGTCTTTCGGTGGCGTGAGGACATGCTGCCGCCGCTTGGTATGTTCTTGCTCTCAATCTCAGCCTCCTTGGCCGACACTGACCTGCTCTCCAAGATGTGCTCATGGTCTGGCACACTCACATGCTAAACCCTCGCGCCTTCCTGGAGGACGCCATGTTAGCAGGCCTGAGGGACTTCTGGAACACCGGCATGCCGTGGCGCCTCATTGACAAGGCCATCGACACCGACTTCAACTACACCGTTTCCTACGAGTGCAAGGCGAACTGGACGCGAAAGACAGGCCTGGCTTGGAGCAACGAGGACGACCCGCTGACCAAAGCAGTCAAGTGCCCCGGCTGTAGTACATCGATGCAGATCCCCTGGACTACATGCGGGCTTCCAGCAGATCATCGGAGCAAGAAACCGCTTGATCTGAAGGCCGGCAACAAGCCGCCGCCGGACCTCAGCGGCCACGGCTTTGGCGACGGCGACCTGATGCACATCTGCCCGGGATGCGGAGTCGTAATCCGCAAGGAGCTCCTCTCGGTCGCCAAGTTTGTCGGCGACTTCAAACTCCTTCTCGGCCCCAAGAGTCGCCCCATGCCCGGCACCGTGCTGTGTCCCAAGACCGGCAAGCCCACCACGTCGGCCACCCCGCCTCTACCTTCGGCCCACACCTTTCCCAACCGCCTGCTCAAGAGCGATTGGAACTCTGTCAGGACCAAGATTTTGGACCTGACAACGTTTCGCGAAAACAAGAACCCGACCATGGACGATGTGCGCAAGGCGATCGAGGTGTTCCTTCGGGACCCGTCAAGCGTCTCGTTAATCAACGGCCCGTTCACGAGGACCTACCAGCTACCGGTTGAGTCGCGGATCGCCGTCCGCAAAATGATGTCACGGTACTGGGAAAACTTCAGCCTGTTCGCGCTCGACCTGTGCGGCGCCGTCATGCGGCAGGGCATCTTTGTCGAGAAGATGTGCAGGCTCGATTGGCTGCACAGCCCGGCGGCCCGCGACACCATGGAGCGTCTTCTTACGAAGTACAAGCGCTTCATGGATATCATGCAGGCTAGCCAAGGCCAACTCCTGGTCCCGACGCTTGATGTCGACCTCGCATGGCACACGCACCAGATGAGTCCCAGCAAGTATTATTGCTACACCGTGACCAAGTTGTCGCGCTTCGTCGACCATGACGACAAGATCGACGAGGCCAAGCTCAGCGAGCAGTTTGAGTGGACTAGCAAGACGTACCAGGAGATGTACGGCGAGGTGTACAGCGAGTGCACATGCTGGTACTGCGAGAGTAAGTGCTGTTCCTCCAGTGCTGTGATTGTTGTTACTGACGACACAGCCATCCGGTCGGAGCACATCAGCGGCCTCGGCAAGATCTTTAGCCCCAAACTGTCCAAGCAGGGAAAAAGTACGCGCCTCCACCGACTTCCCATGGACTGTCGCCGTCTTCTAACCCCCGTGAATAGTAGCCGAATCCTTCCATACCTCGGGAGCCGCCTCCCTTCGTACGTGTGCTCCAACTCCATGTCAACCCCATCCCAACGATAACTGATTTCCCTGATGAATACAGACCCCCCCTCAACATCAGCCCACATCTCCTCCCACCCAGCCGTCAAACCCATCTACCGCGAAAAGAGCCCCTATGCAAGACGCCTGGTCCACCAAGTCGAAGCCAACCGCCTTAATTACCGCCTAAACAAAGCCTACGCGAAAGCCTGCGCCCGCGCCGAGAAAAAGGGCCGGCCTCCGCCCAAAAGGGACGACGATGTCTACTACGACCACTGGGGCTACCCGTATCTGTACACCGCGCCGTATGTGTATCCGCTCTGGTGGACGCCGGGGATGTACTGTGGCTATTCTCCTGGCTACTTGCCCGAGGGGGGTTCCTCGGAGGGGTATTACTGGGCGGATTGTGCGGCGGGGACGTGTGGTGGGGGTGTTGCTGCTGGGGCTTGTGGGGGGCCGGGTGTGAGTTTTTAAAGTTTACCTTACATTGTGTCTTTTGTTCTTATGACGGGTGAAGATCATGGCGACTGTTGAAGGAGATGCTGACTGTTGGCTTATAGGGATGTGGTGGTGCAGGTACAGGAGGTGTGGGCGTTGCGGGTGGGTGTGCGAGCGGCGGCAGTGGTGCGGATGGTAAGTTCAACTACGTTTTTGGCTTGTTGCTGATAAAACCTGAGGTCAACCACTGACATGATGTTGTCGCAGGTGGTGGAGGAAGCGGCTGCGGCGGTGGGGGCGGCGGAGGCGGTGGGTGCGGTGGTGGCGGCGGTGGTGGATGCGGTGGTTAGTCCGGAGGACTGCGCGGTTCAGGGCATTTTGGATGAGTTGTGTTGGTTGGAAGCAGGCTATTCATTATTGGCATACAATCTTGCATCGTGTCCTCTCGCCGCTGCTGACATTCGCGTGCTTGGCAATTTGGCTGGGGCTGTGCTCGTCGATCACTGACAAACTGTAGATGACCTACTGGTACCTTGTAGATGGGCCAAGGGATACGATACGGTGTGGAACAGCACAAGGTAAGTCGTCGTGGTTAAAACCGCGAGTTGGGGCGTGGTAGTGTGCTAACATGCCCTTCCTACTCTGGCGAGTATGCAGTTTCTAGTTCAAGACTCCGGCTCAAACACAGGAAAAGACAACCGGCCGAGGAGTCACAAGTCGTTACGATAACGAAGACGGTGTGGGCAGCGGCTTTCTACAAACCACCAGCGCAAAGCAAGCTTCAAACTGAAGCGGTGAGGAAAACCTGCTTGCTGATATCGCCGAACCAACCGTCTGTTTCCTCCAGTAGTCCGGTTTCAGGGGGTGCAGCTGAACGTAGCACTTACCTAGCCGCTGTCTCGGTGTCAACGAACTTGACTCCTGCGTAAGCAGCTTGCGCCGATGTCCTTTCCGACACCTCGCGGGAAATCTCAACCCCCGGTCAAAACGGCGGACACGAAGACCGAGGGAGCAATGGATAGGCGTGAGGCAGCGGGCAATCGTTAGCGATTTCTGCAGCACAATGGCTCGTGGGGGTTGCTCACATTGCTTTTCTACTGCACAATTCGGGCATCATTCGCCCATTGGCATTCCGTGCCCACGGTTTCCAGCTGGCTGGATCCCGACGGAACACAACACAACGACATGTGTGTGATACCGCACGACAGGGCTGCATGGGACACTGTGCGGAGATTGCGTTTCGCCGTCCCGGCCTCCTGGAACCTGGCATCCGGCACACTGGGACATGCTGCCGGGCGTGGTCCTGCCCCGGTTGTCGACGCCATTGGTCTCTAAATACGACGCCAAGGGCGCCGAGCGGCGCTATGCCGGGAGCATTTTACAGTAGCATTCACAAGCGCTGTCCGGGGTCTTCAGCACACCGGGGCTCTGAAACAGCGAGGGACTAACCCTTGTCCAGCTCCCAGCCGAGCACATGTCCCGTTGACGACAAGCCACAATACGGAATACAAAACCCCCACCCCCGACCAAGTGGCTGGCTCAGCAGGGGACGCCTTCTTTCGGCTTGCCGAGTGCGGCTTGGGCGCGGACCGCACGCCGGTCGGCTGAAGTCGGGAGCGCTGCTGGTCGCCTTCAGGACCCGACAGTCTGGTTTTCCCCATCCATCCCTCGCGTGCAGAATTCCATCGCGGTGGTTCCAGTCCCTGGGAACCTTCGTGCGGAGCCTGCATTATTTCTCATCAATTCCGGTCATTTCTGGACCACCTCCTGGCCGCCTGTTCCCCTTTTCAGTGACCGCGCTGCCTGTGTTCCACCCGAAATCTGCGATCGTTGTTACCGGGTCGTCGTTCATTGAGCACAGTCTCTCGTCAACCCGTCACGCGTCTTTCACATGGCCGCATTCGACCCCATCGAGTACTTTGGCATCGCCTGCTGCCGAGACATTGTCGTTGTTCAGCATGCAAGAACCCGAAGCCAGAGTTCCATCTCGCTACCGACTGTAAACCTCCCGTCATGCACTGCTTTGGAAAGGCAAGCTGCGTTTTCATCCATCTTACGTGGTCCCTTGGCTTTGACACTGACTATGAGTAGTGCTGCATGTCGGCCATGTCCGCATGTCTTGCAAAGTAGCGGCCATAGAGCAGCACGTCGTTCGTCTTCACCTTCACTCGCCGCCGGCAACATCACGCCGGAGGATTCCATCCATGAATTGGGCCTTGACTTTATCAACCCATCCCCGCCCGCATCTCCAAACGTCTCAAGCAACTCAAGTTGGACATCAGACCCAAACCAGCCCTCTTCGCTCTCACGATACGTCCACAATCATGAGCGCCATGAAGAGATTGCTATTTCCATGTCCGCCGCCACACCCCAGGATTGCTCCAGAGCGACTGTCGGTTCTCTAGCCAGCATTCTAGGCTTCCTGGACGGTCCCGTCTTCCGGAAACAGCGAGCTTCTGAGCACCATTCTCCCGACATGGACGCTTCCATGCATCGGTACTTGGCGGAGGTTCATCATCACGAGCGCGTCGCCCTTGACCTCGCGCATCAGCAGCAGCAGCAGCAGCAGCAGCATCATCAAGCGGCAAATACGACTGCAGACCCAGTGATCGCCCAGAACACATCGTCCATTTCCCTCTCGGCAGGATCAGGCGCCCAAGACGAAGACGACGAGGATATGGTTCTAATGCCCGAGAAGTGGCTGGAGTGGTACGTTCGGAGCGTCCTTGATTGTTTGAGGTATGCTGACATTCCTCCCCCAGCCGTGAACGGCGGAGAGAACGGGCCATGAGCCAGCCTCGGTTGTACAAGGTCCTTCAGTCGCGCAAGAGACGCAGCGTGTCACCCTCGCACGGGCACAAGGTTAAGATGCCGAGGCGGGAATGACCATTTAGTTCACAACTTCACAGGGCAGAGCAACGGTTGCGTCTTGGAAAGAAGCCTGATGCCTGCCAACCCCCAACACATGTTCGTTTACTGCTCGGCCATTTCGTTTTAGGATATCACAGCATGTCACCTCAAGAGAGCAGAGAGATGCCTGCCAAATCCCATGAATATAGTCTAATAGTTGCCCGCAGTCTCTGCAGTCGGCAGTCCCAGTGAGGTTGCCCTCAAGCTCTAATCCGAGCGTCCGAAAGCCAAATCCCAAAACGCCATGCCCAGTCTCAGATTACAGTCAGTGTACAGCATTTATACATCATGATACAATCCGTTTCACTTCACCACTCCTCGTCTTCCTCCGCCAAATCAGCCCAGCTCGTGCCCTTCGACACATAGAACGGGTCCCGCATCCACATGGGCAACTCCTTCGCGCCGTTCTCGCCGGCTTTCTCCTCGTTCTCCCCAACCTTCTCCTCAGCCTTCTCTGAGGCATGCTCTCCATCCACAGCATTCTTCGCCCGCGAGGCACACTTCCTCAACACCGCATCGGCGAGCCTGTCCAGCGTTCCCAGGTCCTCCATTTCCACCTCGGACAGGTCCTCATCCTCCTCAGGAACTGCATCAAGCAGCCTCCTGCCAAACTCCTTCACTTCTCCCTCCGTGTCATTCTGCCTCCATTCCTTCTCCAACTCCAACTCCAACTCCAACCCAAAATCCTGGTTCCGAGGGAACAACTCCCAGCTGAACCCGTCAAAGAATTCCGTACATCGCTCCCCACCGCAGCTGTGCGCATAGTTCCCCTCCTCATACAAGCACAGGTACCCATATCCGGGCTGGTACTCAGAGGGCTCGTCCAGCCATCGCTCTTCACCCTCTGGCGTCGTGACCTTGAGCTCGATTCCCGCAAAGCAAGCCGGCGCGTCGGCGTGGTCGTCGTACCAGCCCCACTGGCATTGCTGCAATGCGCCGTGGTACATGCCGGATTCGGACTCCCACACGTTGCGAACGCCCATGGTGCCTTGGCCGTCAAGGTAAAAGTCGCGGCCCCAAGGGCCGAGATACAGCCCGGTCCAGGAATCTGGGGAAAGCCGCGGGTGGTAACGCGACTCGGAGGATGTCGGGGCATCTTGGGCGCTTGACTCGTTGGCGTCGGGGGCAGAGACAGACTCAATGTCGCGCTCATCTTCTTCGTCTTGTTCCTCGATGTCCGACAGGCCGTGATACTCGTGCGACTCGAGCGCCGACTGCAGCGGTGTCGCGACGGGGAGGCGCACCCGCGTGCGGACGTCTTGCTCTTCGCGCTCTATCTCGATCTCGCAGAAATCCGCCTCGGGGTCCGAGGTGCGCTTAATGGGCGAAGGGGGTTCGTCGTCTTCGCTATCGATATACTCTTGAATGTCACCGAAGGGCGAAGGGTGCGAGAAACGCTCGCGGGGCGAAGGGTTCGAGGGCCGCTTAAAAGGTGACCCGGGCAGGTCTTCATTGCTGTTTATAAAGTCGTCAGGCGCGTCGAAAGCTAAGGTATTCAGACGCGTAGCGGGCATGCAGGACGAACACATGCAGGGTGAGGGGATGACCTCATCCTCGTCCTCTGAACTGCGGTTGACGTACGACTCCAAATACTCTAGAAGCTCAGGGACTGAGGGGCCGAACTGTTGTTCAGAGGCATTGTCCTCGTTATCGACTTGCTGAGGGCCCATCTCGGGGTTGGAGATGAACTCCGAGCTCGCCTCGCTTGCGAAGTCGTTCGCATCCTCCATTTCGGCGCTCTCTTCACACACATAATCGGCGAGAAACTGGAGGTCCATTTTCGGCCCGTCCGGGTAAGCGGCCTCATACAGCTCATAATCGAGGATGGTGAGTGGCCACATGTGCCCGCTGTCGGGGATGTGGAAGACAATGCGTCCGTCATTGAGAACGGCGTAGTCCAGGTGATAATCCCGTGACTCGGCCCAAGGGACGGGGTATGAAGCCACGATGTCCTATTCCGTGGTCTCATCGCCGTCCTCGTGTTCTTGGGTCTCCATAGCGGTGAAAGTGTGGGCATCCGCGGTGGTTGTGTGCTGAGCATTGGGATCGGCAGGGATGGCCTTCGTGGGTTCTCCATTGACGGATGTCGTCGAGTAATCTGTCACTGGAGTACCAGGGCAGGGTGCGGCTTCTGAAGCAGCTTCTGTGGTGATCTTGGAGTTGTTGCTGCTCAAAGACGTGCTCCTTGAATGGCTGCGACTGGTTGCAACATCCTCGGCTATCTCAACCGCGGCCGCCTTATTGCTGGCGAAATCTTCCGAAGCATTCCGAGTCTCGTCAGCGGTCAGGGCCATCTCGACTTCCTTGGGCAGCATCACGGCCTCAGATTCCGCAGGAGAGGCAGGAGTCACAGGAGTTACCGGAGGTACGGAGGTCGAGACGTCAACTGCAGGCACCGGTGCTTTGGTAGTGAAACGGAGTGGCGCCGTGCCCTCGATAGTAAGCGTCCGAGCAGCCCTCTCGAGAATGAGGTATTGCCGATTGAACTGAGATGTAGTCGGATTGGCCAGCCTCTCGCGCATTGCATCGCGCTCGGACCTGCGGTTCTCGAAAGTCTGAGGGACAGACCAGGTGATGTCAACGTCCATGAGGCGCTCGAAAGAGGTATCGAAGATGCTGGAGACGGCAGCATCGAAGTCATCCTCGAAGAAGAGAGGGTAAGAAGGAACGGCCGTGATCACGACGGCCGGCTTGTTCAGATTGCCAGTTTCCGGGGCGTTCTCAAAGTCCGGGACAAGGCCGCCATAGTCGGAAGATGGTTCTTGGATTGCAAATTCGTGATTGGTCGACTCGTCCTCCGTGCCTGAGACAATCGTAGAGTGGGAGTGGGTGATGTCATCTGTGATGACGACGACCTCGGGGACGTCGTCGGTGCACGCGACTTCGGAGCGCACCATGTCGTCCTGGGCATGTGGAAGAGGCTCTACCGCAGTGGCGCAATTCACCTCGGAGACAAGGCCTTCCTCGACTGTGAGCGCCGGCTCAGGCTCGGCGTCACGCTCGACATCGACGGAGGTGACGGGCGCGACAGCTTCCACAATGACGGCGGCAGTGTCTTGGTTGGAAGACACGACTTCATCGGCCCTGTGGGCGATTATATCGATTATATCGGCCGGGGTGGTGCCTTTAGCCGGATGGGCGATGGTCAAAAGGGCGGCATCTTCGGCAGCTTGCTCGACAAAGATTTGGAAGTGAGCAGTGGTCTCGATCGCGTCGGCATTGGCGATTGAGAGACCGAAAAGGAGCGCCTCAAAGAAGCGAACAAAGCCCTGGCTGATGGGCTTGAAAGGCCCGCCAGCCAGAGTCTCACAGCCGAAGCGCTTGCGAGCAACGGCCAACAGGGAGGGCGTCGAAACAGAAGTGGTCTCCATCGTGATAGGATGATCAGGTTGGTGGTCTGTGTTCATATTTGAGTCAGTCACCGGCCGGTCATGGCTCAGCGAGTTTGAGTGCGATGAGTGGACGGCGGTGGAAGAAGTGACAAGAATCAGTGCATGTGAGCTTGGTGATGTTGAGAAAAATTTGAGCGTGTGCCGCGGTGATGGGTTTATGGAGTAGGTAGGTGGATATGATGGTGGGGTGATGCCAGGGTCCAGGTTCATGACGCGCAATGATGTTGTTGCTCAGCCTTGTAAGCCGATATGGGGAAGCCAAGCATCACCGCTTGCAGCCTTGTTCTTGTTGAACGATGTCGAATCGCGGGGAGATGCAGATGGGAAGTGTTTGGATGGAATTTCACTTACTCAATTGATGAATGCGATGAAAACCGTCCATGATCTTTGGGATCGAAGGAATCATTGATGTCTTCGTCAAGGGTTGAGAGTCGAGATCTCTGCCCGTGTGGTCAGTCAGAGACGGGTTTTCGGTTCAATACAGCGACAACTTGGAGATATGCAGACTTGAAGGGAAGAGGACGAGTGCGGGTTGAAATCAATACACGGGAATTACTTACTTCACGACGGTAACTCGACAGGCAAGATTGCAAACTGAATCGCGAAGGATTGCAGTTGATGAATTCGACGACTGCGGATGCTGGGCGAAGAAGTTGTGAAGAGAAAGAGGTTGAGATGGGGCAGAAGATTGCCAAAATTAATGATCGCAATGAATAGCAGTTGATGAGATCGCAGACTTTGAAATTGCAGACTCTGAGACCGCGGACTGCAATTGCTGAGCGAAAAAGTTGTGGATGGGAAGAAGTCGAGAAGAGGCAGAAGATTTGGGAATTGTTTACTCACGAGATGGAAGTTCCGGACCCGCCCGGCTGCTTGTTTTGATCTGAATAACCCGCCTGTTCACCGGGCCGGTCACAGGATAGTGTCAACACCCCGGGCAGAGATCGCGACAGGAACTTCGCCGGGGCAACCAGAGCCGGTTAGCCTAGGACTGGGAGGGTTGTTTATCCTGTTCGACCATATTGCCGAGTCATAGTACTCCGTCCTGCTCCTCGACCCGGATAGTGGCACAACAAGCAATTTTGACAGTAGACATGTTGGCGTTCAGTACCATAGCTACAGATCTCCAAGAACCCTGCCCGCGCACATGGGCGGTTTTTGGCTATCCCACTCCCAAAGTTCGTCAAGTGCTGCTTGACTTTTAGATCCCCAATTGCCCCTGCGAGCAGCTGTGCCTGAGAAAGAATGCAGTGGCGGGGGCATGTTGATGATGCTGTGTCGTACACCAGACCCCATAGCTGGGCGTATCATCGTCGCCTAAGACCTACAGAAACAGCACGAAGACATTGACGGCAGGTGGTTGAAGACTTGGAACCAGCATGAAGGAAAGGCCTCAGTTTGTTCTGTCACACAGAGACGCCGCCGTTGTGCCTGGAAACGCATGCCTCTAGCTGTTCATGATATATAAGGTACTCGACGTCCACGCGACTCACTTTGACGTTAGCCCAACACTATCGTTCTCCAACCAAGCAACTTGCATCAGACCAGTGCGTATGCTGGTGGCTCCGTGGATGCTGCTGCGGTGAAACATCCACCGACAGATCAAGACGGCCTGACGTGTCAGGAAGTAGTTACCGGCTATGCTGTGAATGTTACTAGCAGTGGTAGTCCTTGGGGAATATTTCCATTTGCGCAAGATACCTGTCTGTGCCTGCCAGGGCTGAAGCAATGTTTTGACATGAGTTAAATCCCCAAGAGAATGGTGTATCCACGCAGAAACTGTATCTCAGCCACCCCAAGGAGAGCCGACAGCAACCCTCTAAGGTGAAACAGCTTGTTGTTGGTCTGCAGTGAAGAATGGACAATAAATCTCTGCAATCTAGAAGCAGGGGAGGGCATGAGACATCGGTCCGGGAATCTGTGGCGTACTAAGTCTGGTTCCTTTAAGTAGCGTCTCCAAACGTTGAGTCCATCACACAAAGTTGACGTATTCACTCTACCTCGTGCACAGAAACTCCGGAACCCTCTTCTGAGCATAAGACGCTCCTACACCGAAATCCATTGACGATAGCCTTTAATTATTCTACCCGAGCTCATTTTGACGCCCTATTCCTTAGTACCAGGATTGACCGCGCTCTACAAAAACCGCAATAAATCCATCTTCCACTGCTTCCATGCGAAATACGCTCCAAGCATGGCGAATAGACCGGACGGGACGCCGACGGATATGGCGATGATGTCTGAAGCGAAAGACCATGATGGGTTGTTGAAGGAGCCGGCACTGCAGTAGCTTTGGGGTTGGTGTTGAGGTAGGTGTAGTTGTGGGATTGGGCGTATCTAAGGTACAACGTCGGTGAGCACAGTTCTGTTACCACCGAGCCGTACCTGACCCTTGCACACCGAGCATCCTTCTTCGAGGACCTGGTAGAATACCAATATGTGGTGCTAAATGGCCATGCACAAAGTACGGGGAACATGGCACTAACCTTGAGTTGAAGACGCTCCATCAGTTGAACTCGTTATGGCGCTGTCGCCTCGCCAGCACAGTATTAGTCGTACACCGAAACCGCGGTAGAAGCAGCGGAGGGCGCCGTGGAAGCGCACCTTTCCAAGACGCAACTGGTGAGATATGACGATGCGGATGGAGCTGCGTCACCACGGGAGTAACATTTGTTTTTCCATGGAGACTGACAACCGATGAAAACTACAACAACATCATCCGCACCCTTGTGCCAGATGAAGTTTCTGGACGCATGTGGCTTGAGTAGCGTATTCGGGTACGTCAGCGATGGACACAGGCGCAACAGGGTCCAGTTCCGCCAATGTCCGCGGGCAAAGAGATGGAGGAACTGGACGACTTGCCTCGAGGGGGGAGAGTATGCCATGGCAACCTGAGATATTCCAACCCTTATGGTTATGGTTGTTCAGACACAGAAGACCGACCGGCTTCATCTTTGAGAACTCGGCACGGTACCCTTGGTATCTGTCGGCTGCCCCCCTGTCCACAGCAGACTGGATTGGAGCAACAGTCCATCATATAGGGTCCCAACCACACCCCCTTATATCACAACCCAACTCAGTTTCGCTTCGCGATTCCCGCAGGAAAGGCATTTCAGATCTTGCGGCAACGCCCAAATTTTCTGTAGTCCCGCAAGCGGTGATTGACTCATCCATCTTGAGCAGGATACGTTGGGCAGGGGTTGGGTGAGAGGGCTCTGCACGATGCATCACCAGCCTATCACTCGTTTGACGCCACCCACTGCAGTCACCTTGGCATCTGCGCATCTGACAATGCCTGTGCAGAAAGTTTCTCTCTTTCTTCCGTCCCGTTTGGTTTGATGAAATGCGCTAATGTCGTTATGGACCGAACAGGTACATGCAAGCGGCAGCCTGTTCACCAAACCGGCCACGCGGAAGGGGAAGTGGGCAGGCACTTAAGATGTAGGTCGGGTAATGCCGCGAATTCATGGTGCTACCGATGGAACTAGATCCAGGTTGCCTTCCTTTTGCAACGAGCACTGGAGTACCCAGACCTTACCAGTGCATGCAGGAAGCGTACGGTACTACTGTAGTATTGGCCAAGCATGCTACAGTAGTTGCCACTGAACTCCAGCCGACCATTGGAGTGAAGACCGGCTTGTCCACCTTGTACAAGTCGTCTGTTCTATTTCATCAACCCATTGAGATTTCAGTAACGTCTGCCCTCAACCTTCACCCAAGCGAGCTGATTCGCATTCCAGTGTCCGGATCAAGCCACACATCTAACCTCTCAACATTTCCACAGTCTGCCAGCGGCATCTTGACCCCAGCCCACACATCGTCGTCCTCCAGAAAGCCCACTCTGTGGCAGCTCGTTTGTGTTCCTTTCCATCCACGCGAGGTTGTCGGCCGCCTCCCAGAGCGCTTCGATCATGCCGCTATGTCGTGTACTGTCTCCGGAGATTGGGTCGCTGATCCATTCGGCGGGGGCATCCCAACCGCCGAAACACTCTTAGATGGCGTACTTCCATAACCGGAACATATCATCGGCTGGCTTGATAGTGGGCGGAATATCGGTGAACATGATGGAAGACTCGACGACTTTGTCGACCATGGGAACGACATGGCTCAACCAGGCGTCGAGGATGGCCACGGTTTCTCATCCTCGACCCGGCTCCTACTCTGAAGTTCAGAGTAGGAGGCGGGTCCGATGAGTTGGCGGTTTCTGAAAGGCGTGGGAATGCCAGTGTTTGGGCCATGATTTAGCAACAAAGCTGATTATTGTTCTTGGAGTTCTTGATGCCGAGTCGAGTGTAATCGGGACAAGCGAGAACATAATAACTTGGAAAAAAAAAAGTGGACTCCAGGTCTGGCGAGTCGAGGTTGGTAATCCTGGTATACGTCCATGGACATGCTGAAGTTGCCGCACAGCCAGCTGACCGTTGTCCCGCCCAATGATCCGAGGCACAATGCACCCAACAAGGGACATTAAGAACAAACGAGCCTCCAAGTTCTATTGTTCGAATTCATGTACTGTCACGGATATGCCAAGAGAATTCGAGAACCCACAGCGCTTTGTTTCGCACAAAGAGTACCTAGATTTCCACATCTCCCAATTCAGGTTTGTGAAGTCTGAGTGAAGTAAGCACCAAGTCACCAACCATGTATGGTAAGTGGCCCCAGAGAACCATGGAAACAGATAGGAGTGGCTTCGGTGGGCTGCAGGACGAAGATATAGGCCTGAGACCTCCCGTTTCTTCCGGTGACTGCCTTTGGCAGGGATTGTGTCAACATACTCGATCCAAGTATACCTTCATTAGTAGCCTTATTAGGTACCTTGGGTAACTGTAGAGATAGGGAGTCATGATGGTTTAATTTAGCTTGGCTTGTTGGAATCCAAGCGCTTTGCTACTATAATCCTTAACTAGATCGTGTCGCTTAGAGTGACTTTTGGACGACCAAATTCTTGTCAACATGGTGTTCTCTCTGACTCGTCAGTGAACAGGACGTATCTCCTCCAGACATTGCAACTGACCAACGCATTTGGACTGAGTCACTGGTAGAAACTGGATAGCCATATTTTTCAATCGATTCAGCCACCGTTGACCTGCAATCGTAGGCCCTTGATAACATCCTTAGCTAGCTCAAACGCCCCAGCCCGGATAGTCCAAATCTCAATATCGCCCATCCCAGATCCCGTGTCCTCAGCCGCCCTCGCCAGTACCACCAGAAGTCGCCATGCTGTGAAACGCGTATCCATTCGTGGCGGTCATGGTGAATTCGACAATGGAAAATGAAAGACGGCTTTGTGAACGAGATTTTGGCACCACGTAGTGCATAGGCCAGTTGGATGGCGGGATCTGGATTGATGTCTCTTGTGACGGGGATAGCGGTGATTAAAAGGATAGGAGGTGGTTGGAGCACCCTAGATTCCTGCTCTCATAATTGACCTCGAAGAACATCCATGATCTCCTCATGCGACACCTCCCCGGTGACTTCCAGGTCCTTTCCGAGGTAGACTAGACAGGCGTGCATCAGATGCTTCCTGATATCCTTGAGCATACCGCGAGTTATGTCGATCTTCATTGTCCGAACGAGGTCTGCCAACGAACGGTTTGCCTCGTTCAGGAGATCGAAGCCTTGTGTGCCCAGTTTTTCGGCGGCGGCATACCAGTTCCGGCTTATTTCGACGCAGGACTGGAGCACGGAGCACCCAAAATAGTTTTTTGGTCTTGTCCAACCACACGAATGTGTCCCCCAGTGACTGCGGCGTCGATTCTTCCGATTGTGTGACACGGACATATGTGATTGAGAATAGCAACTCAAGGACCGTGTTAAGCTGATCCAAGATATTCTCTCGGTCAGCCTCGGGAGCTTGGGATGGCGATGACATGTTTGCTCGTCAGGCTAAGGTGCGTGTCGTGCGTTGCCTTGCTGCGCTGTTGGTAAGGTAGACGTCTGGACTCTGGACCCAACAACGGAATCGGCCCACAATGAGATTCTGGCACGACTATCACCACCAGGATAAAAGACATCTAGCTCATCCGATTTGCAAGCAGTCTGCACATGGATCTGATGATTCTACTCCTCTTTGACCCGGTGAATAGTCTCTAAGCTATACGCAATTATCTTTTCGGCCTCCTCGACTGCGTGGCTGTCCTCTCGTATCTACCTCCTTTTCTTCGTAGGGGATTTTACCGAATTCTCCTTTGCCTGGATAATATCCTCGATCCTCGCAAATTTGTCATTGGCATTCTATTTTACCTTCTTACGGCCTTGTGGCTCGTAAGCCTTCACTTCTTTCGTCAAGTGGTCAACCTGCGCCTTCAAAGATGTGATCTCGGCATTTAGCATCTAGGGCCTTGCCGGCCCTGGCCAATCGAGTCCTTGTCAGCCATCCACTAGCTTCTTTGCCCTCCCTTACACCCTGCTGGTATATGGATGTCCTGGCGCTTTTGAGGTATCCAAAACTCAGTCGTAGACTTAGGGGGTGGTGTTTCCAGCCGTATAGCAAGAGCCTAACTTTCTAGGGCTGCCTCGTAGTCTTTTAGCATTTTAGATGGATCTAGCGGCTAAATATCAGCACTCCTAAACCTGGAGATAATATTCCTAGCAGATATTCCAAGCCTAGGTATATCTCTATTGTAACGGCACACGGCACACAACGTGCAGCCATACCATTGCGCCATATTACTAGAAAAGGGTACAAATGATTCAGTCCGACAGATTGAATCACTCGCTGCACTATGAAGCTGTAACAACTGGCACCTGTCGCCGGGCGTTGCCGACCCGACCAGCCGTGCCGTTACATCTATAGCAATGGAAGTGTAACGGTCTCAGGTAAAGTATATTGCAACTAGCTGATGACAACTCTACGAGTTGTGACGAATCTCAAAGCCGCAACTTCTGAAAGGGACTCCTGAAGGTCATGCTTGACAACGGGGTGAGGTTCGGTGAAGCCAAAGGGTTCACAACAAGCAATGTCCAAGGGTACTGACAGTCTTGCACTTGAGTTTCTTACTGGAGAACTCCCAGAGTCCTCCAGAACGAGTGACTATATACTGACACAATTCTTCGAGTGCTCGCAGTGTTATGCCTTCGATCGCTCCTGTCACGGGTAGTGACAGTGTGAGGTTCATGTGCGCAACTTCTGGTTCGACTGGACAGTTCGAACCACGGTCCCTCTTTTGAGGGTGTTACGCAGTGGCCAGTTGCGCCCACCCGTGACAGCTCCGAGCACCTTGCATGCTGCATTGTGCTCGTCTGTCTTGGCGTTATAGCACTCTAGCTTCATCCTGACTGGTCTGCCTTGCTTCCTTAAGTGATTGGTTCGGGCGCTCCTTGCGCCCCGCATATGGCTTTCTGACATGCGGTCTGTTGTTAGTTAATTCGTGACACGAGTACACTGAACTTGGGGAAGGAAAGAAGAGATGTGAGATTCTGGTAGCTCGAGAGCCAATTTATCCTCACAGGTGTGCGCTGCTAGAAGGTTCGACACTGTGGGTCAAGTGGGAATAGCTTCATCCAGGGGGTTTGGCGGACCGTGCTTGTACGAGAGCTGGCCGAGGGTCACCGAGGCCCATCTCGGGCCCAGCCCATTACATCTTCAGCTAAGATGGCCTGCGCGAAAGCCACTACCTAGCTACAGCTAGGAGCCTTCTAGACTTTTCTTCATTAAGACCCCAGTCGACGATGTGCCTCTCTTATATAGGGCTAAGGCCTTGTTCGTAGGTTCTGGCTTGTTGCCGAGGGTAGGCGCTATAAAGCCATCTGTCACAGATATAGCCGCATGCAGACCCGGAGGGGCGCAAAGGCAGCGTCCCAAGCCAAGCATTTAGGACATGGGTATTAGTCAATCACGAAGGGAGCGCGAAGTCCTGTCTTCGCTCCATCTGCAAAGACAATGGGAAAAGGAGGTGTGTATAGTCTACGATCTTTAGGCCTACGGGCATCACGGTAGCTTCATCAGTACGCAATATAAGCAGTTAGCTACACCTACTGTTGAGACATTTGCTTGTGCACTTGTTGTGAACCTTTTGGCTTCACCGAACCTCACCTCATTGACAAGCTATAACCTTCAGGAGTCCCTTTCAGAAGTTGGGGCTTCGAGGTTCGTCACACCATCGGTTTAGGGTAGACTGTGGGATACTGTACTTTGCCGCTGCATCCTTCTAGGAGCAAAGGCCTTTTTGGACCTGGGTTATAGCCAATTGAATTAGCTCTTCTTGGAAGTAGTCATGTTGATTTTGGCCTAGATGTGGAATGGCGGTGTGGTGCTAGGATTCCAATTGTACGGCTGATTCTATTGCAGGGTCCAGACGTCTATTGGTGACTGTCGGTATTGGTTGGATTCAGTTCGTAATTAGCTAATAACAATGCAAAAAGAGAAGCTGCTGTCGAGTAACTATCTTGATGTCTATATCAACGGAAGTGACTGAGCTTTCGGCGGAGACGAGGCAAGATGCAGCTCGTATTTGTCATGGATGCTCTTTAGCTGGAGTTTTCCACCATTCCGCCGCTGTGTCAACATGTGTTTGTTGAGTGCTGTGTTTGTCATTGTTGGTCAGTGTGGAAGAGCAATCTGGGTTGCCTGTCATTGTTTCCCACAATGAACATGTAGCTTTCGGAATGCAGGCTTCGTGCTGTAGGATTTCTGGACCTAGTCAGCTGTCATATCACGCATTCTAGCTGGCTGGGCAAACTCTTGTCATTGAGAATAACATAGAAGTACGTGTTTTCCCTGCGGGTACCACAGTACCCAATGAAAGCTCATGAGAAGACCGTCGCAGGTGATTCCCAAGTCAAGTACTCAATTCAGATGGGTCCTCGTGATGTAGACGCCTGTATGCTCATACGGGGTATCTGATGGTCAAAACACACCGTCACAACCCTGGGTTTGTCGACAGCCTTCTAGGGGCGGCATAACGGCGGCATAATAACGCCGTGGGGCGGACGCCATGCAGAACCGGCACGAAGAGCCGAAGTCATGCTTGGCGAGAGCAATACCAATGTCCTGGAAGCTGATTTGCACAAATGTCCAGACATATCGTCATACTCAGTACCGTACACCTGTTAAATGCCTCACTAACAGCAGCCCGAGATGCGGGGTAAATGGTGCCTTGGGATCACCGGGATAGAAGAGATCCATGCACCATTCGGCCACAAGGACCCCCTGGCAGGCTGACAGTAACCCGGCTTGTAGTCTCAAAGACAGGAGGTGGAGAGCCTGAATCGTGTGACACGTCCGGCGCCCGGGACGATGCCGATCCCACGGGATCGAGGCACCGCGATGCGCCGGACCACGCCGAGAGCAGCTGGGCTGTCGGTTTTAGCGCGACTTGTAGCTGAATCCAACAATCGAGCCAAACCGGGGGTTCTCTTGGGGACATCCACAACGCATGATACCGTGGGGCAAATCTAGAAGGAGAACGAGTCAGGCACGCTGCATGTGAACTGTGTCAATGGGGGGTAGAGCCCCGTGTCGAGTGTTGTACAACCCCGAGTCCGTCACAGGAAGCGCCGGTTGCAAGTCCTCAAGCACTGTGGATACCCAGGAAACTTCCTCGGGGACCGTTGTCGGCTGCTGCTACGGGACCTTTGGCCGTCAGATGGGCCTCTGGCGGTGGCGAAGGCCGGCACAAACTTTTTGGGGGTGTTCTCGACTGTGATTGGTAAAGAAACGTCGGAAAATGGCGCCTGTCAAAGATAACACGAGAAATGCGGAGGAGGCCGGAGGTTTGAACTTTGAAGTTCTTTCCTCACTTGCGTCAGGTTTGTTCGCCTGTCCCTGTTCCTGCACTGCAGGTTTCCCGCCACGTTAGGGCGCCCCTCAAATCCACAAGCCCCCGCTTGACCCACTTTAAAAAGCTTGGCTCAACTACCATTCGCAAATCCCACGTTCGACCCAACGTCAGTCAATTGAACATATCGGCCTGCAACCATGCTCCTCAGCAAATTCGCCTTACGGTCCAAGATTCGGGTATCCGGATCATGGCAATTGATTATTATCGCGCGCTGACCAAGGTGCTTTTAGCCGTGACCTTCTGCCGTCGGCATCGCAGTTCCCTGGCGCGGACTTGGCCTGCATGTACATGTCAGCTTCGAATGCACGGCGCATTGTTAAGTGTTGCAGGGAAGAGCTCTCGTGAGGACAAACGTCGGAAACTCGAATCATGACTTCGGATACAAGGCCCAGACATTGACGGCAATTTCACGTGCTTTCCTACAATCTGCTGTAGCCTAGAATTTTAATCGGCCCCCAGTGGTCGTTGCCTCGATGAGAGGTCTGGATCCGTTTCAGCGATGCTGCACCCCGCAATGCTAGCGCAGCCCAATACTTTTTCCACCACTGCACTAACAGCCGGCCTGAGACACCAGGTGCATCACATCCCATATCGCCATCTTCGCGCCGAGAGCAGGTTTGAGCCGTCAATAGAAAACAGGCAGCGAGCAACAGGGGAATCCAGTTCTTTGTTCAACGAGCCCCTGAGCGCTGAACTCCAGAGTTCAAACAGCATGCCTGAGTCGGCTGGCATCCACTTCAGCAGGGTGGCGTCGGCCCTCTGGACTATAAGGATCGCATCAACTCTCCCCAAGTGGTGGCAGTCTCTGTACCTCAGCAGCCAGCAGTCTTGTCTTCATCCCATATCTCACTCTTTCTCTCCGGACCAGGCGTCCATCTTTTCTCGGGCCTCTGCTCTTCTTCGTTAATTGCAGTCGCAGGACGACAGCCTTGCCCTTCGCGCACTCTCAAACACATCCCACAACAAGCAAGCGGTGCTTCATAAAGTCGCAACCATGGTTCAGCTTTCCACCATCTTCGGCACTTTTGCCCGTTAGTGTCGCACTCTTTTCTCTCCGCAAACTGTTCATGTTCTCTAACAGACGATAGTCGTCATGTCCGGTGTCCGGGCTGCCCCCAACCTCTCGCTCCGGCAGAGCCTCCCCGACCCTGCCGGCGAGAAGAATGTCGGAAACGGCGCCGGAATTCAGTTCATCGGTGGCCAATGTCTTGGAGCGGCCGATTGCGCCTCCGGGTGTTGTGCAACACTCCCCCTGGCCGGCCAAACCATCGGTGTCTGCTCGGGCGTCGGCGCACAGACCCAAGCTGGCAAGCAGGGCTGTGGTTTTGAGTCCCGCGGGTCTGGCAACCAGGGCGGCAACAACAATCAAGGCGGTACCAATAACAACAACCAAGGCGGCAACAACAACCAGGGCGGCAACGGCAATCAGGGTGGCAATAACAACAACAACCAGGGCAACACACAAACCGGCGGCACCGTCAAGCCAAGCACCCTTCAACCCGACCCGGCCGGCGCCAAAAACGTCGGCAACGGCCAGGGCAAGCAGTTCATCACGGGCGAGTGCACCAGCGATGCCGACTGCGCCTCGGGCTGCTGCGCCCTGGTGAACACGGGCCTCCAGCGATTCGGCGTCTGCTCCGGCCCCGGTGCCAACACGCAGAACGGCAAGCAGGGCTGTGGCTTCCCCACTGGCGGGCAGCGGATCTCCGGGAGCGCTTGATCCCAGTCCAGTCATTTTGGGCTTTGGTTTTCTGGGATCGGTCTGTGCCCGCGCCATCACCCTCATTTCAATTGTGTTAACATTGGCGGGGATTCTGTGCTTAGACATCTGTGCCGGATTGTTTGTTGTGGGGAACGAAGCGCGAGTGATTCTCGTTGCCTGTACTCTACTGTATATTCCGCTACATTGTCTGCCAAGGTACACATCACCAACCTGCCTTGCGAGCAAACATGATCAGTTGCCATGTGGGGGGTTGTCATGAGGCATGTACAAATCAGCATTATGTTATCGTAGTATCGTACTTATGGTACAAGCCCAAAACCCCATCAATCAACATTCCATTTCAAGTTTTCAATATCTTAGTTTGCGCGGCCCGTCGCTATTCCAGCCCAAATACCCAACAACACCACACCTGGCTTGAGCTGGTGTTGTCTACAATAGCATACCGGCCACGCCGAAAGCCACCAACACCGCCAGAGTTACCACGGGACGAACCATGCCGGCGTCCGCAGTCCAGTCTTCGTCATCGTCAATGTCGAAGAGTGCTTCTGAGAGGGCCGCTTTCGAGTCGGTGCCCATTGATGTTGTTGATGACATCGAATTGCTGACGGCCGAGTTGGCGGGCGTGTTTAATTTGGTGTTGTTTGACAGCGACGGTGGCCCAGCGGAGACGAGGTCGGACGGCGAGGACGTGTTGTTGCCTGCGAGTGAGCCGGCAGGAGGGAGGGCGACCAGATTAGTTTTGAGGTGGACTGCACCACAAGAGGGTTAGCCGCCGTCCGAAAGGGGGAAGTTTGGATGACGAAATGACATGCATGCGTCACGCTCCTTGCTCCGCCAACATAACACATGGATACGCGGGACAGGAACGCATAAACAAATGGAAAACGCCCGAGACTTACCATCCATACAGCGGGCAATGGCCCAGTTTCGAGCGAAACCACGGTCTGCCGGGTCGTGGCAGACTTCGCCGATGGCGCGCTTGGCTTCCGTCTTGAACGGCTTGTTCTTGCACAAGCAGGCCACGTCGAGCGTGCCGTCTGCTCGGGGGCCGCAGTCGAAGGTGACGGCACGCGACAACATCAAATTCATTGCGGGTTTCTGTGTTTGTTTTGGACCACGGTTAGCACACATGGCCTAAAAACTTAGGAATTGATGAGTGGGAATGCTTGGACGCGGAGATATATATGGTGTTATTGACGGCATGCATGCTATCAGTTTTCCCATGGCAATGCATGGGGTTTGCTAGGAAAGGCAAGGCTTACGGCGCAAGATGGGAGGCCATTGACAACGGCCTCGAAACGAGAGGCGGGAACAAGGGCAGGCGCAGCGAGGACAGGCGTCACGGGGTTGAGCGCGGCGAGGGCGGCGAAGGCGGCGAGGGTCGACGCCATGGGGTTCGCGCCGGCTCGGGTGGTTAGCCCTGTGAGGAGGGCGACGAGGGTAGCCACGAGAGCCGAAAGAACTAGCGAGATGGGCTCCATCTTTCTGTTTATGATTGCGTGTGTGTTTTTAGAAATATTTTCAAGGCTTCAGAAATATTTTGAGCGCTGATGGAACGTTCAAGGTTTGAAGAACGTCTTGAACGCTGATGAAAAGTTTGAAGATGGGAAGAGGAAGATGGGGAATGACTTAAACGACAGCCAGGGGATTTATATGTCTATGGATGCCACGAACACGTATTGGGGCGCGTCTAAAGAGTCAAGCGGAATATGCGCGTCTTCATGTTGATGTCCACTATGTTTCCATTGCTGCTGCAGGCCGACGTTCTGGTTCTCTCTAGCCTGTGGGCGCGACAGGTATCGGGCAGCAGTCATGGCAGCAGATGCCAGGCATAAACTCGGCCACGCCCGATCTGAGAAAGGGATGACGTACGGCTGGTCCTGCTGTCGAGAGAGCTGCATCGTTCGGGCAGTAGCTGCTGCCGGTCGAGACGTACTTTGCTTACCTTGGGGCCAAGCATGACGGAACAACTTAGGTACTGCTGCATAGGCAGGCTCGGTAGATGTGGCTCTTTATGCATAAGACGGTCAAGCCTTTTGGTCAGTTGAGATGTGTTTCGTGCATTACCATCAGCCCCTGACGCATGCTTAGGAGTTTTGGTTTCACCAAGGATTGACTGTTCAAAGGTCAAAGCGACACACTAGGTACTGCCATGCCACATAGTTCACCAAATGCAGCAAATTCGTCATACCACGCAAGTCGGGTGTCCAGACTCAAAAATGGATCCTTACGACGATGACTAGAACGAGAGCTTGTGTCGATATGAAGAGAAGCCCCAGGTAGCATCCGTTCTCGCTCTCCTTCCTTTGAGCTGTCTTCTACTTCATCGACCAGAAGCTGCCTTCGATAACCGCTTGCTCGGCCTTACACATGAGTCCACCGCAACAATGTACCTGTACAGCTCTCTGCCTGTGTTTTATGTTCGTTCCGCTTTGCTGCTTATCATACTTTCTATGCTCTCTCTGCTGGGGCCAACCGTCGCCCTTGACGCGCCCCAAAACCTCATTGAGTTCTACAACGCGGTGCGCGCCAAAGGCCACTGCTCCCACCAGTTGGCCACGGGCTTCTACAGTCGCGACCGAGGCCCCAACAGTATATCCTCCCCTCTCCCCATACCCTGATCAACTCAGTCAAGTTGCTAACTCACCTCCCAGCCTTCTCATACTGCGGAGACGCCCTTTCCACGTCGGGCGTTCTCTACCTTCAAGGCCGGAACGGCGCGCTAGTCAACCTGGACGTAGACTGCGACGGCACCGCGACCAACAGCAGCACAACCGGAGTCGATGACGGCCGCTGCCGGCGCGACCTCAGCCCGGACTTGCAATCGACCACCGCTTTCCGCGACGTGGTAGCCGGCTACAAGAAGCCCGGCGTGACCGACCTCAACCCGTACGTACACCCGTACGTGGTTTTCGGCAACAGCCCCGGGTCACGGCACCGGCGAAAGTGGAGGGCGTTTGACCCGACGCGGCACGGCATGCGTCCCCTGAGCGTCATGGCGGTTTTGTGTCCGGACAAGAAGACGCTCGTGTACGGCGTGTGGGGGGACACGAACGGGGACGACGGGGAGAAGCCCATGGTCGGGGAGGCGTCGCTTGCGCTGGGTACGGCGTGTGGCGGTAAGAAGGTGGATGGGAACAGCGGGATTGATGAGGATGCTGTGTTGTTTTTGGGGTTTACTGGCGATGAAGCGGTGCCTGGGCCGGATGGGGCGGATTGGGCGGCCAGGGACTTTGATGCGTTCGAGAGGAGCATTGAGGGGTTGGGGGGTCAGCTGGTGCAGCGGGTGCAGCGGGACGGCATCACGGACTCGGCTGCGGGTCTCGGGGCTGGGTTGTTTTGGCTGGCGGTGGCTCTGTTTGTTGTGCTGATACGCTTGCCACCAATGGGGCTTTTCTGATTAACATGAATTTGTGAAGGTTTGCATCGCGACGCGTGAGTGCCATGATCTAAATGCGACTTTTTCTTGTTACTCGTGACGAGCACACTGCCCTCAACCTGGAATGCAAGGCCGTGCTGCAAATCCGATTACAGGCTTCGCAGGCGAATGTTGTCGGCCCTGGCAGTGAACAGGTTTGTGGTGCTCCAGACTCGGCTCGCAGTGATTGAATGATTGGTGACGGTCTCAATTGAAGATTACTTGCTGGCAGATGGCACCAGCTGGGTGCACTCGGCTGGGGCCCATAACCCCACACGACGAAAATTCTCAGCACTCCAAGTTCCGTCTGCAGTGCTTCAACCTTCGAATGGGCGTGAGCGCTTACGCCAACGACAATGGCTTTGTACAGTATTCATGCAATTCCATGCTAGCCCTACGGATATCCTAACCGTCCTGGGCATGTGCGAGACAGCGAGGATGCCACAGGTAGGATCTTGACGCGCCGTTCCGGCTGGTTGCCTCGTGTACTGCGTAAAGGTACCGCTCGCAGCAACCCTCTCCAGCCACTCTCGAGCCGGCAACGGATCTCCTGGTGAGCTCCTTTTCAAAGGGCCTTCTCTTCTCGACACGTCTTGTGTTGGGTCTCTGAAGGGGCTGGCGGTGGGCTGGGAGAGATCATTTTTGGTGTCCTCCAGTGCTTGCTGCAAGACTATTTTTGGGCCATCATAGTCCGCGCCTCTGACTGCGTTTTCGCGGGCTTCACAGAGGCGAGGCTCCAAGGAGTCCTACATATGTAGACGCTTGACTGTATTTTTGAATGCATCTGGATGCATTGTTTTTGGGCCTTGGTTTCGATGCAGCTCAAAAAGCAAACGAGCGTTCTGTTTATCTGAACGATCGAGGGTCGTCCCGTACCGTACATGTAGCATTTCCGCCGGCTGGCAATGCGACTACGTCATCCCGCGCTTCCATGGTCTTTGACCTGGTCCCCTCTTGATCCCCGACATTGACCCATGGTTTGATACCGCGACTTGTAGAGAGTAACAGACACACCGTCTGAGCTTCGGCTTGCTCCCCGCCATAGAGCATTGTATTGTATTGTAGACGTCACACACAACCCCAGATTACTCACCAACCTACTACAGGAAGTCTGGATAGAATGCCTCCGCACAAGGCCGAGTCCAAGTTCGGCCACCTGCCCCTCAGCACAAACGGCCCGCTCGAGTGCGCCATCAAGGGCACTGTCCTGCTGAACCATCCCTACTTCAACAAGGGCTCGGCCTTCACCGCCGACGAGCGCCGCGCCTTTGAGCTGTCGGGCCTCTTGCCCCCGAGCATTCAGACACTCGAGCAGCAGGTGCAGCGGGCCTACGACCAGTACCGTGCGCAGCCCGACGACCTGGCCAAGAATACCTTTCTGTCGTCCATGAAGGAACAGAATGAGGTGCTTTACTTCAAGGTGAGGCTGAAAGCAGTGTGATGCCACGCTGGGCGTGCGGGAGGGGTACAAGTACAAATACAGAGTTGACACGTTCAGTTGTTGCTGGATCATCTCGAGGAGATGTTCAGTGTTGTCTACACGCCCACTGAAGGGGAGGCTATCCAGAATTACTCGCGCATCTTTCGGAGGCCTGAGGGACTGTTTCTGAACATCTACGACATTGACAGAGTGCATCACGACCTGTCGTTGTGGGGAACGGCAGAAGACATAGACTACATAGTCGTCACCGGTGAGATGCCTGACATGTATCCTGACGTGGCAGGGCAGATCAGCTAAATCACTGCAGACGGCGAGGAGATCCTTGGCATCGGCGACCAGGGATGCGGCGGCATCTTGATATCCATCGCCAAGCTCGTGCTCATGACCATATGCGCCGGGATTCACCCAAACCGGGTGTTGCCTGTGGTGTTGGACTGCGGCACCGACAACGAGACCCTCTTGAACGACGCCCTCTACTTGGGCGTCAAGGAAAAAAGAGTGCGAGGCCAGAAGTATGACGAGCTTGTCACGACGTTTATCAAGTCTGCACGCGAGTTATTCCCAAAGGCCTACATCCATTTTGAGGACTTTGGCGTCCAAAACGGTAATTCGAGTGCTGGGCTCGTGGTTGAGGTGCAACATTGCTGAACAGGACAGCGCAACGACTGCTCGACAAGTGGCGACCGGAAATTCCCTGCTTCAACGATGACGTCCAGGGAACAGGGTGTGTGACCCTCGCGGCGATACTCTCTGGCTTGCATGTGTCGAAGCAGAAGCTGGACGATCTTCGCATGGTTGTGTTTGGCGCAGGGACCGCCGGCGTTGGTATCGCAGACCAGGTTCGTGATGCCATTGCCGTGGAGCGAGGGGTCAGCAAGGAAGAAGCCGCGAGGCAGATATGGTATGTGACGGTTCAGTTTATCCTTCCAGACTACTTGCTGACACGCTTCCTGTTGAGCAGGCTTGTCGATAAGCCTGGCCTCCTCACGGCGCGGGTCGAAGGGCTCTCGGACGCACAGAAAACTTACGCAAGGTCAAAGGACTGGAGCGATGAAAAGACTGACCTGTTAGGGGTTGTGAAGGAAGTCAAGCCGAACGTGCTCATTGGCACATCCACAGTCCCCAAAGCCTTTACCGAGAAGGTCGTCCGTGAAATGGCATCGCACGTTGACCGCCCCATCATCCTCCCGCTCTCCAACCCGACGAAGCTTCACGAAGCTGTGCCTGCGGATTTACTTGCATGGACTGACGGCAAGGCACTAGTAGCAACAGGCAGCCCGTTCAAACCAGTCAAGGGCCCCTGGGGGCCAGATGGCAAAGAGGTCGAAATTGAGGTGGCCGAGTGCAACAACAGCGTCGTCTTTCCGGGTATCGGGCTCGGGGGCGTGCTATGCCGGACCAGGCTCGTCACAGACAAAATGCTCATTGCAGCGGTGAAGGGGGTGGCCGAGCTCAGCCCGGCACTCAAGGACGACACCGCTCCGTTGCTGCCAGGCGTCGACGTTGTGCGCGAAGTGAGTGTGAGGGTTGCGCGGAAGGTGATCCAAGCCGCAGTCGAGGAAGGAGTTGCCACGCAAGAAGGCATCCCAAAGAATGATGCTGAGCTGGTTGAATGGATCAGAGAGCAAATATGGGAGCCGGTGTACAGGCCGCTGAAGTACGTCGAGGCTTACGGCGCAAGTCGCCAGGCCAGAGGTGAGCTGCGCGTCGTCGGTAGCCTGCCACGGCGGTGATGGATACGGGCCGGGGTTGGCGAGCGCCTATCAGGATGCAGCAGATATTGGAGGCCATCGGTGCTTATTGATGAGGTTGGCTGACGAGAGTGAAATGCGCGGTGGTTGGAGAATGGAAAGGCATGGCTTGGCGTTGCAATTTGCAGCTGCCCCGCAGTTACAGGGTTGGGGTGCATGGACTTCCTCAATTGAACTTTCAGCAATGCACGTGATCACTCACAAATCCGGTAGGGTTTCTGGTCCACACCAAAAATTATCGCGAATCGCCGCCAATTTCCAGTTGCTTGTGTTTCCCGAAACCTCGACTCCCCTTCGTCAAGTCGCATTTCCGCAACCAGACACTTACAATGGCCAAGATTTCGTGAGTGATGCCGTCTTGCTGCCTGCTATGCGATTTTGACCGCAACCGACGAATGCCGAACTACCGCTCTCCAGTACTGCAAGGAAGTCTCGTGATGGAGGGGAAGCTGCTCCCGGAGGAACACGATCTGGGCAGGACTGGAGAGCGACGCTCGGTCGCATGCGGAAGCTATCGAGAAATCGCAGCACGTTTTGTTTGCATATTTGCTAATCTATCCTGAATAGGCGTGGTGCCCCTGGTGGCAAGCTCAAGATGACCCTGGGTCTCCCAGTGTACGTACGAACTTGTCTCCTGCCCGCCCGAAGACCGATCTCCGACCGATCATTCCCGGCCCAACTCGAGAATCACCTAGGGCTCGCGAGCTTGGACGCTAACAGGAGGACAGCGGTGCCATCATGAATTGCGCTGACAACTCTGGCGCGCGGAACCTTTACATCATCTCGGTCAAGGGTATCGGTGCCCGCCTCAACAGGTTGCCCGCTGGTGGTGTCGGCGACATGGTGATGGCCACAGTCAAGAAGGGCAAGCCCGAGCTCCGGAAGAAGGTCCACCCCGCCGTCATCGTCCGCCAGGCCAAGCCGTGGAAGCGCTTCGACGGTGTCTTCCTCTACTTCGAGGACAACGCTGGTGTGGTACGTGGACTTGGTACAATGCGGGACTGGAAGAGCAGGAGGGTGTTACTCAGAGAACTGCTCGAACCCAACGTTGTGCTATGTCTCGTTCCAGGCCGACCGCTGACAACTCGCAGATCGTCAACCCCAAGGGCGAGATGAAGGGCTCTGCCATCACCGGGCCCGTCGGCAAGGAGGCCGCCGAGCTCTGGCCCCGTATTGCCAGCAACTCTGGTGTCGTGATGTAAGAGGGTTTTCTGGGAGGCGATGGGTCATTGGCGCGTGGGATTTCGAGGAACGAACGATTCTGTCAACCGGGAATAATCTTCCGCCTTGGACGAGGAAGATGGGGATGGGAGGCCACAAAAGGCCTGGGCCGGATCGACAGGCTTTGCATTTCTGGCTGCGGCGTGCTAGGGAGTCATACCACTGCATGATATACAGGTCAATTCAGAATCCGTTCTTCGAATACCGGGATCTGGATCCGGCGCTTTTCACCAGCCAGTGCAGCGGACCCTTCTACCGACCTGACGGCAGCATCATGAAGATGGACTTCCATCGGGGGACGCCAAGTCCGATCGACGAATGCGCCCAGATCCCGATTCCCAGAGGGATCTAACGGCATTGTCGTCACCTGGTGTTTCGACTAAGGATGAACTGTGACATTTTAAGCAAAGCCCCCGGCTCAGGAATCCGTCGTCCCTGGTCAATGACGGATCGGATGGGTCTGCACCAGCAACATGAAGGTGACACAAACCCCGCGCTCTGGCATTGGCCACTGCCTCCAAAACAGCTACTTTTCCATCTCCATGATTACCATCAACACCGTCCTTCGGTCAAGCAGGCTGTCAGACAAACCAGGCGCATCAGCAGGATGCGGATCCACCGAAGTGAGAAATTGAGCAAGGATGCGGGGCCGAGGGAGGACCGCAATATTAGTGGCCTGCTCTAGGATTGTTTCGGGTTCCGCGTCGTGGAGCAACAGCAGCCCAGGTCTTGGTATCCGGACCACTCTCTGCAGTATGCCGCCCACGAAACCCAGGCTCATTCTTTGTCCTTTCTTTGAGCTATAACAATAGCGATCAACCTGCCAACACGGCCAACTAAAACACAGTATCCAGTCTGGGCATTGGAACAGGCGCAAAGTGCCTTGTGACCTCTCATTGTTCCCGAGTCTCAGGTATATATACTAGCGTCCGCTCTGGCTCCCTTCAACGGCGTCAGACAGTAGCAACAATGTGCGAATTCGTGCGTGTCTACTGCGGCTTCTGCAGGCTAATTAGCGCAACCAGACTGGAAACCTACTTACACGGAGCGCTGCGAGCTCAGGCTACCCGAAGGCTGGCGGAGTCGCCTACAATTTCCAGTGGATGATACCTTCACCGAGGGCGAGAAGTGCAGCCTCTGTCCCTGAGATTGCAGAGGTTCGTGGCCAAAACAGCAGGGATTAGCTATCCGGACGGGAAGGGATTTCGACCGGGGGAATGACTGGGGTGGCAAGACGTGAAGCAGGTGCATATAGCTGGGAAAGATAAATTATGAAGGCAGATAAGGTAGTTGAGTTGGGAAAGTCAGAATCCAAATCGGCAGATGGGGCTATCTGGCCTGATCAGTATACGCTGCTACGGCTGCCCCGATGATTGCCAACACAGCCAACCAGAACATCAACTGTCACACCGGTATGGGCATTGAAAGATGAGAAGACTGTGTGTGTGACCTTCCAACGGCATTGTTGTTGGGCACCTGCCAGGTTGACGTGCGCTGCCAGAAAGAAAATGGGAACGAAAGCCGAGGCTCTGACGTGGAAGCTATAATACCGTTGATGGCAAGGTCAGCCACCCAAGGACTCGAGGCTTTGCTGGGGTGTAACAAGTCACCCTTGTCAAAAAAGGTTGGGTGCTGCTGTATAGAGATTGGAGTGCCAGATGAGTTGGCTCTCCCTGACGTGGTCAAGGGACACGGGAATCCAGAGGTCGAGATCAGATCGAATTGTTATACTCAGCAGCTTACCTCAATACAAGAACCTAGCAGCTCAAGCCTCAGCTCGACCCGTAAAACAACTACATGTACCTTACCATTATCCACTAGGTCCTCAACGAGGCAGAAAGTCACCGCCCACCTAGAGCCAGAACAAACAGCTACTTCTCACAATCAGAGTTTTACTTCCACAGGTAAGCCGAACGCCAAACCCAAGGCTGTGGCGTTGACTGGATGGTCTTTGTCACAGCTCTCCGAGTCTTTAGCTAACCACCCATCCACTCCTCCTTCCAAAGACAGTGACGAAAATGTGCGAGTTAGAGAAGTTTGCCTGCGGCAGCTGCAACGCCACGATAGACAGGTACTACCGTTCAGTGAAAGAATGCGATAAATACAAGAAGGAGGGGGTTTGCCATATGAAAGATGCCACGCAGACGAAATATTATTATTATTATTCCTACACCGCTGTGCCCTAGGGCGTGCCGGACCTTCAACAACTTACTATACAGGAAAACCGCGCCCTCGTGGGCCGGGTGAAAAACCCATATCACGCACACGAAAAATCAAAGCGTGAAGTGCAGCAATAAATGCTCATCAAAATAAGCGGGCGCCTTCAACGGACTCTGTTAAACGGTGATCCTAACCTCGACGGGAGCTCGGACGTGAAGGGTGGAAAGGCAGGATCATCAATGTGGAACATGAGCGTTGGGTATTGATTGAAGGCGCAGAAGTTCATTGCTTACGTTGAGCCACATTTAAACATAAAACTAGAGCCAGCGCGGTCAATGAATTGCATTCTCACACTCGGTATAACTACATGCCTGTGATAACATGATGTGAAGCCGGACTTCAACCCTTGATGTGAACAGTCTGGTTTCGCAGCTATTGCCCACCCCTACTGCATGTCAACGAAGAACATTCTGCAAGTCGTCCCTATTTACCCAAGCTCTGACCACAAACATACATCCCAGATGCCGTTCCGACTCAGAAAGTGTTCAAGACAACTTATTTAACGTATTCACTCCCTCCGCCTCTCGATCTGTATCATCCATCTGGCACCCGGAACTTCCTCAACAACATAACCCCACTCCACACCATGCTTTTCCTGTTTGTGGCGATTACCGGGACCCTAAGAGACGCACATGTGAGAACAGATCCTTAGCTCGGGTATTTCACATGGGTTGGGCTTCAGTCTCTGCTCGCCGCTTTGATTTCTGAATGATTGAGCAGGCGGTATACCAAAGGCACCTAGTACCTAGGGGCCCAGGCTGGCACACGTTTGAGGATTCGGACAGAAAATCGACCTAGCTGACGGCTTGCACGTCCATATCTTACAGTAGTAACAGACTAGACATCAAGGCCTTGAGCAGGATAATTGCGGCATAGAATTGTTCTCGTATATCCTTCAACTTGTGTCTCACCCAAGACAACAAAGTAAGGTTCGGGAACAAAGAATTTGACGGACATTGACATTGTGTCAAGCTTGGTTCGTAAACTTTGAACAATGAAGCAGCGTTTGAATCCAGTGAAGTGGCCCGTGCTAAAGAATACCTGCCTTTACATTGTGTTTTTTAGATGGGTCATCGGCCCTCGTAAGTATATAGCCCACAGCCTCCCCAGTCTCAAAGTCAATGCGGCACTAAGTGTCTCTTAGAAGACCAATTGTTGTTTCTCGGTTGACCGTCAAGCTCTCAGCGCCATGTCGTCCTCGTCCAAGCCTTCCTCTCAAAAGAGAGTTTGGTTTCAGGACTTTCAGGGGCAGAAGGAGGCAACCATGCCACAAACCCAGACTCAGGAGACCAGAGCTCCTGTGCCACACAAGCCCATTCAGCTCTCGATGACCTCTCTCCAGAATTCTGAGAGACTGCATCATTCGCAGATCCGCCGCATCTGCCAAATCCACCCGGACATCGGCAATCTTTGCATCATGTGCGACCAGCCGGCCAACCCCGTCTACCAGTGCAGGGACTGCGAAGCCGCCCAATATTGCTCTTGGGGGTGCAAGGTCGACGACGCACAGCACCACGTACTTGTTTGTTCCCAATGGCCGGGCTTCTCCGAGTCCCCGTCCCAAAGCATGGCACGCATGCTCGTCTTCCCAGCCCAGAGCACCACTCCAGTTTTTGCCTGGGCCCAGCTGAAGCACATCGAAGGCGAAGCCAGCCCTCGACTCATCATTGAGCACCCCGAGTTCTCGGTCTTCACCGACCTCCTCTTCCCCAACGGCATCGACACGTTCCCCCAAGCTGCCCGCATGGGCTGCATCAACGAGTGCCGGGCTCTGACAGCCCCCAAGTCTAAACAACAGAACCCCAAACCACGCAACGAGAAGCATGTCTTTCGCACATCTCCCCTCGGCCACGGCCTTTTCGTCCTCGAATGGCTCCCGCCAAACTCAACCAACCTCGGCATGGACTGGATAAATCGCTCGATCCAGCACACCACCTCCCTCCCCGGCCTCCACAACATGCAACCAGGCCACACCTGGCTCTGGACCGGCCCCATCGCCATTCTGTCTCTGGACGTGTCCCAGACCTACACCACCGCCACCCACACCTTCACCCTCGCCCACGTCACGATGCGCGACGTGCGCCACGCCCTCGACTTCTTCACCCTGAACCTCCGCAACCCGGCCCTGCCCGCAGTCCCTTCGCCGGGGACGAGCCGGTTCCCTTACCCGATTGCGCAAGGAATCAAGGTCAACGAGGTCCACTCCCCCGTCGCCCGCGCGTTGGGAGTAACAGACTTGCTCGAGGAAGTCCACGTCAGCCGGGGCCTGCCGCCGACGAACTTAGCGCTGCAGGGCGTGTCGGTGCTTTGTGCGGCGCTGGGGCTGGCGTGGGTGGTGAGGGCGGTGCTGTGTCATGGTGAGGAGTTGGATTGGTCATATAGGGGTTTCTATTCGGACCCTCCCTCGTTCTCTTCCTACCACACCGGTGCTACTAACAGCAAGGAAGCTGGTGATGGTGATGAGGATGCGGATGTAACCAAGAAAGGGAGCGTCATCCCCGCCGTCATCAACGTCGTCTACACGGCAGACAATCACGAAAGCACAGCCGTCCCAGGCAAGAAAACACTGCCTCGATCAGGAGACGGCATCGTCCTCCTCAGCGCCAGCGGCAAACCACTCCTCAAGGAACACTCCCAAGCCCTGCTGCAGTTCATCCAAGAGTTCCACATTGAGGCCGACGACAAACGCACGTTCAAATCAGAAGACTTCAAGCTGTTCTGGGCCAAGTTCAAAACCAAGCAAAAACTCCGGGCCGACGTGCCGTCGCCGTATGAGGTGCACCCCTTGCTGTGCGATGTCCGACCGGGTGACACGTTCGCCGTCTGCACAGACGTCTTCAGACTACTCTTGCGACGGACGCCGAACCTAAAGATGTACGATGACGGCTCCGTTACTTTTCAGACTCGGACACAGACCAGATTCAAACGCCGTCTGGGCCGCTTCCGATGAGCAGTATCGAATTGAATCATGATGTATTTCCTTCGATCCGCTGCCATTTCTCGTCATACCCAGCAGCAACCACTAGGTCACGTAAACAGGAAGATATTATGTACGTAGATCAAAATGCAAATGCAATCCCTCTCCCATGAACTCCAGTCGTTTTCCAGGCTTTTATGAGCCAGCCATGCACCGTTGAGCGCCATGCAAATGCACCGATGCCCCTTCCAGATGCCCAGAAACCGATAGTTAAATCCTGCCAGACTAAGAAACCTTTTGGATGCGGTACCTCCCTCTCCTGAATCGCAGCCAAGAAGCGCACCTGCGTCAAAAAGAGTATCCAGCTGTCAGTCTTTGTATGCATACGAACCTGTTCCAACGTCGAACTAAGCCATTCAGGCCAAGGTGGGGGTGAGAGAGCTCGCCCACCAGACGAGCAATAATTTCACCAAAGGCCACTGCTCCGATGATTTCATCCATTCGCTGGCAAACCCGCCTCGCCGTATCAGAGCATAATACCATAACCTACTTAGAGCATCGGTCCGGGAGGCCCAGGAGGAAGCGCGTAAGGGTACGGCGGCGGTGGCTGCTGCAAGTACGCCTGAGGCGGATGCGGAACCGGGGCCGGCAAGATGACGGGATGAGCTTTAGGCAAAGCGAGCAAACCAGCAGACCCAGACCCAGACTGGCTATGCATCGAGGCAGGCGTCGTCGGTCCCGACGGCCCCGCAGAACCGGGGCCTGAATCGGTCTGTCCCACGGCAACCGCATCTGCGCCCTCCGGCGGAAGGCTCCCGTTTGCCGACGCTTTCTCGGCCTTCTTGCTGGCCAGCGTGTTGCGCCGTTTCTCGACGGCGCCTTGCATCTCGCCCGAGGCCCACCGTCCTATGTGTTTCGTGTCAGCTGCCTGTACGCAATGAAAACTAGGGCCTGTGTTGGAGGAAGGGACAAACTTACTCCGCATCGACCAGCTCATCTTCTCCGACTTGGTCATCTCGGCGTACGGCTTGTCGGGCTCGCCGTCCCCGTTCGCCGCCGCGTTCGCCTTGGCCTCCTCGGCCTTCTTCCCCCGCGACCGTTTCTTGCCATCGGATGCCCCGTTGGCCGGCATGACTGTCCGCGAGGCCGCCTGCGACGTGGTCCCGTGGCTCCGGAACTTGATCTTGGTGATGGGCTTCTTCACCACCGGCGGGGCCGGAGGCGGAGGAGGGGTGCCGTGAATGAAGGCCGGGGTCGCATTGAAGGTGTGCAGGAATGGCCCTGCCGCCTGCGACGGTACTGGCTGGGAGCTGTTGCTCACATCCACCATCATGGGTCCCGCCACAAAGTTGTGATAAAACTTGGTGGCCATCGGCTGCTGCAGCGGCGGCGAATTGGCCGGCCGTGGGGTATGGGATGGCGCAGAGTCCGGAGGCGGCAGCGACTCCTCGGCGGCCGGATCCTTCTTGCGTGGTCCGCGTTTCTTGGGCTCCACGACGTCCTGCTTCTGCGCTGCCGCACCCCGTCCGCGTCTCTGCGGTCGAGTCTCGAGCTCCGGGTCGTTCTCGAGCGCAAAGTTGCGCTTCCGCTTGTCGCGCAGCGAGTAGGCCGATTCCACCGTCTCGGCTGTGTGGGCAGTGCCGTCCGAGGACGCGGTCGACGGCCTCGACTCGGCATGTGTCGAGGCATTGCTGTAGAACGACGAGCTCGCAATCTCGCCGGCCGCCTGATGGTTCCCCAGCTGACTTTTACCGCCACGCACGCGCTTCACTCTGTTGAGCTCGCCGCCGGATCCAGCAAGAATCGACGTCGGTGGTTCATGAAGAGTTGAGACGCCCCGGCCGCGTCTGCGCGAGACCTTAGGCTTCTCGTCTGTCTTCACCTGCTCATCGTCCGTCCGGTTGTTGTCTGGATCGGCGACCGGAGTGATTTGATCCTGCTCCTCCGCCAGCACCATTTCGCGGACCCGTGCTGGGCGCCCTTTGAGAAGTGATTCTGAAAAGCTCTCAGCAAGTTGAGCGTGCTCCAGGCTCTCCACGTCGTCGCCGTTCCCGGCGGCGCCGGCAGGCTTCCGTCTCTGTCGGCGGCCAGATGCGAAGGTGGAGAAACCCGTGGGCGTGCCGGATCGGCTAGGATAGTTGCTTTGATCCGAGACATGGCGCGGCTTCCGAGCCCGCTTCCCTTCGACCACATTCTCGTCGGCGAGCTCTGCGCCCTTCTCAGTCCTTTTACGGAGCCGATTCTCGGGCATCTCCCAGCGCTGCTCTTCTGGGTTTTGCCGGCCCACTTGGGTGGGGTGCGTGTTGAGCTTGAACCCGTAGGCCTGCGCCATGACGCGGTCCTCCTCCTTCTGGTGTTCCAAGACCGGGTCGTCGATGTAAGGCTTGGGGGCGCGAACGCCGCGGACTTCGAATACAGCGGGACCCTTGACCGTATCATCGAAATGGCGCCGCAGGGGAAGCGGCTCATCGACCTTCTGCCGATTCTCCCAGTTGGCCATGGTCTTGTCGTTGGCCTGGCGGCGCTTTGCGTTCTCCTCGTCGTCCAAGAGCTTTTTGAGCTCATTGTACTCCTGCTGATAGGCGTCCAAGGCCTCGGTTGCCGCAGCGGTTAGCTCGTACAGGTGCTCCGTGGAAAGGTCCTGCCATCCCTCAAACGCCTCGACGAACTCGTTTGGATCGCGAATCTTGGGAAACAAGTATTGTTTGTTTGGATACCTTGTCACCTCGACAGGCTCACCCGGGCTATCAGGCTTGACAGGATCATCGAGTGGTTCGTCTGCATCCTGTTCGTCATCTGCTGCCTCGTCCTGGATCATAGGGTCTTCCTCAGCGCGAGCGGGTGATGGCGCGGTCGTGGGCACTGGAGACTCAACTGCCTGGGAGGCTCGTGGTGTTTCATCTTCGACAGAGGGTACGACCAGATCTCCCGGTCTTTGGGCCACGACCGTGGAGCTGGCTGTGGACTCCGTTGTTGAGGCCGGGGTGGTGGCTGACGTCGGGTCCTCGCTGTGGGCCGACTTGTACCGCCGAGCGCATTCATTATTGAACTCGATCATTGATATGGGTGGCTCGCCGTTCTCTTGCCGCTTCTGGCATTCCCTCCGATAGAGCGCGAAGAACTCGCTTGTCTTGAGGGGGCGGCGCACGTCCCATTCATCCTCGGCAGGCTTTCCCTCGAGCGGAGAGGGGACGCGTGTGGGCATCAGGAGAGGAGTCGACTGATCCTTCGCGGTCCGAACTGGATGCACCCACTCCGTGTAAGGCCCGGGAAGGGTGACCCCTTCATCCTCGTAGGGCGTGAGTTTGAGGTGAGATGCAAACGGGGTGGTCCGTTTGTAGATGCGCTCCAACGATTTGATCATTGAAGACCCTGCTGGTTTTGGTCCTTGGTCCGGCAAGGCCTGAGCAAAACTGGGCCTGAGCGTTTCATCCTCTGGGGGTTGAAGTAGTCTGGAATCGTCGAGCGGATTTGATGCAGGCGTTGAGGTATTGCTTGCGGCGGGGATTTCAATCGCTTCTGCGGTCGTTGCCTGCCGTGAGAACTCGTCCTGGGATCGCGGGATCGTCTCTTTGGCGGTCTTCGTCTCGGATTTTACTGCTCCACGGGCAGGGTCTGGGAGAATGATGGGTTTTGGGCGTTGAATTGCGGGTACGTTGAGGTCTGATTGCTGGACCCCATCCTCAGAGGCCCCCAGTGGTTGCTCGGGCTCAACGCTTGAAGTCAGTGGGCTATCTCTAGGGGCAACCCCGACGTTTTTGTCGGGTTGCTTGGGATTGATGTCCACCTCGATTGCCTCGCCGTCCTCTGCCGCGAGAGACACTGCATCCTCGACTAGTCGAGATGGCTGCACCTGAGGGGTAGGCGGTTGCACGTGAATGCGGGCTATCTCGCTCTCGTCCGAGGATGTCGACCGAGACTCTGGCTCACGGGATGGCGATGATGGCTCTGACTCTTCCTCAGACGGCAGGCCAGGCCCTGTAGGCAAGCTGACGAGGATTGTGTCCTGCACTTCATTGTCGGAGGGCTGGTCGACGTAAAGGGTGGGGTCTGCGGGCAATCTTTTGGATGGGTTGCGCCGACGGAAGGATGCTGCGCGACTTGGTGCTGGGGACTTGTCTGTGCGGTGGCGCTTGGGGTGTGAAGCTGAAGTGAAGTCTTCAGATTCCCCCCCGGAATCATCATGACCGCCTTTCCTCTTCCGGCTGCGGGCGATGGGAGTAGTTGCGGGCTTGACCACCAACTCGTTCTTTATAGCGGGAAGACCGAGGTCATCCTCAATCATCTCTTGGGTGTAATCGATGCGTGCACGCTTCCTCAGCGAATGACCGCCCTTTGAATGTCCTTCATCATCGGCAGCGCCGTCATAGGCCGTTTCCAGAGTCTTTGACCTCTTCCGAGCAGCGGCCATGATGGAGCCCGCGGTCGATGGAGATTCGAAGCTGAACGAGGAAGATGTGTGGAAAGTTGAATTGCGGGCCGGCCTGTCTGTCCGGGCAGTAATACGTAATGCCTGATCAGCCGCCGGAGACAAGGCGCGATGAGGTGTTGAGGAGTGACTGTTGGCTTGCCGGGCTTTGCCGCCTCGATGCGGCGCTGTGTATGCCATCCTCTGAGAAGAAGTAAGAACAGCGGAAGGCTCGGGAGTTGTCGGGCTGGCCGAGTTTGAAAACGGGTGGCTTTGGGTCTGAAAAGAATGAGATGGAAAAGTGGCACGCTTCTTTGCAGCGCGCCCTCGAGAGGTGATGTTGATGCGCCCGCGGTCCATCGATGACGGCTGTAATTCAATGTGCACACCGCTACCCCCTGCACGATCTTCCCCCAATGGCTGCTGCATGCGGAGCGACCTGCAAGTGAGGCTACGTTGAGCGAAAACGACGTGTGTAATGGGATGAGGTTTGTGTAAGAGGGCGCAAATGGCTGCGGCGAAAAAAGAGATTCGCACTAAAACCCGGGTTCCAACGTGTCAGGGTCAAGGCCAGATGGTTGTCAGCAGCCAATTGCGAGCGTCAGCCAGCCAGTAGCCAGTCGCTTAGGTCAGGTAAGTAGCTCCGTTTCTGGGTTTGCGGAGAGGAAATTGTCTTGTCGACGGGATGAGCGAGAAAATAGATAACGTGAAGAAGCGATGAATAAGATATTGAATAGAACTCGCTCTTTGTCTGGATGCAACAATAGCACTGCTTGGCCGTCAATATCAGACAGAAATCGCGGCGTGTTGCTCACGGTCGTGTAAGATTTCTTCTCACGTCAATTTCTGGACGTTCCCGACTAGTTCAGACAACTAGCCGGCCGCCAAGCTCCACTGCTTCAGCTGTCTGCAGCTGATAGTTTTGCACCTTTATGCGCCCGAGACCGAAGACTTCCATAACCCCAACCCAGCCCTGCCTTTAGCTAATACGCGTGACGCAACTCTGGATGCACGGTGCGACTGCCTTCCCCACATCAAGCCAGTTGTGAACGCAAACCATCGTCTAGCATCGCCTTTCTTTTCGGCCAAGCTCACTCTTCCTCCTAATTAAGTGCCAACTATAGATTTCCGGTCCGAAGATGGCCAGCAAGAGAAGTAAGGTGGCCGCCACCGACGACGAGCTCGGCGAGCTGTTTGAGGGCATCGGCGACGACACGGCCGTCAAAAAGCCAACCAAGGCCAAGCCTGCAACTTCCAAACCAAAAAGCGATGCTGCCGAGCAGGACATTCTCGCCGAGCTCGAGAACCAGCTCGGCGAAAAAGGCCTAGAACGACCGCACACCCCGCGTGTTCGTGATGTGGCACCCAAGCCACCGCCCGCAAAGAGAACCTCCACCAACACCCCGCCCCCTGCCGTCGACACTGCCCGCAAGTCTGCCGAGAGCACCGCATCCCACCATACAAGCAACACGCCGAGCGCGACGAGCTCCGAGCCGCACGAGAGCGAGAGGGGAGCCGCTGCCCGGCAATCACAGCCAGCGAGCAGCGGCGGTGGCTGGTGGGGAGGACTCCTATCTACCGCGACGGCGGCCATGAAGCAGGCCGAGGCTGCCGCAAAGGTGATTCAGCAGAACGAGGAGGCCAAGAAGTGGGCAGACCAAGTCCGCGGCAATGTCGGAGCGCTAAAGGGTCTAAGTTTGTCTCTCTCTCTCTCTCTCCCTGAGGCTATCGCCGTCACCACCACTAACAGCACTCTTCCCTTTCCCAGGCCTCGTCGACGAGCTACGACACCGCGCCCTCCCGACCTTCACCAACATCCTGCACACTCTCGCCCCGCCCATCTCGTCCCACGAGCGCCTCCTCATCCACATCACCCACGACCTGGTCGGCTACCCCTCCCTCGACTCTCTCATCTACGGCGTCTTCAATCGCGTCATGGCCCAGGTCGAAGGCGGCGACCTGCTGGTGATTCAGCGCGGGCAGGAATCCACACTCCGCCCGGCCTCGTCCGAGAAATCTTCCTCACTTTTCGGCGGCGGCAGTCAACAATCAAGTGCCGGGTGGCGAGACGGGCCTTGGTGGCGACAGTCGGACTCTCCGCGCGATCTGGGCGCCGTACATGGCCTGGTTGAGGGCACCAAGCTGTGCCGGGCCAACGCCGAGGGATACGCGGCCGACTACTTTGAGGCGCACGGCGGCATCGAGCAGGCCAAGCAGCGCGCCGCCGAGCCCGCGAGCGAATCGAATCCCGTTCGCAGCTCCGATCTGTTCCTGTCCGTGCAGGCTGTCCGTGTGCGGCAGGATAAGGCGCTGTTCGCCGGGTCGACGGCGGTCGAGAAGGAGAAGGAGGACTCGGTTGTCGCGCAGGGCGAGGATGACGACGAGGGTGATGACGTGTGCTTTGCAGTGTTTATCCTGGATCCCGTCCACGAGATCCAGTACGCGACTGTCAGCCAGTGCGTGCCAGCTAGGTGGATCCGCTGGCTGGATGCCCCGGCTACGCCGCTGACGCCGGCCAGCGGGGAGGATGAGGATTTCCGGGCAGAGTTTGGGCGCGTGCCGGAGGAGATTCGGGACATCGTCGAGAGCGGCGGCGTTGATCCGCGGGAATGGGTGGCAGAGTGGGTCGAGGAGGCCCTGGGCCTCGCTGTGGGCGTCGTTGCGCAAAAATATGTGGCGAGGCGCATGGGCGTTGGCGAAGGCGGTATCGGCAAGGGCAAGCAGAAGGTCGAGAGTGTGCTGCAGGATGGCGGCAACGAGGTTGCGAGGGCTGGTCTGATTTGAGTTCAAGGCAAGGAGCCAAGGTCCAGGTCGTTCTGGAATAATGAACTCAGCGAGATGCTGATTGACCGTAATTATCAGCATCACACAGTGACCGTTCTCTGGGGCAGTGGTTCTCAGTTTCATTTCGGCGTCCGCGTGTTGGGATTCATTTTGTTGGCACTGCCCCGACTAGGAACAACTCTGGAAACAATCCACATCGTCTCCTGAAACACTGCGGGAGAAGAGGTAGCCATGAGATCTGGATGGGAGCCTGGCTTGTTGTTTTGTTGCGACCCAAGACTTGCTCCAGCGACTGTACCCTGGGCTTGGGTAGTGAACGGATCCATGTCGTTACTACGTCCTTCTTCGGTACGGCACTGGTGTTGGATGAAATCAATGCGGCATTGGCTTGTACCTCGGGTTGTTATTGCCAATGACTCGAGATGGCGAGGCTTTCCAAGCATGGGTTCAGCCCATCTTACGGTTTCTGGATAAGTTCCTGTTAGACCCAGCTGCAAAGGATAAATACGGGCAGTAGAAAGAGCAGGACCCGGCAGAACATACTTCTACTTGAGTCTTGGGGTAAGAGCGTAACAGATGCCAGTGATAGTTGGTTTGTGAGAAACCCTGGCAGTTCAGTTAGACATCAAATAAGTGGAAGTAATAGCACAAGTAGAACAAGTTGTCTCTGAAACGACTGCTGCCTATGTATAACGCTTTGAGGGCCTAGGAGACCGGCATCATCGCACGAACACCCCTGACTACCTGGTAGTTAGCTGCCAGGTAGGGCAGGACAGCACGGGGTTTGCTGAAACCGGAACCTCAAGACTCCGACAAGCCGCAATAATTAGTTTTTAGTCAGATATGTGAACGAGAGAACAGCCTCGGAAGCTTTGTGAGCGGCGTCGGCGATGGCCTGGGCAGCAGGGTGTGCGAGTTTGATTTGTTGCCCATGGTCCGTTTCTCTGCTCGATGTCAGCATGCCGAAGAGGGAGATCTAGTCACCAGAGGTCACAAATACGGCAGTCACTCACATAGACAAAAGCTGTGTGGCCAGGATGAAGAGTTTCATGTATGCCTTCACCAGAGAGAGACTCGTACCAAATGATAGCATCGCTGCTGAGGCCGCCAAATCCCGACCCCAGTCTGTCCGACACGGTACTCAGAGCGGAATGGCAGTCGTCTAGGCCGGACTTGAGGACGTCCCAGCTGTAGATGGATGACCGGGGCATCAGTGACACTGCGGGCCAGTTGACCGACGTGCAGCCGAAAGCTTTGCAACCGATTCGAGAGAACAGCCAGCTGCTGCTGAAGTCCGTCCTTCCCGACTGCATCAGCGGCAATAACTTGTTGTATCTTGGCGGCCGTTGACTGTGCTATCTCTGATAGCGCCGAGCAACCTGCTGGCACGGTCGTTTGCCAAGTGAGATGCATAGGAGGGAGTTGAAACTTGAACTTTGTTCACGAAAGCCCCCAACAGTTATTTTATGACTTTTTGGCACGTCAAACAAAGGGAAACCGCGGAAGCTAGCAGGACATTCGAGTGGTCCGAGAAACGACGGGCTGAAACCGACACGTTGATTCCTATATCATCCGTACTACCTTTCAAAATGCGTGACTGGGGGTTGTGTCGATAGTGGGTGTGGGGTGCGGAGATTCCATGCCTCTGGTGCCTTGACATGGACCTGAAAAAGAACAGCACCACTGCAGCGTCTCTAACCTTAACCCTGTACTCCTAGCCGGCTTGTGTAGGTACTCCTGGTACTCAACTGGAACTCGCATCTCATCGGCTGGGGCCTGGCTACGAAGCCCGACACCTAGGCCGTTGGGCGGCAGCCCACTGATTTCAAAACGCCTTTGGTTCAAGTATCACCGGCGATAAGTAGAATTCTGTTGTCCACAGCACGCTTTCAATCATCAAGAGATCAAATTCGCCTACAAATCCGAAGTCGACGAGACGGAGCCTACCGGGGCCATGGGCGGACGTCACCAGATCTTCGTCATCGCCCGAGTCGGCCAACACTATCGCTGCTTGGCCGCGGTACACCACCAGGACCTCGGGGACGTCTTAGCAATCCACGCCTGCCGGCGTCTCGTTGATATCTTTTCGGCACCTACGACCCGGCGCCCTCTCGAGGCCGAACTACGTCTCGCCGCCGCCTTCTACAGAGACCGTCCTCCCCCGACAAAGGTGCAACTGGACTACAAGGCACACCTCTCGAGTCCTGTCCGCTTCCCCTTCATTGCCACCTGTCTGATGGTGGGCAGCACCATCAACTTTGATGCCGAGTCGAGCCAGGTTCGACTCAAAATAGCAGCATTCGAGCCCGAAGATGTCGGCTTTGACCAGTGCGACAACGACACCGGAATCACTGTCATCGACATTACCAACCTGGCTAAAGTACGCTACTGCTTTGCCGCATGGCGCCGTATGGGGAGCCCGGCCGACCGAAACTCGGCCGATGAAGCGCCACCAACGCTCAACAAGCCGTGGTCTGCCAGCGAGTATGTCCGGCATTGCCTTGTGGGCCGCATCTTCTTACCTCAGCTCATAAATCCTATGCATGAATTTCCAGGCCGCTTGTTCGCTCGCGTTCCTCTAGTTCATGGCTCAGCCCTAGCAGGTGAGGTTCCAGCCATTAAACTAACTGTATTGCTGCCGTACGTTGGAGCTGCCCGGCTGACTTTCCTGCAACTACGCAGACCTTTGGCCGTGGGGAGATTGGGTCATCGACCAGCCCGCTCTGGACGCACCGGCACGCCAAAGCTTTGTCTCCTTCCTACTAGACGGGACATTTCGAAACGGCCCGAGAACCGACGTCGCAGAGCCAGACTTGCTCAGGCGTGTGGGCGGGCATCGTTAAGAGACCAGGCTCTGGCAAAGCTGGTGCAAGTCTGCTCTCGTCCCCTGCTGAGCATATTCGTCTCCTTGACAAACCCATGCGGATTCCACGCTTCAAGGATACCTTGAGAAACCATCTCTTCGCCATTGCAGATGATATTCGGGAACTACCTGGTGTCCCAGGGCTTCTGAGGACCGCTTTCGCGGGGGACATGTTCCTTGATTGGGCCAGATTCCGCCACCTCAGCCCAGGAACCATAATCGCAGCTCTGGAGGGTCCCGAGCTCAAAGACGCGCGAGAACTCAGCCTCTGCCCGGACTGGAGCATCACCACAGCACCAGGTCTGGCTCAGGCGATTTGCGCTTTTCCACGTCTGCAACATGTCTACATAATGGAGGCTCCAGACAGATCAGATGAGGGCCCGATCGGTGAATTCTACAAGGTGCTGGCCGTTGATCCACGTTGCCCGAAGGGCAAGATATCTCTGGGCGGCGTTGCTTCCTGCGCCATCAAGCAGCGGATGTGGCTCCCGACAACCGAACCCTTCCGTCCACCGCCATCGTTTTCCGTACAGCAAGTAATTACTGTCCACTCCGCGTGGCCTTTTCGCACTGAAGGTTCTCCTTCTGCTGTAGAACCGCCCGTTTACTACTTCCCCCTGGCCGACGCCTTCCTACCTCCAGAACGCTGCATTGAGGGCCTCTTCCGTCTCCTTTGCCATCACCTGCACTACAGGTCCGAAAAGGAGTGGTTGGTGTCAGCGGCATGCTGCTTTGCATGCCCCAACCCGACGGCCAACAATCTGTTCGCCATCAACGTCACCCCTCTCCCTGCAGAAATCTACACCGTCATGAAGACTGTATATCACGGAGCGATCAATAATTGCTTCCCGAAGATGCGCGATCTCGTCCCGGGCACATGGGCTGTCCTGATCCACGCAGACTTGATCCGCCCCGTGAATCCCAACCTGTCTAGACCGCCTAGAGTCTGCCAGAACTTCTTCCAATGCGCTTTTGTCCGGCCCAAGCACAGAGTTATCAAGGCTGAACCGCAGATGGTCGACTCACTCGTCTCGGATGACTTGGAGGTTCTGGACTTACAAGGCTTCGTGCGTGCCGCGGCGCCAAGCATATCCCGTGAGCAGCTCAACAGCCGGGTCGAATGGCTCGAGGCATGCGGCAAGTGTCACTTTGTCGGCGCCGACTCTGACAACCGGCCCCGGTTCTCGCTCGCTCCCGTCGACGCCGAAACCGCATGCGGGTGGCTAAGGCAGGCGTTGGCGCGTCTGCGCACTGTGCGCAACAGCTATCAGGAGGTGCTGCTGGACTGCACGAAGAGGATAGGCAGGATGAGTTCTGGTACCCGGAGCTGGACATCCAGTTGCCGAGCAATCTCTTTTCATGACGGGTATGTCATCACTGTGACTCAGGGCAGGAGGAATCCACCATGGAGCTGGAATTGGCACATTCATTCCTTTATCCAATATACCTGTCGACTGTCAACATTCCTAGATGCGCCTGGCTCGGAGAAGGCTGGCCGTCGTCCTCCCGGACAATGGGTTGACGTTCCATCCAACATCTTCCAAATCTGACAGGCGGCAGAGAACAGCTTGAATTGTGCCTGTCTCAGACCTAAGGTATCTGCTTGGGCTGTCAGCATGGCACCCTACCCTAACAAATTAGTGCACTTAGACACGAGAGGGCGTGGGCGTGCATTCGAATTACATCTAAGTACATGTACCTAAGGTAATCAATCGTTGCAAGAGGCTTGTTTCAGGCTAAGCTCCAGGTCCTTACACGCCCATCGAATACAAGCTATCCCCAACCCATTTCCGGAAGGCGGTGGGTGCGGACCCCGTACAATTAGGTTGGCGACCCCGTACAATCAGAGATACTCTTAGTATATAGCACTATGATCCATAATAGAGTTGAGCTCGTAAAACCCAGGCAGGGTGATACCGACAGATGCTTCCAGTTTATTCGGAACGATCTCGCTAATGTGATCAAGACCTTAGAGGCTTAATCAAAGCCACGGCACATACTCAGTCTCAATTTGAAAATTTGGAGTCTGGTGAAAACCGCGTTAAGTCTGTAAGCACCAGGGCAGGCATTTATACCCCCAGACATCGATGATACCTTAGACCTTTTCACACATGGGAGTCCATTTTGGCGATCAAGAAAACTTCCATTGCCATGCTCCCATCAGCTCAACACCAAGCGATGTACACTCTCACGAACCTCATCTCCCTTCTCCTGCTACTGCTGCTCTCAAGCAGCCAGATAGCCCTCACCTCACCCACACCATCGAACCCACACGAGCCATCCCTCCCCTCCTAACGACAGGTCACAACGACAAGATACTGCAACCCGAGCAAACAGATCTGCTACCTCGAGTACTCATGGGGCGCTTCAGTGCCCGTCTTCCGCATCGCCATCCCGGACAGCGCGAAGACCAACACGCCGTTTGACACGCTCCTGCAGATCGTCTCGCCCGTCTCGCTCGGCTGGGCCGGGTTTTCCTGGGGCGGCGGGATGACGCTCAACCCGCTGACGGTGGTGTGGCCGAACGGCAACGGCGCGACCGTGTCGTCGCGATGGGCGACGTGCGTTTTCTTCCTTTTCCTTACTTCTATCTCCTTTCTTCCTCTTCTCTTTTTGTGAACCAACAACCGCCTTACATCTCCCTAGCGGGCGCGCCCTCCCGACCGTCTACTCCGGCGCAACGTACCGCACCGTCTCAGCCTCCCGCAACGCGACGCACTGGACCGTCGAGACGGTCTGCTCGGGTTGCAGCAGGTGGAGCGGCGGCGCCGGGCTGAGCACGACGGACGTCAACACGTTCGCATGGGCCGTCAGCAGGACGGCCGTGTCGCAATCGGGCAACAGCGGCAGCAGCTTTGCGATCCACAACAATGTCGGCATGTTTTCCGAGACGTTGGAGATTGCCAAGGTGCCGAGGGCCGTGTTTGACGCGTATGTCAGGGGGGAGAGGTGATCGCGGACCGGCGGGCTTGGTGTGACTGGGGCCAAGGGGAGCAGCCCAACGGGCTCGCAGCTGTGTTGAGGATTGTGTTTGGTCGAAATGAGAAACATGACACAGAACAATGCGTTTGAACAGGCCCTAACGCCGCCTGCTAGGCACCTCTAGTAAATGCATGAACATGAACAAGATGTGTACAACCTGCTATGCAACCATTTTAGATCCCCAAGCGCCTCACCAGGGCCTAAGCAAACGCCCCAACAGCGGCCATCAACGAAGCCCCGCCGACGACCGCCAAGAACGCATTCACCCTCCTCCTCCCCTTCAGCGTCTTGTAGCTGCCATCGCTCAAAAAGTCCTCGGCCAGCAGCTGCACCAGGCCAGCAAACAGCAACAGCCCGCTCGAGATGGCGTTCATGAAGCCGACCATCAGCAAGCCTGTCTGGCTCATGGGATCATAGAAGCGGTGCACAAACAGGCCGATGGCTTGGCCTATTGGGGTGGTGGCGCCAAAGGCGAGGACCATGAGCCAGGGGCGCGGGGACGAGCGGGGGAAATGCAGGGCTGCGATGCGCGTGCCGAGGGCGAGGCCTTCGAATGATTCTGCACGGGGTCAGGTCAGTAACGGCAATAGTCCATCGTGATGGGAGCCGAGTCTGGGTACGACGTACGGTGAAAGGAAATGGCGATGAGAAACACGGCAAAGGTCGGGCCCGTGGCAACCGACAGCGCCATGCCGATGAAAACGCTGTGGAAGAGGATTCCGGCTTCAAGGAGCACGCACTGCAGCATCATGCGCTTCTGCTCCTCCGAACCAGGGACATGTTGGAGCGCGGGAGGTCCGGGTGTAGGCTTATGCTGCGAGGACGGGGACGGCGAGGCGTTTGGACGTAGTTCCTCAAAGCTGAGTTCCAGATCGAGTGATTCCCTCTCGTCGTCTCCTCCATGTGACTCGTCTCCTCGGCGGTTCAGCAGGGATTCTCTGGCCGGTGGCATCGTCGGTGTCGAACCGGGGAGAGGGGACGCTCCCGAGACAAGACCTTCGGTTGCCTCGAGGTCATCCAACGCGATGCTCGCAGGCCGGTCGCGTCGGGTATGCCGGGTTGTAGAGCCGCCAACGCGTGCATGGTCAGGCCCAGCGCCGTCGTTATCCCCGCTGTCGTCGTCCTCCCAGACGTGATGGGAATGCGAATGGCTCGCGCCGCGGGTGGTGAGATAGGATTCCAGCGCCACCACCACGAGTGCCGAGACCATGGCAACGAGACCAGCGAGCGGCTTGTACCCTTTGCTGAAGAAGTGTGGGAGACATGGATCCGTCAGGGAGGTAAACGCGGTCGGAAGAAGGTGGACAAAGGCCGTGGCCATCAGGACGCCGGTGCCAAAGTGCTGGCAGAGGAAGATGATGTTGCGCTGACGCTTGCTGCCTTTCGTTAGGCGCTGGGAGAAGAGAGGAAACCCGCATGCTGTCACGCATCAGGATCAGCACATCGCAAGCACGGGGAAAGCCAAACCGGGACGTGCGACGTACCTAGAGTGCTGAGGGCGAGGATCAAGAAGAGAGCAAAGACGTGGATGCCTGTGTCGTAGGACCCCTTCTTCCCCGACCCGCAAGCTGGTCGGTTTGGGACATCGTCGCGTCCCGAGAGCTCTGCGAGGAGCAGTTCGGTCGGGATCGAGGACCATCGGGTATCTATGCAGAGCAGCTTCCGTTAGCTTGCAGGACTGGTTGGGAGGAGGACTGTGCTGCCGGAACTGACCATCTGCCCGCAGGTCGAGCCTCTCCATTCTCACGCGATCCTTGCAGTTCGGGACTTGAAAAATCACTGCATCGTGGCGCTGGGCAGGATACCATCGGCGAGATGGCTCTTGGAGATAAGCATGCGCCGCAATCACTTCGATTTGGGGTTGGATGTTGCGGAACGGCAAAGGATTCAACGGGGAGCGGGATTGCTTTCGTGCCTGCTGAAAACCCTGCATGCTACGGGTGTTCTTGGCGGCAGACCCGCCCTAATTTTAGGTGCTTTTCAGTGACGTCGCTTCTGGCTGGGACTCGGCTTCCTGTCAAAATACTCTCAAACTTTCTCATCATCAATCATCTTGGATCAAGCAATACAAGGTTGACGAAAGGCAAACTTTTCTACCTGCCTGTTCTGTAGAACCTGTGTCTTATCAATAGAATTCACGATCCTCCCGCTCTCTGTTCCTGAAAAATTCAAGCGCTTCCCACTCCATGTTCAATTGTTCCCCGCCTACGAGATCCTCAAACGCCTTCATAATCTCGTCCGCCGGCCTCCAGTCCTGACCGACCTGCCATGTCACTTTTCCTTTCCTGTCTCTTGTTTTAGGCCCTCATATCTCACCCCCCATCGGAACAGAACAGGCTCATCCTCAGCCGAATGGGGCACGTCAGCCCGCTCCTCAGAAGGCCGCCACGTGAGCCACGTGAACAGTTCGGCGTCTTCAAGGGAGGGCATTTTGTTTCGATGGAGAGACGAGGCAAACGCCAAGAGCAAAGGGTTGATGCGCTCCGAGATGGGAAGCGTACGGAACATGTCGGTCTGGCGGAGGAGGTATAGCTCGTCGCCGCTCGTATTCTCCTCCTCCTCGTCGGCCAACAACGTGTGCGTCGCGTCAGTGTCCTCCCAGCCGGGCGGGTAGTGGTCCTTTCTCGTGATGGCGAAACCCGCGGCGTGAGGGTCTTCGCGTCGGGGCCCGGAAAAGTACCAGCGGCCGTCGGGCGCGCACGGGTGGAATTCTACCCTGAGGTGCCGCATAGAGGACCATGAATGGCCCGTTGCGCTACCGGCAGGGAAAATACCGGGGGTGATGAGCCCACGGATGTCTAGTTCCTCCAGTCGACTTCCCAGGGCCCGTAGCCCGAGCGATACTGGATCCATGCCTTCAATCTCAGAGCCCGTCGACGACAACGACGAGGCGCCCACAAGGTCAGGCATCTGCGCCGCCTGGTCCATGTCGTCCCCGGAGGGGTCGGGCTTGAAGAACCAGAGCCGGGCCTTGGTGAGAGAAGACGGCAAAAGGGGCATGAGATGGCGCACAGCCCGCCCGAGCTCGGCGGGGGAGTCGCGCCAGGGGCCTTCCCAGACGCGTGCCGATGTGCGCAGCGCCTGGGATGAGAAGGCAATCGGAAGCCGCTCTCATAGCCAAGGGAAGTCAAGCTCGCCGAAATGAGGGAGGCGGGCGGCCAGTTCAAGGGGCGCGCGCGGGGAGACAGGCCGCCCGTTGGCCATCAATTTCAACTCGATGGAGTAATCCAGGGTGGGGAAGACGCGCAGTGGGTGACGCGGTTGAGGACTGGTAGCGTGCCCGGGCTCTGAATGCTAAGGCGGCGGGAGTGGAAGCTGCGGTGCCAGCAGTCCACGCCGCTGTCGAAGTACTGGATGCCGATGCGGATATTGGCCTGAAGGCCATGGCCTGGACAGAGGAGAGGACGCTCGTCGCTAGCCTGTCAGTCGGACAGGTCTTCGAGGGCGTGCAGTGCATTGAAGAAGCGTGCACTTAAGCTGAAAAGTGGGCGTTGGCGGCCTCGAACTCGTCGAGTGGCTCGAAGCACGACAGAGGCGCGCTCGGCGGGCTGAGGAGCAAGGGCATTTCGGCGTCGAGCTTCGCGTAGCACAGGACGACGTGGCCCGGTTGGCGCGCGGTGTAAGCGCGGGCACCTTCGAGCATAGAATTGAGGATGGTGTCTTGGGAGGGTGGCGTGAATATTAGGACATGTTGGGACGCCATGGTGCAAGGTACGGGATCATCACAGCCGCGATAGATGTCGGGTATTCTCAACTATGAAGCTCTTCGCCGTCTCGTGCAGCTGAGTTGGCGGCAGGTTCAGTCCAAGTGGACCTAACCGGCCACCCAATGGATATGGTGTACGTTTTCACGATACGCCCAGAAACATCTCATTGAGCACCGGCCTTAGGAAATTGGGTGTCAGGCTGATTCGGTTTCAACATCCCGTCTCTCTCCAGATTCAATTATCCCGCACCACCCCCGAGTTGAGCCCAACATTGACCCGCCTGACGGCTCGAGTGCCTAGAAACCGCGTCCTTATGCCTTTGGAACTGCCGTCGCCCACGGGAACGCCGTCGACACGGGCGACCCATACGAGCCCAGGCTGTTGAAGTCTTTGGTCGTCGGCGTGCCAAAGAAGATCTTTTGGACGTATGGCAGGATCGAGGTGCTACATCAAACACCTGTGTCAGTCTGCTTTCCGTCAGGACTTCACTCAAAACGGTTTGGTATCACTCACAACCCGCTCATGTCGCAGTGCCCGCCCCCGCGCACGCTGATGGCGATCTTGTCTCCCACGCCGAGCCAGTCATAGACGACTTTGGCCGCCGGGTAAATAACAACAGCAGTGCCCTTGCTGTTGACGAACTGGTCGCCCGTGCCTTGGTCCATGACGAGCGCCCTGGGCGCGATGGCCGCCGCGATGGTGTGCGCGTCGTACGGCAGGTTCTCGGCGTGGTTGACAAAAGTGCCCAGCCTGCTGTTGGTCCACCAGCCGGCGCCCTGCTTGCTGTTCTCGAGGTTCTCGCCCTGGCCGCTCATGCTGTAGTACCGATACGGACCCAGCCCTTGCACCCCGGATGACATGGGCATTGTCAGCGTGATGCGCTTGTCGAACAGCCCAGCTGCCAACGCCGCCTTGCCCAACCGCGAGCAGCCCGTCACACCGACGCGCGTCGCGTCGATCTCGGGCACCGTCATGTTGATGGCGTCGAGCGTGCGGTGGAAACCCCAGGCCCACGCTGTCAACACCCCTGCGCATGCGGTGAGTACCGCACATCTCCAAGCCAGCAAGCAAAAGCCAGTTGGTAGTACTTACCAATATCCCTCCCTTTGTAGATAATCCAGAATGCCCCCGTCTTCGCATTGCTATCCGGCGCAACCGAGGTATAATCAAACTGCGCAATCGCAATTCCCGCGCTCAGATACGGCTGATTCTGCATGCCCCCGATATTGATCACGACCGGCGCAGGCTTGGCCGGCGACGCGCCGGACGGCAGCGTGATGGTCGCTTTGAACCGGCCCGTCTTGCCTCCGGGACCCGTCACCTCGATGTTGAGCGTGTTGCCGCCGCTCCGCGTGGCCGCCACTTTCTCCTCGCTCGGGTCCGGGTAATAGCCGTACTGGTACTCCTGCAGCATCTGCACGATCTCGGGCTGCCGGCACTGGTACCACTCGTCGCGTGTCTGTACCCGCCCCTGGCCCCTGCCCGCCATCGCGTCCCGCGCATTGTCTGGTGTGGTGTACTTGAGCGGCAGGAAAGGGTCGGGTAGGGTGGATTGCTGTGGGAGTTGCTGCCAGCTTGGGAAGGGGGAGGGGACTGGCGCGCATTGGATTGTGCTGTTGCTGCCTTGCCGGGGTTCCAGGGGGATGGCGGCGGCGCTGCCGAGCGCGGCAGCTATGAGGATGTATGGCAAGGGCCCCATGGGCAAGGATTAGGCTCTGTGTTTCCTGCGATTGAAGATGCTGGCCCGCCCGGACAGCGTGCTGGCACAAGGAACGCAGGAGATTGTCAGGCTATATCCGTTCGGGACTCCATGTGAGGCCGGGATCTGAACTATTCCCCGAGAGTCCCGTCGCCCGGGTGGCTAAACCTCAATCCTGGCTCAGTGGAGTTCCTTGATTGTAACCCATGATGCAGTCAGTTTATCCATATTGGATCGGCACTCAAATACCTGTGACAGCAAGATCTAATGCTAGACTCCCATACTACTGGGCAATATCTATGTGCCAGCCGTGCGAGCACACGTCTGACGTCAGGGCCAAATATCCGCTCTCGTATGAAAGGAAGGATGTCTGGTTGGTAAGGTTCTCACCCTGGCTGACGCTGTCTTTCCACCCTGAAAAAAAAACCAGTTGCGGACACTCAGATACACAATACCAAAGCTCAGAGTGGCCCCGGGTCCCTCCCCCTCGGCCAAAGCGGCGAAGAAGGAGTGATCCGCTTCAACCGCTCATAGATCGCCTCGACCTCGGCCTGGTCAACAGTTTCGTCCTGGTTTGCTTCGTACTCGCGCAGAGTCACCAGGAATCATCCCCCCAACTCGGGCCAGTCAATCGCGGATGTCACGCAGTGGCTCGGTTTCTGTTCGGCTGAAGGCTTCCGTTCGTGGTGGTTGCGAAAGATGTAAGTCATCGAGTCCCATGGATCGTATCATCATATGTTCTCGGTCGTGCCGCGAATGGGAATAGGGCATGCTGAGTGAGTTGTCCGCTCTGGGCCCAGTAGGAAGTCTATGAGGGATGTAAACTGCACTGATGTTGGAGGGAAGATAGTATGTGGTCCGCGCATGTAGCCTGGATGCAAGAAAAGGTCCTGATATTGGAGTGGAGAGTTAGCCGCAATAAGATCTGGTGTCATCATTCGCAGTTGGCTTGCACAAGACTCGCCTCTGTGCCAGAAGGTCCGCGGTCGAAGAGGACAACACCACCAAAAATTCTAGCCCCGGCCCAGTATCTGACCATATCGGCGACGCCGTTCGGATATTGGTCGATGTCTGTAGCGGACCCAAAAGGGGGTCGGTCCAAAATAGTCGTCTGCCTTTCCAAGCTGCTGGTCTCGTCATTCTTGGTGAACGCGGTGCTTGTGAGCTCCCTCATCGAGCCCATACAAGTACACTGCAATCTGATGGCACGCCACGGCGTGGAGCTCGATAAGTTTGAGCTCGAATTGTTTGGTGCCTCCGTGGGATTGCTGAAAGGCGGAAAGCAGCTGAGACATTTCAGAATATAGGATGCGGACTTTAGAGAGGGAGTTCCCCCAGCAGGGTAGAATTGAAGATTCAAAGGAAGCCCGAGTGACCGCGGTACTTACGGCAGGGGTAAAGGACAGCTGCAAAGGGTTAAAATGTTGTCTGAAGGCCCGAATTCTTTCGACGATCCTAGGACACAGCGATCTATGGTTTAACTCGAAGACAGGGTGCCCATGCTGCTTAAGATGGGACTCGCGCCAAATTTTGATGGTTGGAAGTCCATCCAGGATGTTGGAGTAGCTGGCTTCGGCAACTTCCATAGCAAGAAGTCGGCCCAGAGCCTGCTGAACAGCATTGGTGCGCTCAGAATCGAGGACCGACAGGTCGTTGATTGAGTCATCCATATTGGATATTGAAATTATAGGGAAGCCTGCAGCTTTGATGCGGGCGTTGCCATTGACTGTAGTCTGTGAAGCACATGTGCAGTCAGGCACTTGCCAAACCGGGTCACAGGCGACTCAGAGCTGTGACTGGAACATATACTTGCAGGTGAACAACACAATTACAATGAGCTTCTTGAATGTTGCCCCTAGCTATATCGAAAATCTGCTTGATGATTATGTTTAGCGCGGACTTTGGTCAATCAGGGGCAATCCTAGGTCCACGGATGTTACTAGCACAAGTTGCATTACGTGATTGTCAAACAACATAGATATCAGGGACAGGGCGATGGAGTTGACAACTGTGTCTTTCGAACTTGAGTCCACATCTGCTGTGCTAGGTCACTCACATGCACACTCCAATCCTGCGCAGGGTACCTCTTTTCGTAACCTAATTTGATCTCGTTACTTGCGAAGAGGTAGTTAGTGGACTTTAGGAATAGACTTAGCTATGAGATCATATCTCGATCCCTTCTCTTCTCATCTTTTCTTTCTCTTTGTACTTTTCAGCTTTCTTTTCCTGTCTCTCTCACCTAGTCTCCCTTTTCTCGCCTTTACGTTTTATTTCGATCTTTCTCCCCTTCGCTACGTCAATGGGCTATATCCTTCTTTCTCTTTCTCTCTTTCTCCGTCCTTTCTCTCATTTTCTTTTCGCATGATTGGACCAAGCCACGTGCAGGGCGCGCATGAAGAGATGACTTCATGCCAAACAAGCCGGGTTGGATTGTAGCACATGTTGATGATTGTAAGGCGGAACACTAGTAAAAAGCAATTTCCTCTTTCTATGTCTTATAGGGTCACCACTTACACAACTATTGGGGAACTGTGGCTTGCGAGAAGGGGTAGGACAGGACTGGGCATGGCGAATCTAGCTGGTCGAAAGCCAGATGGGACCTCGCCGATCGCGGAATACTTGATGCTTTTGCTGTTCGTCTAGTTGGCCATCAATCACGATTGCTCAGTTACGCTCCCAGTCCAGACTGGGGTGTCCGACAGATCGGCAACGCCCCAGCGTCTCACACAAAAGCCACAGATTGCAGCGTGCGACATGAGAAGCGCACCGTGCCCTCCCGATATGACCATTGCCATGGATCACACTTTGACTCCTGCCATCGCTTGTCGCCACCATCTCTACATGGAGGGTAAATACTACTAGGTACATGTAGGTCTCAGCTCGGCCCTCGTGCGATTCGGGCGCACATCATGTCTTCCGGCGTGCTCGAGCCCGATCAGCCATCTGTCTGCCCCGGGAGGTCTCAACTCACTTCCATGCCTTGACCGCGTGCTGCCCACGAATTCACGACTCAAAAAGTCCGTCCGCCTCCCTCGCCGGACTTCTTCAAGTCATCCTCTCTTCCTCCGTCTTGTGGCATGGTTTCTCGACAAGCAGAATCTACCTACGTGCTTCCATCTCCGTCCGTTATGATTCTGCTCCCCCAGTCCGGGATATCCGCCGAGACGGTGGGGTCCGAGATCGGGACAACGCCAGACACCAAGCCCGAGCCCCGGCTTGATGCCATCGGCGTCTGGTGGATTACGTTTGGCGCCGTCTGGACCGTCCTGCTGCTCGGCGGCATGACGTTCCTCTACACGAAGCGCAACACACCGACCCTCCGGCTGCGCGGACTCTCGTTGACCTTTGCCAGCATCATCCTGCTTCATCTCTACTGGATTACAGTCCAGATCGGCTACTCGGTCGGCCCTCTCGCCCCCGAGGTGGCTGAGTTTTGGATCATGAGCATCTGGTATCCCTTTGGCATCGCCCTCTTCCAGGCCGGCAACAGCCAGTTCCTCCACGTCGCCAGGGCCCAGAGCCGCTTCGCCCGGCCCCTAAGCCAGATGGAGACGCAGTACGATGAGAAGCAGCTGCTCCAGAAGGCCATCTGGCTTCCGCGCCTGCTCCTGAAAGACTACACCAAGCGTATGTTTGTCTTTGTCACGTTGGGCATGGCTGTGCAAGTAAAACACTCATATCCCTTGATCCCTCACCTCTGTCTAATCGCATATCCAGCTGTTTGTGGTAGTCATCATCTACATGATCTCACGCAAGTTCCACCCCGATTTCGGCATCCCCGGCACCGAGGTGGCGGGCAGCTTGCCCATGGAGATTGCCATGAAGCAAGGCAGGGGCTGGGAGTGGTAGGCATCTTTCCACCCCAGAACTAGTGAAGACGACCTAAACTGACTCTCTCCACAGGTGGCCGTCCATCGTTTGGCAGTTTGTTTGGGCCTGGATCATTGCACCCATTATCCTTTGGCGCTGTCGCGGGATCCATGACACCCACGGGTGGCAGCATCAGACCATTGCTTGCTGCGTTGCTGGGTATGCTGCTCGACTGCTCCTTCTAAGCTCACGAGAAACTAAGGTACTTGACTGAAACGAAACATTAGACTTCCGGCAGCCCCCATGTGGCTCATTGCGCTCTACGTACCCGGTATGGCACCCGTAAACCGCTACTTCCTGCCGCCGCAATGGTACGTCTGGAAAGCCTCACTCCGGATCGTTTGAGAGTCTCGTACTGACTTAAACAGGACCGCCCTGCCCATCTTCGTCATTGAAATCTACACCGTCTTCGTGCCCTGCTGGCAGGTCCGCAAGCACCAGAACCTCCGCCAGAAGACACTCGAGTCCATTGCCAATTGTCAATCCAAGACGCTGATTGGGTCCAAGACGGAGACGTCTAATGACCAGAGCTCGGCGCCACCCCTGAGCCCGACCTCTACCAAGGTCGGCGAGTATACACGCTTCGACTCGTGGAAGAAGCTGCCCAGCCTCGAGGCCAACAACAGCCAGCCCAACCTAAGCGGCATCCCCGACGAGAGCGTGCTCACCATGGCGGCCCTGGAGCACGTGCTGGACAAGAATCCGGAGCCGCTGCGCCAGTTCTCGGCCCGCCGCGACTTCTCAGGCGAGAACATTGGTTTCCTGACGGCCGTGGCTGAGTGGAAGGCCACCTTCCCGCCAGACTTACTCCGCAGCCGTGACATGACGGCCGTCCCAGACACAGTTCTTCGCATGCAATTCACGCACGCCTTGCGCATCTACACCGAGTTCATCTCGCCCCGCGACGCCGAGTTCCCCATCAACATCGCCGGGACCGACCTGCGCAAGCTGCAGGGCATCTTTGAGCGCGCGGCTCGGGCGTCCGTCACTCCGGCGGCGTCCATGTTGGCCCCAATCGACGCCGTCACCTCCTTCGTCGACATCAGCCCCCTTCCTCAAGCCGCCACAGCAACCAGTGGAACCCTAACCTCCGCAAAACGCAGCTCGCGCGACTCCGCCTCGGAACTGGCCATCCTCCAACCCCAAGCCAGAACCAAACCGGCGGCACTTTCTCCAGGTTCAAGGTATTATTACCCGCTCTATCAAGCCGGCATCCCGCCGGCCTTTGACTCAAGCGTTTTCGACGCGGCACAGGCAAGTATCAAGTACCTTGTCCTGACGAATACGTGGCCCAAGTATGTGCGGGAACGGCGCAGCTTGGAGAGCTCCTCCTCCTCCTCCAACGGTGGCGGCAATAGTAGTAGTAGCAGCTTTGGCGGAAGTACTACTAACATGAAGGGGGGGGGGTCCACCACTCTGAGGAGGAGTGGTGGCCCGGGTGGTGAGGTTGCGGAGGGCACGGCGGTCGGTAGGAGGAGCGTACGAAGTAAGATCATTTTGAGGAGGGTTCTGGGGTTCGCGTACTAGTGCCGTATTTTCTCTTGACCTTGTTTGATGGGGAAGTTGGAAGTTGGTTGTATGTGGGGTTGGGGTTGACGGCGATGGTTGGATACGTAACTAAGGATTGGGAATCAGTCCATCGTCTGCTGTAGTTCTAATGAATGAGGGCCGCTGAGGGAGGCAAACCAGTTGTTGTGGGCGGAAAACGACGACTCGGAGTGCTTGGAGATCCATTTCGGGAGGATACCCCTATTTTCCTGCTGTACAATACCCTTGCGATGCCGCCATGGCTTCATCGACAACCCTTATTGGATTCTGCTGTGCAACATCATCAACCAGCTAGGGTGAGATTTGAGATCGTCGGGATGCTCGACCCAAGTTGAAAAACAGCATTAGCTCGTGTCACGATCCACGACCCTAGAACATGCAACTTGCTGTATCCAATATCAACAGCACATCCCGCAGTCTGATCGCGAGAGACAGATCAAGTTAACCAATCTTGAGATGATCGCCAGCCGAACCGTATCCAAGCCCCGCTACCCTCCGAGTCTGAGACCCCACACCCCTTCTGGGACCCGACGCCCTTCCGAGACCCGACTCACATAACAAAAAGCAAATCGGTATCTACCAAGAACTAGAGTCAGCAACCGGACGCACAGGAAAAAGGGAAATAATAGAGTAGGTGACGCACCCAACGGATGGCTGCACGACAGCTGAGGTTTCTGCGTGTACCGTGTCTGGAGCACGTCGCGGATGCTGTTGAGCAGCTGCACGTAGCTCTGCTGCGGGTTCTGCTTGAGCGCCGTGATGAAGGCCCACGACATGGCGCCCGTGGCTTGCGAGGCGATGGTCGCGTCGGCCCTAATCCCGGTCAGTTACCCCGATTTCTACGACGTTTGTGACTGCTGTACTCACGACGTCTGGACGTCCTTGCACCCGCTCCACATAACAACGTCGGCGGGAGATGTCTTGGTCCGCTTCGAGTGCTCGTAGGCGTCGTTGCCCTTCAAGGCCGTCTTGGCAAAGCCAAAGAGGGTGGTGGCGACGCCGGCCACGTTGCCACGGGCGTAGTGGCCGACGGCCTGGATCAGCCCCTGGCCGGCCTCCTTGGCCAGGTTGGGCTCCTTGAGCACGCCCTTGGTGCTGTAGAGGTAGGGCAGGTCCAGGACGGAGCCCGAGTGGCAGCTGTCGAAGATGGCCGTCAGGCGTACGCCGGCCTGCAGCGGCTTGACGACGTAGTGATGGATCTCGTCGTCGACAATGTGGCCGGCGGTCCTGTGGTCGACGGGGTAGATGACCTCGTCGTAGCCGTCCTCCTCGTCGCCGTCGAGATCCTGGGTCTGGCCGCCGTGGCCTGAGAAGTGCAGGAACAGGGCGTCATTGGGCTGGGCGCCGGCCACCAGCCACTGCATGGCGCGGATGATGTTAGCCTTGGTCGGCTGCATGACCGGGTCGGGCTGGTCGTCGGTCAGGATCACCATGTCCTCGCGGCGGTAGCCGTGGTTCTCGATGAGAAAGGCCGACACGTTCTTGACGTCGTTGATGCAGCCGCGCAGCTCGTCCTTCTGGCCAAAGTAGTTGATGCCAATCAGCAGGGCCCTGCGCCGACCAGAGCAGTTGGAGTACTGGAAGGTGTAGCCCTGGGGCGCGCCGTGGCCGAACTGCTGCATACCGGAGGGCGGAGGCGGGGCGGCCCGTGGTGGTCCCGAACCGCCGTAGCCCGGGCCGTGGCCGATTGGGTAACCGTAGGCATCGTAGCCCTGCGGCGGTGGTCCCGGAGGCGGCTGGAAATGGCGTTGGTGCTGCTGAGGAGGCGGATACTGGCCGTAGGCCTGCTGGTGTTGCGGAGGTGGGTACTGCCCGTAGACCGGCTGTTGCGGAGGCGGATATTGGCCGTAGCCAGGTTGTTGCGGCGGAGGCGGATGCTGTGCGTATCCTTGGCTGGGCGGGGGATATTGGTTGTAGCCGCCGTACTGCGGGGGAGGGGCAGGCGGTTGATGGCCCCCGTAGCCTTGCCCGGGATATCCGTACGACATGATGTTGTGCTGCGGCGCCCAGAGATGACAGCGTGTGGTGGGGGATAAAGGAAGAAAGGGTGGGAGTCGCAAGCTGGGGATGCAACTGGTTTTTGGGAGTGAATGTGCCGAAATCCGAAACGTGTTGATGTCTTTGATGATGGTTTGTTGTCGGCTGCCTCAATGCTCAGCCGCTTCGGTGGCCCGCAGTGGGATGCAAAGCGGCAAAGCGGCTGAGCAGCTTGATACATACAAATGGTGGAGCAACAGGAGGAGCTGAGTATGGAAATGGGACGGATTGGGGTGGGGTTTGGGCCTGGACCCGGAATCGACTCAGTGGACTCCAAGGGCCAAGGAGCAGCCCGCTAACCCACTAAAGCTAGCGTGCCGCCAGCGCCAAGACAGGTGTTGTTCTGCTTCACATCTTCATCAACTCTGGGTTCACTCAGCGCTTGCTGCTTCCAATTCAGCGGTATGATGGCAACAGAATGAACTGCAGTGTGTGAACCTTCAAGCCTCTTATTGGATTAACTTCAACTAGTTTTTGGTTTAAGGCAAGTACGTCCTCAGGAAGACACCACATCTCCAATAATTCATGGTGGGTCATGCGTCGTCGGTCCTCCGGGGTGCAGATTGCCGGAGGGAGCCGACATGGGCATCACTCATCATTGAACAATAAAAGCGTGTCTCTCTTCCGCAGTTGTTGGGCATTTCAGCGTCTTTTCTGCTCCCTTCTCACAGAAACCGCACCACATGTCTTTTCTCAAGAAATTCGCCGACGGCCTCAGCGATGACCTCGGTCGCTTGGGCCTCGGATCCGACTCTAAGCAGAGCGGTTCTAGCCGTGACGGCTCGGGCCAGTACCAGGCCCAAGGATACGGCCAGCCCAGCCATCAGCCCTACCAGCCTCAGGCCAACTATCACCCCCCGCCCCAGACCACCCCGTCTGCCTATCCAACCGAGCCGGGTCCTCGCCCGCCGCCAACTTACACTCCCCCTTCCGACAAGCCCCCAATCCCTTCTGGCTGGACCCCGCGCTGGGATGACCAATATCAACGTTGGTACTGTAAGTTTGCAATCCAAGGGTTGCTCATGAATCATCATCAATACCTTTCTTAACCCAATCGGCTGCAGATGTAGAGGAGGCCACAGGCCGCTCGCAGTGGGAAGCGCCCGGCTTCGACCATTCAGCTTACCGTGGAGACAACCGTGGCGGATACGGCCCGCAGACGCCTTACGGTGCCCCTAGTCCTGGCTATGACAGTCATGGCGTCCCTTCCGCTGGCGGTTATGATCAGACGGGCCACGGGGAATACCGCGGGGACCACAAGGAAGACAAGAAGGGCCACAGCGGTATGCTCTTGGGTGCCGCCGGCGGTTTGGCCGTCGGTGCCGTAGCCGGTGCTGTCATCGCCCACGAGCTCAGTAAGCCATGATAGCCATCCCCCTCCCTGTGCTCCCCACAACGCATTCAGACAAGCCCCCCCGCCCCTCTCTAACGGCTAGCTCTAACTTCCTGCGCAGCTGAAGACTCCTCCGATGACGAGCACCACCAAAGCAGCAGCAACCAAGCAGCCTACGCCCCAGCCTACGCGCCCACTCCCGCCCCCGCCACCGCTCCCGTCGTGGTGTATGAAACCAACAATTACTACTACACTGCCGCCCCGCCGGGCCCTTCCTCTCCTGACAGCAGCGACCGCGAGTCCCTGCAGGAAGCCCGCGAAGACTACGAAGAGGCCCTCGAGGACGCCGCGAGCTCGTCGGCGAGTAGTAGCGACCTGGAGGAGCTGCAGGAGGCGCGCGAGGAATATGAGGAAGAATATGAGGAGTATGTGGAGGAGCAGGAGGAGGCGTATGAGGAGTACGAGGAGTAGGACGAACAAGGTACCTGGGAGTGAGTCAGTTGGCAACCAGAGGGCTTTCCCATTGTTCTATTGCAGTACCTGTCGACTTTCGATGGCCAGTTACCCTGGGTCGGGTCTATTTGAAAGCCTTGAGTTCAAAATGGATTGAGTCACTCATAGAGTGGGGATCGTACTTGTGTAGATGAGCCTGATCCGTGACGCCAGACGCGCAGTTACAGACTTGGGCATACACTCGAGCATCGTGATTTCATTGAATTTTGCTCTTCTAAGGAAACTCAACCGACCCAGAAGTTGTCTTAAATAGCCCTTGTTGATCAAGGGCCATTCCTATCCTCCATCTAGCGACGTTTCGGGTTTCAACTTAAAGGCCTTGGGCTTGGTCGCTATATTCCGTGCCGGGTAAAGAACTGGTGTTCTCTGCGGGTAAACCGGCTGTCAGGATGGCATGGTAGTGTCGGCGTACCTTGAGGTTGACAGCGGCTCTCCGCAAGCAATTTACATCCATATGCACCTTTTTCAATTCAAGTAACAGTGTGGATCAACGTGGTCCTGGTGCGGCAAAACGGGCGGGCCACTACATGATTTGACACTACTAATTAATTGCTCCGGGATTCAAGTTGACGGGCGGGGGACCAACTGATTCAGCATCGACGGGGGCGATCAAAAGGTGAGCGGCCCAACCTTTGACATGGGCGGAGCGCAATTTACTGAGAGATCCCAAGTACGGACTGAAAACAGGTACTGCAGCTCGAAGTTCACGGCCGTTCTTCGTCAACCAACCCTGATTTTCCACGGTTCTCATCACAACCTACCCGCGAAGGTGCACCGGCATATCCAATGGCAGTACATCATTCACCCCATCACCGGAATGACCGCAGGCATGGGCATGCACACGAACATTGCCTGAATATGGCCAAACGGGAAGACGGCACCCCGTGGTGGGCGGATTTCCCCGAGCCGAAATCAATCGCAGCTCGAGTTGACCCAGAGGACGTCTTCCGGCTGCTCCAGGACCAACAGGTCGCCCAAGGGAGGCATCGGGACTTCCTGCTGGTGGATGTGCGCGCCGGACCGACTGCACCGGGGGCACCATTCGCGGGGCCATGAACCTGCCAGCTCATAGCTTCTACCCAACACGAAAAAAACTCTACGACCTGTGCAAGCAGGAGGGCATCAAGAGGGTCGTCTTTTATTGTGGTGAATTTGCATCCCGGTCCCATTTTTTCTAGTCAGGCCGCTCTGAAGCTAACGATGACCCTTCCTTCCTCCCTAAAGGTTCTTCCCTCGGCCGTGGTCCCCGCTGCGCTGCTTGGCTGCAGGACTATGTAAACGAAGCCGGCGGCGATCTGAAGTCGGAAGTTATGGTAGGCGGCGTTCGGGGCTGGGTCCAAGCTTACGGCGGCGGTATGATGGACGGATATGACGAGAAGGCGTGGCGGCAGGAGAGGTAGTTTTCTGGATGTTGGGTATCTTTGCGTCGGCAATAAAATGTCCTGCCGAACCTGTCCTCTCAGCCCGTTTTTTCTGCCTAGCATGAACGCCTGACCCCCCGAACCGACGTTCCCGTAGTATCCATCATGAAGGAAGTCGTGATCCCCGGCCGAACGTTGCTGATCTGATATCGTTCCCATCCACGCCGGCCGGGTAAAACATGGCGACAGCGTCGTCGTTAACGCCCACCCCGCTCGTCGCCGCCGATCCGCTCTAGCGCCTCCAGCATGACGACCGAGTTGCCGCGGATGACAACCATGCCGAGCTTGGCCTTCTCCCCGTTGTCCTTCTCCTCGACCGCGTCGTCCAGCACAATGTTCAAGAAGACCTAATCGGCACATCAGTACGACCTTGCGATTGACTCAAAATCAGGACAGGCGCATACATCGTATCCGCGGAGGACGCCAATGACTTTGCGGCTTCCGTTCAGCTGGACGAACAGCCGCTTGTCGAGGTACTGCAGCAAAGCGACAGTTAGCGAGACATCAAACCCGGGAGAAGCTTGAAAGCAGTTTGGAGATCAAAAGTGTCAGTTCATCTCAACACGCTTCAAAGTGAGACGCACCTTCTTGAGCTCTGGTTGCGCGGGCGCCATCTTGTCGTAATTGTGCGTCGCGGGCCGAGTTGACAGGGCAGTTGTTGGCGATGCGATTCAACCTCGCGCGGATTGGCTTGGCAGCTTCTGGGAAAACCTTAGATCCGTAATCCGTACAAGCGTACGTATCGCAATACTGAGGGTGTAATTATGCGACTATCAGTGAAATGTGGACCGTGCAGACTTCGTCGGATGATCTCTGTAGCGGACTTTTCAGACCTTCGTTAACTGGCAAGCACTGATTATTGGACAAAGTGATGGTTAACATATGTTATCTCCGACAAGATTGTGAAAGCAACGCCGGCCGCCATGATCTCAAGCCCCACCAGTTGCGAGTTGACGTCGCAATCCCCTATTCCAACACAATAACATTGCCGCCACTTTTTCAAAATGAGCTCATTTGGCGCCAAGCGGAAAGCGCGTGTCATCCAGACCTTCGATAATGAGCTCGACGGTCTAAATCCCACCTTGAACAGTGGAGGGGAGGAGCAAAGCGACCGTAAGTCAGCGGCCGCCACTGGACATGCATCTCTTGATAGCCCTCCGTTGCTGATTCTCGGATCCTCAAAGAGCGAGCAAGCTGATGCGCTGCTGGCAGAATCAGCGCCCCTAGGGCGCATCAAGTTCGGCCGCAACAAGCCCGCCAAATCCTCAACCCTACGGCGGACCATCAACATCAACGATGAGGACGACGGCCAATACCCCGCCGCTGCCGCACGCGACGTCGACGAAGATGATGAGTCCCACGCGCCGGTTGTGGTCCGCCCCACACTAGGTCGCGCCGGCTCATCCAAGCTCAAGAAGCGCCCAGCTGCATCCCGACTCTCTCTCGGGCCCAGCGAAGATGCAGCAGATGACGAGGACAGCAGCGCAGGAAGCGCCGTGACAAAACCATCTACGAACAAGAAACCCCTTGGCCAGCGCCTACTGGCCAACAACGCCCTTCGCAAGTCCGCAAACCTAGCCGGCAGCTTACCCATGCGATTCGGCGGCCAGGAGGAAACCCCGAGATACAGCAAGGAGTACCTGGAGGAACTGCAGAGCTCAACGCCCAACACGCCCCAAGATTTCGCCTCGTTACATGCCTCCGGCGATGATGAGATGGAACTTGACCCGTCCGAACTCGAAGGCGCGGTGGTCGTTCAGTCGACCGAAGTGGCGCCGCCGCAGAGCGGACCCGGTAACCCGGCAGCACACATCCTGACCGAAGCCGAAATCCGCGAGCGGAAGGAAAGGCGGGCGCGATTGGCCAAGGAGGCAGAGTTCATCTCGCTAGAGGGTGACGAGTCGGACGAGGACGCCGCAAGGCAGCACGGTGGCGGCGGCCGGATGACGGTGAATTTCCTGAGTAGCAAGAAGAAGAAAGAACCTCGGCTCATAGCTGAGGACGAATACCTCGGCGAAGGTTACGACGAGTTCGTGTCTGACGGCGGGCTGGCGCTGGGGAAGAAAGCCGAGCGGGACGCCGCGCGGCGCCACAGGCAAGAGATGGCGGAGCTGATCCAGGCCGCCGAGGACGGGTCCGAGGCCGACAGCGATGACAGCGAGGCGGAGCGGCGGGCCGCGTACGAAGCTGCGCAGCGGCGGGCCGGCCTGGACGGGTTGCACCGGCACGACGAGGACCACGAGATGTACGGCGCCCTCGGGCCGGATGTCATCCCGCGCATGAAGCCGCTACCAAGATTGAACGAGGTGCTGCAGCGGATGCGGGAGATTTTGCAGGGGCTGGAAGACCAGGTAGCTCAGAAGCGTGCCAGGATAGCAGATCTTGAAAAGGAAAAGGTGGAAATCCTTGCGCGGGAGAAGGAGGTTCAGGAGATTCTGAACCAGGCCGGCGCCAAGTACCAGGCGGTCGTGGCAAGCGCGGGCGGTAACGTGGGGGATGTGACCAAGTTGGCCAGTCAATCGCCGATGAGGCCGCTCCCGCCGGGAATCGCGGCCGATTTTCCCGTAGAACGGGGCCTCGAAAGCTTTGGTGCGACGCCTACCAGAGGGATGGATACCGAGGAGATGGCTTGACATGCATGGAGAGTCACAGCTGTATTCAAGTTGTACAACATTTGAACTCGGTTGCTATTTGCCGATGAGATCCATGGGAATAGCTCTCCAAAATGAGCTAGCGTCATTATAACAAATGCACTGTATGCTTTGACTGTCTAAAGCGATGAATCCAAATCCCATATCACCACGCCGACGCCAGAATATGTTACACCACGATTGTCCCGCGATTAAGGGGACAAAATCTGAAATCCCGGCAACCAGAGGGTCCCATGAGGATCACCGGCCCGAACCCCATTTCCAATCACCCTTCCATCTTAGTCAAGCCCTCCAAATTACTTTGACCTGCTCACCCCCGCCCCAATAACCCCAGGCAGCTTCTCTTCACCCACACTAAACAGCAAGCCAATCGCAAAGCTAACAGCACCGACAATGGTCACCGTAAACCCGGCAATCAACCAAAACGGTACGCTGACGTCCTCTTTCTGGCACATGCTGCCGCCCCAGCGCACCGTCTTGCGGCCCTTCCTCGCCCCGGCGCCCTCGCCCCCGTGCTCCACCACGGTCGCCTGGCACACACACACGAAGCAGCTTGCTGCCGAAGTAGAGGAGGAACTGCTGCTGTTGCCGCCGCTACCGTCGGGGGTAGCGTACTTGTCGACGCACTTGCCGTGGCCGGAGCAGGAGTTGGTTTGGGTCATGCAGCTGTTGAGCGAGGCGAAGCACTGCGGAAAGGCCTTCTTGGTGCGGCGGGTGCTGGCGGCGGTGGTGGGTTTGGCGGCCGGCTTGGTCGTGGGGTTGATGTGGTCCAGTTCTTGGTCGGATATGACCGTCTCGGTGTCGCGTCGGCGGCGGAGTTCGGAGGAGGAGCCTGCGGCGGCGGCGCTCCAGTGGGAGAACTTGGAGAAGCGGCTTGATTCGGGGAGGACGACGAGGAGGAGTTCGAGGTCGCCGGCGGAGACGAAGTTTTCAAGCCGGGAGAGGTTGTCAAACAAGGACTCTAATGTTTTGGGGGACTGCGCCATGATGTCAGTAGTTTGTTCCGGAGAGCTGCGGGTGAGCTGGCGAACCTTCCGCAAGTCGTACTTAACGACTGAAGACGGGCCCGTCCAGCAGTCCGCCTCAAAGGGGTTAATCATTGCCGATAGTTCGCACTGGTGCGATGATGAAACACCGAGGTTGCGGAAGAACGTCATGAGATGATTGTTGGCGGTTGCCGAGGGAGGATCCGAGATGGTGAATGCGGCATGCTGCCCGAGCTTCTCTCTGATCTGGTTGGACTGTTCGGCTGCAGCACCCTCGAAAAGGACGACGAGTTGTGAGGCATCATTCTTGTCGGGGCGGGTAAAAAGTGGTGCTGGGCTCTTGCCGAACCTCGCGATGTGGGCGATGGCAGTCTCGGTGTCGATGGAGCTGGGAATGTCGCGCAGGTCGCTGCCGTATCGTTGCCGGGATGTCTGCGCAAGGATTAGCAGCGGGACATAAGGCGCAAAGTGCGGCATGGGAGCTTGCCCTTTGGAGCAGGATGTGGCGGGCAATTTCTCTGGGGATGCTAGGGGTCGTTTGCGATGATGACGACTGTGACGGGAACGTGTAGACATCGGCACTCTGTTGGGTTGCTGCGGCAGCAAGCCCAGAAAGGGCGGCCGCTGTTAGGCCGGCAATTAGCCACATGGTGAAAAAGCCAGGAGTAGCGCGCCAGGCCGGATCGCAATGAAAGAGACAAGCAAGTCAAGATCGCTAGTATTGTGCTGAGGTACGGGTAGAGGCTGGCGAGAGCTGTTTGAGATGCCGGGCAGTGTTGGCAGCTGCTGAGTGCGGCTTGCCGGCATCGTGGTTGCAGTGGTCTGTGCAGACGCACGCCCACTTCTTCCAGCTTTTGGTCCAAACCGGGGCCAGATCGCGATAAGGGTCAAATCGTGGATCCCGACTCCCACTCCCGTTGACACCTTGTTGCCTCGAGCACCTCGAACACCTGAAACGCCTACAGGTTTGCAGCATTGATTAATACGCCTTGTCATTCGGTACCGAGATCGAATTTGCATCTCCTCGCCGTCCCCGACCGCTTTCCGCGCTAGCTAGGCGGCCGCTGCACAAAAGTTAACTCACGCCGCCCAGTACGTCTCGGTCCTCGTCGCATCTCGTCTTCCAGTTCCCAGCCGCTCGCTCCTCTCGGCCGCCGTGCTGGCGTGCCGCAGTCCATCGTCATGTCATCACGTTTATACCGCCCATTCCGGACTCTCTTCGGGTCCTCGAGGATAGCATCGCGGTTGCAGAGTGGCCAGACAGTCCGCATCGAACGGGTCAAGATAAGAAAGGGCAAGTCAGCCACTCGTTTCATGTAAGGAGCCCAAGCCCGTCTTCCTACTGTCCGGATTATCGCTGACAATGCGCTGTAGAGGCACTGTGTTCAAAGGGGCGTTGATATTCCAGCTCCTCCTATGGGCGATTCCGCCCGCGCCCGCTCCGCAAGACGGCGACGGCGACCGCCAATTAGTCGAGGGCAAGGCTAGCTTGCCGGCTTGGTTCATTGCATTTCCTTTTACGACCAAGCGCCAACCCCCGCAACCTTACTCTGGGAGCGACCCTGAGTGGCAGGAGTTCATCAGGATAGCTAACAATCCAAAGGAGAGGAGAGCGATTCGAAGTAGGTTGCACTGTTGTCGGCTGCCGCGCAGCCACCGTTCACTTGCTGATGTGCCGCCATAGGTCGCCTGGCCCGCATCGTCCTCGATTCCGCAATGAGACACCCCGCGTTTGTCGCCAGGTTGGGGAAGGATATCAAGATCCAGCAGTACTGGCTGGACATCGATTACCCCACCAGGGCACCGCCTGTTTATGAGCGCTCCGGGTATGCTTGCCGCCATTATTTACCCATAGTCCGACCGATATCGCTGACGCGTATGCCAGACTATTAATAACTGACGATGCCATAGCATGGGCTACTACTACCTGCGATTCATGGACAGTGAACGTGCTCAATCACTTCCTATGGCCCAAACCTCTTGCCCTGGGCTTTTGGGCTTTCGGGACCGTGGCAGCCAAGCAAACCGCCCACGAAATTGCAAAATACTTTGGTTTTGCTTCGGATGAATTCGGCAGTTCTCAAGATACTTCTCAGCCCAAGCCGAGCGTCCCAGCATCCACTCCCTCGCCTCCTCCTCTGCCGTCGTCGCCTGGCCCTCAGATCCAGAAAGAACTCCAGCGGATGCGGCAAGAGGCTACCAGGCGACCAGAACAGGTTAAGGACCCAGGCTCCCTGTCCTCGTCGGCCGGTGCGACGCCGGCCGATCCTTCGACTTCTCGTGATAAGGCCATTAGCGCGGCGGACAAGCCAGCCCCCGATCAGGGCAACCAGCAGACGCCCGAGCAGAAATCCTCGGTCGAGGATTTGATGCGCTCCTTTTCCAACTCCGAGCCGTGGAAGAAACTCAAGGAAACGTTCGAGCGGACAAACCGGCCCCCAAGGCCCGACCCTCCACGAGGCAGTATTCTCGTCTCGGGCATGGTTCAGCTTGAGACGCCCAGGGCGGTCGTCGTCTTTGACGTACTTGCATGGTATGATCCGAAAACCAAGTCGTACGCCCCCGGTACGGTGCGCATTACCACGCGGAGGTGGCAACCCAAGCAGCAGCTGCCCCTCGTGAAGTAAGAACCAACCCCGTCTTACCTCGGTCTCACCCCTTGTTTTCTTCGCTTTTTCAGCATACGAGCCAGGCGTTGCGGGGCAGGCATGGTCTGGACAGCGCAGTTGATTTGAATCGGACGGCTCCGGCGTTTACAGACGAGATACCATAGAGACATTGGCCCAGCTGTGGGTTCAGAATGTGAGTTCTCTTAGAGACTACGCAACATGTTTTTGGGATACTTTGATCAGCGGCTAGAGATATCAATGCATCCTATACTGGCATCCGCTTCCGTCTCTCCATGCTTCATACGTTCTGTTGTCGGCTGAACCGGGCACTTTTACCCCTCTCGTTTCGTAAATCAAGTCCTTCCTCGCGTGTTTTGGGTCGCTTGTCTGGTTCAGAAAACGCTTGTTCGGCCTTCTCGGATATTGCTTGAACTGACCTAGAAGACCACCCTTGGAAGGCCAACGCGGCAGTTGTGCCGGCGCCTGAGTCCCAACTCCTATTGTGTCACCAAGCATGTTTCATGGCCTTTCCTCTCCCTATTTTCTTTTCCCTTTTCTATTTTGAGCCACTATCCCTGTTTTCCGAGTCTGTTCCTCCCTTGCAAAGAAAGAAGTGGCAGAGTGGCAGCTACATTGGTCTTCATTGTGTCTCCCACTTGTATCCTGAGCCTTGGTCGGAATTCGGCACAGCCCGCTCAACAATGCGGAGGACAAAACTGCACAAAAAAGTACGTACACGGTACATATACTTCCTCAGACTCTCCATAATGGCTGCTGTTCCCAATTCAGAAGAGTGTTCGACTTTACAAAGATCCTGGACAAGCCTATTGTTCTCGAAATACACACGATGCCTAGGCACAAGTTCTTTGTCATCTTCTTTGGGATTGTCACGAACATTATGGATGGGCAAAATTAGCATTCTGCTGGTCACTGTATTTGCTTCAGATATTGCTCCGTCGTCTCCTTTCAGGATACTGTTCCTCCATGCCGCCTCTGTTCATAGGGGTCGAAGATAATGGGATCTTAACCGCTGTTGGTATATATAAGACGGATTCACGCCAATTCTTCCTTTCGTCCCAGCACGCCGCCTTGCAAGCAACGTTCGATCGGGTATATGGAGCCACAGTAGAATTTCACTTCCCACTTCTCAGAGAACTGAAGACTTTCGCGGACTCCAGGGGCTCATCTCGACTCACACGGAGCTAGCCATTGTTGCCTCGAGGCAATGTCGCGTAACGGTGAGAGCCCCCAAAACTGGGGCACCAAGCTATTCATAGCCTTCCGAGCACTGATCAATGTGGCAACCATGGCTGGTATCACGATTGCTCTTGATCAATGCTTTACTCGCCTTGCTGGCAACGACCCCAGCCTCTACTGGTTCCTCGCTCTGTTCACTTGGCGCTATCTCCGGTTTATTATCAACCTGGTTGCGTTCTGGTGTTACTCCCCCTCTCCCATTCTCGGCAGACCTCTTTACACTCCCTCCAAAGATGTCACGGCTGTCATACCCACTGTTGCCCCCGACAGCGCCGACTTCTACGAGACACTCCGGACATGTGCCGATAACGGGCCGGCAAATATCCTCATCGTTGCCCCGGGCAAGGTACTCTTCGCCAAGGCACGCTCCATCGTTGCCGAGTTGACAGCTCAATACCCTTCGGTGCAGTTCAGGGTCCTCAAGTCGGAGATTGTCAGCAAACGGGGCCAGGTGGCCGTCGCCATCCCGCATATCGAAACCGACATCGTGGTTCTGCTCGACGACCATGTCTTTTGGGGACCACGCTTTCTCGAATCACTGCTGTGTCCCTTCGCCGACACTGCAGTCGGCCTGGTTGGCACCAACAAGCGAGTCATTCGCCTCGACGGCCTCAATCTCTGGGGCAGGATCTGGAACATGCTCGGGGCGACCTACCTCTGCCGGCACAACTTTGAGATTCGTGCCACTAACACGGTCGATGGCGGTGTCTTTGTCATTTCCGGCAGGGCCTGCGCCATTCGCACCGAGATCTTGCAGCACCCCCACTTTCTCCGCGGCTACACCAACGAGATGTTCTTCTTCGGCAAGTTCGGACCCCTGAACCCCGACGACGACAACTACATCACTCGTTTCGTTGTGCGCCAAGGGTGGAAGATCAAGATCCAGTACACTGATGACTCGGTTTTGGAAACCAAAGTCGGCGTCGAGAAGCCGCTCGCCACCAAGTTCCTCGGCCAGTGCCAGCGTTGGGTGCGGACGACTTGGAGGTCGAACCTCTGCAGTCTCATCACGGACCGGACAGTGTGGACAACGCAGCCGTATTGCGTCTACTCTGTATATCTGACCTCGCTTACCAACTTTGCAGCCGTCACCGATCCCCTGCTCGTCTACCTCTTCACCCACAGCTCCGCCTACACCTCGGGTCTCCGACTGGCCTGCCTGGTATGTTGGATCTTGTTTACCAAGACTGTCAAGGTGTTTGACTACTTCCGTCGTCACCCCCAAGACATTGTCCTCTTCCCAGTCTATCTTGCATTTGGCTATTTTCACAGCTTGATCAAGTTCTGGGCCCTGCTAACCTTCTGGGACTGCTCATGGAGCGGACGGAAGTTGGACCAGATCGATGTCAACAACAGTGGCGACGCCGGCTCGAGCAAGAACGGAACGGGTGAAGACGACTATACCGGTCCCGAACATCTCCACGTCCTCGCCCTCCGCGCCATCCGAATCCGCATCGAACAGCTGCAAAAGTTTCACACTAACCACATCAAGCGCTATCAGGAGCCCATCCTGGCGGAGCTGAACTACATCAAGGCGGCGCTCAAGGCGCTCCACCGCGAACACCAGGCCATCTGCGACAACCTGGTGATCATCCAAGAACGTCTTGGCGAGGTCGCCATCCAGGCGGATGGAGCCGGCAAGGCCGAGGGGCTCGCCGCCGAGGCCCAGGCCACCATCACCAAGACCATTGAGGACCTCACGGCGGCCATTGCCGGGGTGGAAGAGAGGTGGTATCAGGCTCTGTCGGAGAATGCTGAGACTGCTCAAGAGTATGCGTCTTCTGCCAAGTCTGAGAAGCTTGAGAACGTTGAGACGGCTGTCAACTCGGAAAAGGACGAGAACGGTTCTTCGGAAGACGATTGTTGCTTCTAGTAATCGCTCGTTATCTTCAGTGCGGCGCGTCGAGGTGGGAGGGGGTTTCGGGGGAGGGGGGAAGGTTGCGGGCATGCTGAGCAAAGACTGCTTTTACTTACTAGAGTTGGGCAAACTTAGGATTTCGGTCGCTAAGTAAGGTAGGTATGTGTTTTGTGTTATACAGTATCCGTACATTAAACAAATCATCAACCGTCAACTTAAGAGTCTCGAGCCCTTATCTTGAAGTGAGTGTGTGTGCAGTTACTTGTGATATGTCGTTCATTGCCAGCTGTGAAGTCCTTGAGCAACGCCTGTCACGAACATATGAGAGAGATACTGTCAGTGCTAATCAACAACGAGGACTAGGGGGGGCCTCTGACGCTTACGGCACAAGCAGCTCAATTTAGCACACTAGTGCTTCGTTTTCTTCACGATTAATAGCCACATGCACAGGCTGCTCGATCCGAAGGAATCGAGCTAGAATAGATAGTTACGCGCGAGCATCGGGCAATATGCTTGGGGTTTTGAAATCAGCCGAGGAGTCGGATTCGAGTCTTTGTGTCTGGCAAGTAATCAAACCAGTTCTTCATTGTAACAGTCAAACAAAGAACATCCACCGGTTTGGAAACAACGTAACGATCCCTTGTCTAATTGTGAACAGTGTTTGTGTCCCAGGGCAGCTCAGCCTGCCACCCGTTCTGCATGTAGACCAAGTCCCCTATTCTGACCCGTTTTGTTCCGTTTCAATGAATCATGTAATTGGAATCAACAAGACTCGAAAGCCTCGGAAGGTCGTCAATCATACAATAAACATCCCTGCCAGACTCCTTTTAACCCCGTCACGGGCAAGAACCGGTCTCATTATTACCAATACTGTGTCGTGTCATCGTAAAATGGCAAAGAACCCTCATCATCCAACGCCCGTAGACTCTCCGTTCCTGGGCTACCTCGTAGTCGCGCGTGAACATTGACTATGCCGTGTTCGGGTCCTGCATCATACGGCCGGACGATCCATATTGACCGTCGTTTCCCTTCATCGTCGGGGCGGCGCATCGGCTGAGGGATGGCTGGTGACAGTCGGGTTCATGTTAGTAAATGTCTCTGTTCGTGTGATGAGCTTAAGGAATGAGTGCGTACCTTGTAGTTGAGATGCTGGCCGAGTACCTATCCTTGATGACGGTCGTGTCTCTGCTCGAGCGACGCTTTCCCGCCCAGCAGACTCATGCTCTGGGATGGGTTGCGGTTCCTCAAACATGGACAGGTATGACGCTGGGTTCTCCGACCACTTGTCCGTCGCTCGACGCTGAAACTGCTTGGTTTCCGGACAACTGACCGGGACGAGCCGCGGAGGCGGCGGCGGTGCAAGCCCCGGATTGGCATCTCCCAGCACGAACTGCCCATCCCCATCCTCGTTCTTGACAGCAACTGGAGCTTCAACCCGGCTGAGCGAGGCCTGAACCGGGTTGTCCAAGCCCACCACATCAGCCCAAACAAACTCCTCCGCCTTGTTCCACATAGCAGCAGCATTATCAATAATCCTCTGCTCCAACCCTGTCTCCATCCGAATCCCCAGCATAGACCCCAGAAAAATTAAATGATGAGCCAGCATCTGGCACAGGTGCTCCTTCATGGCGAGCCACAGTGTCGGGCTGCGCTGAAACTCCGGGCTCAGCATCATCTCGGCCGCCGACGCCGATAACGGGAACGTGGGCGACTGGTGGTAGTGGTGTCTGTCCTCGAGAAAAGCTGGCGAGGCCGAGCAGCCCACGCCCAGCACGGCGCCTAGGACAAGCAGGAACAGCACCTGGCAGGACTGGCGGCCGCAGCCGGCGAGGAATTGCGGCGTGAGGACGCGGTCGAGGTGTTTGAGCAGGCGGTAGCCCGATGTCTGCCCCGCTGCGCAGAGGTCACGGGTCGGGAGGGTTTTGGAGCTGTTGTTGCTGTTGTTGCTGTTGTCGCGCCAACCGGCGTGGACGAGGGATGTGGCGAGGAGAAAGCGGCGGAAGCCGGACATCAGGCCGGCCCCTTCTGTACTGCTGCTGTTGCCGGTGGTGCTTTCTTCTTCTTCCTGGAACTGGAGACCCAGTAAGCTGGAGCAGCACAGCCCGACGATGCTTCCGTTGGGGAGCTGGAAGTCGGGGTCGGTCAGCCACGAGAGCATGGTTTTGTTGAAGGCGGCGGGGTTGGATGTGAGGGAAAAGTTGGCGGGCGTGGCAATGCGGGAGAGCAGGTCGCCCATGGCCCGCATAAGGGGTTCAATCTGCATGGTCGCGGTGGCGGCGGCTTCTCGGGAAGAAGACTCGAAGATGTTGACGTCGGCGAAGCGGGTGCGCACGCAGTAGCCGAAGGAGAGAACCTTTCTCTCGAAGCCCCTGACGGCGGACTGTAGACAGGGCTGGCAGGGGTTGTCGAGCGAGCACTAAGCCTGTGAGAAGGGAGGTACTGTGTTTGGAAGGTCAAGTAAGGCCAACCTGGATCTTGAGTATCCTGCACCTCAGACATGCACCTTGTCGTCTGACGCCCAGCACTTTCCCCCGTCCCTGGCTGGTGAAGTTGGATCCCGATCGTCGGGGCCGCTCGGGTCCAAATGTGCGGAAGTAGTGGATGGACTGCGCTAGTGAAGGGACGGCGGCACGGGAAGGAGCCAGGCCGGGTCCATCTTGAGCAAGACGGGCCATCGAGATATGTGTTTTATGTTCAGCAGTACCTTACCCGACCCGACGGTCTGGATGCGTCGATCAGCTCTGATTAGGTTGTGTTAGTGGCCCAGCTAAGGTCGGTAGTGGCAAGTATCAGGGCTCGATCAGTCCATCTCAGGACCAGCTGCCGAAGGGGAGCTGAGCATTCGAGATACAACGACATCTTGGCCACGTCTCCTTTGTATGTCGCCACTAGTGGTGAGTCTAGGAGCTCCATACACGGCCAGGCGGGCTGATGGTTACGCAGTCCTGCCTGCCGCTCTGAAGATGCCTGCCAATCTGACACTCCAAACGGCCGACGAATGCGCGACACGCACGAAACAAGCCATCACTGAAGTTTTCCAAAACCGGTTAGGCGGTGCTTGGCAGGATGGAGCCAGCCGCCGCCACATGCGGCACCCGGGAAGGATGGAATCGCGAAAACGCTGAAAGAAAATGCAGATGTTGAAAACTTGCGGTGTGCCAGAGCCCCAATGACCTCGATGCGCATAAATTAAACCAGATCGTAACAGCATAGATGACGGGGCATCTTCACCGAAAAGCACGGGTTGTGCATGACTCTTTCCTGTTTTCGATATTGAATTTTTGCAACCTTCCATCGCCCGAGCCAATGGGGCGTTGGAGTTTGGATTTGGCGAGCTGAAAATCAAAGTTTATCGAAGCAGAGCCGCCTCCACCCGGCACCTTGGCCAGCTGAAAAAGAGCCACCAAACCGAGTTCTGGGAACCACAACCGAGCTGTTTCCGCTGGCCAAGATTGCGGTCGTGCGTTGCCTTATCTCTGCAACGTCACCCACCAAATGCTATCCATGATCGAGTTCAGACGGAGATGCGAGTATAAAACCATGCATCCAAGAATTGGATGCGCCCCTTGATGGTCCAAGTCCGCCATCCCAGTGGCTGCTGCGCCTGCATGCGAGACGCGGTCATAGCGAAAATTTCGTTTTTCTGATTGATTGCGTCCGTTCTTCAACGTGACCGTTCAGGTAGTGGGACAGTGGTCATGTTACCGCTGCTCCGCGGACAGGTTCAGATTGTATCGACTTTTCGGACACATCACAACTGAAAGTCCAAGACGACGATTTTCCGCCGTTTTGAAGCGCCCTCCTCCTCAGACAGGGCCAACACCGACAGCATATTGTCGTGCTCGAGCCTCGAAGCGTCGACCAGCGGCTCGCCAGTGAGGTTGCGGCCCGTCCAGACCTCGTTGTAGCTGGTATATTTCGTCGCCTTGGAAGCCCTTACGATTCGCATTGTCGACGCTGCAAAGTCCGGAAGCACAATGAACAAGTCCCCGGTTTTGCTCACCGCCAGCCGTCCACGAGCTCGACCGGTGATGGGTCGGATCGGGCGTTGCGTCCAGATGCCTGGTTTCAATTTTCCCTCAGCTTTTGGTCCCCTCGAAGGATTTTTTCTTTAAAATAACGGTCTAAAAGCAGACTCACCGTCCGGCGACCGGTAGTAGTGCTTCCACAACGGCCCGTCGTCTCCGCCGTCTGTCGTGTCTCGATTCAAGACGTGGACGCCGCCATCCTGGTCCACGGCTTGGGCCTCTTGGTTGGAAAGGCCAGAGTTCTTGGGGATATTAAGCGCGACGATCCCCTCGGTGTCATTGGCCACCGTCTCGCCCTTCTTCAGATCAGCAACAACCTTTCCCGCGCCGTTCCTCCACGTGTAGCCCCTGTCGTCGCTGTAGGCGTAGCAGATGTCGTGGTTGTTCTCGGGCCCGTTGGGCCCGGCCTGCTGCTTGTGCTTGGTATCGAGCGGGTCGTCCCATCCGTCGTAGTGCACGAAGGCGCGGTAGACCCAGGTGACGTGGAGGCGGCCGTTGCGGTAGTCCATGCCGTGCACGTACGGGTTGCTCCGGATGCCCGTCAGGTGGTCGCCCACAAACGCGAAGTGCCCCGTGGCGCCGCTGTACACATACAGATAGTCGTTGCCCAGCCCGGCCTTACCGTCCCGGAACGAGCAAAACATGTCTTCGCCCAGGAAGCCGAAGCGAGGGTACGTCACGTATCCGAAATGGCGGTGCGCGGATGGCAGGCCGGGGAGGTAATCCAGGGTCGGGGTGAAGAGTGACGACGTCCATGCAAAGGCGGTCGGGTTTGTGGCCAGTCCGCGGACTGAATAGCGGTATCTGACTCTAGACAGCGATCAGTTTCCCGTCTCATCGCTGACACGTGCCGTCTAGTTGCCACTTACACATCGCAATGGTGGTCGTAGGAAAGGTGGATGGTGCCATCGCCCGGGCAGATGCCCATCTGGACAGTATTGTGCCCATCGTCGGTCGTCTGCGGGTAGTCCTCAAGCACCATCACCTCCCATTCGCCATGCGGCAGCTGTCTTCTCGCGACATGCACATACAGAGGTTCCTCAGCGGCAACTGATGATGGCTCTGATTGGAGGAAAGAGTAAAAGCAGCAATACTGCCAGCCGTTGAACGTGACAATGGCATCCTGCTGGAAAGAATTGCAGTTGATGTTGGATTTGCGGCTTGAAGGGTCTTGGCCCAGGACCGTGACATGCGGCTCTTTCAGCATCTCGGCGCCAAGTTCTAATCGAGATCTGCTGCTGCGAAAATGCTCATGTTGTTGCTCCCGGGAATTGGGACAGACACCCGCGTGGCTTGCCCAGCGCGGGACGTCAACCCCCCTTCTCGGATACTTTTTGAAGCATTACACACAGTATATGGTCACCGTCCGTCAGATGGTGTTCGATGCCTCACTCGGTCACATAGTCCCGATTCCCGAGACGTATCCTGCTCATGAATGGTGTTGCCTTCAATCAACTGGCCGAGCGCGCAGAAACCCCTGATTCGTGGAGAAATGGTGTTCTGATTCTTCCAGAACAGGGATCAGCGCCCCCCGTGCCTTGGCTCGGGCCCCGGCAGTGTGGGAGGGCTGGGCAGGCGCCTGGGCGACAAGAAGGGGGAGCGGTACGGATGTGCGGTGTACACTTGGCTGCAGCGGCCAAGACCATCAGTGAGGCTTGGAGGGAACGACCAAGAGTCAGTGATATCAAGAATGAAGAGAACGCATTTATGCTGTCTTTGACCTTGGAAGACGGGCAATATTCACATGACAGTCTGAAGAAGGCAGGCCATGCCAGTCTGGATTCTGGCAGCAAGTGAGAGCAAAGTGCGGAGGAGTCTGGGGAAAAAGATGGGCATCCTTGTCACAATCCTCCATTTTTCTCCTCCCCCAGACCCCATCCCCCGCCTTTTGCCCCATCAAACCCCAAACCTTTTTCTACCCTGTTGTCCGTCTCCTACCCCACATGATGCGAATAGGCTAAGTCGGACCCGGTCAGTCTCTCGGACAGGCCGTCGCATCAATGGTGGTTGATACGGACTTGCCGTACGGACAATCTGAGCTACACACCTAACCCACTTGATTCGTGGCCCCGGGTTGTTCTCTTGAGATGATTCCGGCCAGACGTTGGCGGTTTTCATCTCCTGAGCAGAGGTTCATGGTATCTCCCTTCCCTCCATTCGGATCTGCCGGTAGATGATCAGATGATTCTTGTTGGCCCGGTCGGCGAGCTGATGGCACTCGGGTATTGCACACTTTCATCAGACCAATGGATCGGGTCTGACCTCAACACTTCACGATACGCCGTCTTGGCATCAAAGACGAGACACCCGTTAACCAGCTGCAGGCTTGCTCCTCTTGGTGGAAAAAAGTGAAAAAACGGGTCCCTGGATCGTTGCCCTGGAAGCCATCCGTTTTAGCGCGGCCATATCCACCGGAGAAGCGCCACTTTCAACCCAGAAGCCGGCCCATTGAACGCTAACGTCAACGTTAGCGCATGCACTGCAACCAGGCTCGTTTGAGAAAGAGACCACCAGGGCTTCTCCGCACCGGAGGGTGCCATCGCCTATGGAGTCCGGCCGGGATCGAGTCCGAGACCCCCCAATCAGGGGCCAGCACGCAGAACCGGGGAGCCTCGATCCCGTTCACCCGTGCAAGTGTGAGCGTCTCTCATGGGCTGCAGATAACATGCCGCTGTGCGACTACAAAAAGGCCTGGGTTGCTGCCGCCCATTGTCTCAGTGCTTTGCTCCTCCGGGTCTCGTTTCATCTGGGGTCCGTCTCTTTACAGATACAAAACCTCACCTCGAAGCCCTCCGTTTTGGGCATCGCGAACCCCGGACAACACTTCACTTCTAGGAAGACAACAGCCATAAGTTGCCCAACATGGGGTTCGCCGCGAGGATGTTGCGCAAGATCGTCAAGAACGAGGCCATGGCCACGGATCCCGAAGAGATCTACAACTGGCGTGTGTTGCTGCTCGCCTTCTCGGTAAGCATCACATCGTTGCATATATCGAGATGCAACTGCTGACCCTTGACCGTTGCTGCTCAGGCCTGCTTCGGTGCCATGTCCTTTGGCTGGGACTCGTCCGTCATCGGCGGTGTCATTGTGCTCGACCCCTTCGTCCACGATTTCGGTCTCGGCGATAAGAAGTCCGTCGCCACGGCCAACCTCGCCGCCAACATCGTTTCGACCCTCCAAGCCGGCTGCTTCCTCGGTGCCCTGATTGCCTCCCCCCTGACCGACCGGTTCGGCCGCAAGTGGTGCCTCATCGGCATCTCGATTGTCGTCATCATCGGCATCATCATGCAGTCGGCCGCCCTCGGCAACCTGGGTCTCATGTATGCCGGGCGCTTCATCTCGGGCGTTGGCGTCGGCGCCGCCTCGACCGTCAACCCCATCTACGTGTCCGAGAACTCGCCGCGCGGCATCCGCGGCCTCCTCACGGGCCTGTACCAGCTCTTCATCGTCACGGGCGGCATGCTGGCGTTTTGGATCAACTACTCGGTCAGCATCAACTTCCCCACGACCAGGATCATGTACATCTTCCCGCTGGCCATCCAGGCGCTCCCGGCCCTGTGCCTGTGCTGCTGCATGCTGCTGTGCCACGAGTCCCCCCGCTGGCTGGCCCGCCAGGACCGCTGGGAGGACTGCAAGCGCGTGCTGGCCAAGATCCGCCACCTGACGCCCGACCACACCTACGTGCAGGACGAGTTCCAGGAGATCCAGGATGCCCTCGAGAAGGAGCGCCGCGAGATTGGCGACGCCACCTTCTGGAACCTGCAGCGCGAGATGTGGACCATCCCCGGCAACCGCAAGCGCGTGCTCATCTCCATCACCCTCATGATTTGCCAGCAGATGACGGGCACCAACGCCATCAACACGTACGCGCCCACCATCTTCCAGAACTTGGGCCTGACCGGCACCTCGACCTCGCTCTTCAGCACGGGCATCTACGGCATCGTCAAGGTCTGCAGCTGCATCGTCTTCCTGCTCTTTATGGCCGACTCGCTCGGCCGCCGCCGCAGTCTGCTGTGGACCTCGATTGCTCAGGGTCTCGCCATGTTCTACATTGGTCTTTACGTGCGCATCGCCCCACCCAAGCCGGGCCAGGACGTGCCACCCGCCGGCTACTTTGCCCTCGTCTCCATCTTCCTGTTTGCTGCGTAAGTTCTTCCTGGACTCTCCCTTGCTTGCTCTTCATTCCCACTGACACTTCCTCCCCCAGCTTCTTCCAATTCGGCTGGGGCCCGGCCTGCTGGATCTACGCCAGCGAGATCCCCGCCGCCCGCCTGCGCTCCCTCAACGTCTCGTACGCCGCCGCCACCCAGTGGCTCTTCAACTTTGTCGTGGCGCGCGCCGTGCCCACCATGCTCGTCACCGTCGGCAGCGACGGCTACGGAACCTACCTCATCTTCGGCAGCTTCTGCTTCGCCATGTTCGTCTTTGTCTGGTTCTTCGTGCCCGAGACAAAGGGCATCTCGCTCGAGCACATGGATAAGCTGTTTGGTGCCACCGACGTGTCCGAGAAGACGCTCGCCGCCGAGGAGGAGGCCAGGGAGAAGGAGCAGGTGGCGCCGCGCGCCCGCGAGACCGAGGTTGCTTAGAGGAGGGGATTGTTTTATGATCATGATAGACGGGAACTTGATGATGAGTATAACTTGCTAGTTGAGCTAGAAATGCTGCATATATGTAGATGAGAGGTTCAGGGTTGAAATCAGAATCCTAGCCAATTGGACATCTATCTACATTTGCTTATTATTTTGATTGTGTTGCATTCTTTTTTTTACCCCCAGGGTTACGTCTGAAGACGATGATCCTTCAGTGGACGTGATCTAGTTTGCATTATTTCTGAACACCTAATTGAACAAAGTGAAGACAGTCATGTATTTGGCATTCGCGTTCGAGGTGCGCCGACGTGCTCTCTGGGAAGCCTCCTTCGCCCCCAACTACCACCTGCACGGGTCTTGCAAACAGATTCTCAGATCTTTTGACTAGGTACTTTAGACAGCAAGTAGTCGGCGTTGGTATTAATCATTTCTGCTAATTGGTTGTGCTACGCTCTCCTCTCTTGCCTGTTTTTCTCTTCATTTTGCCCTCGAGTCTTCTTGCCGCCTTCACCGATGAGCGAATCTGGTGTGCTTTATGCCTAACGGGCCGTCCATAGCGCTCTACTTCCGTCTTTGACGTTGGAAGTTTGACCTCTACAATTCATCTTTTTTTATAAGGTAGGCTGTATTCCCAAATCGAGCGATTGAACCCTGCAGTTCCCTCATTGCGGCGAACCTGAAGAGAAGCTCTATCTAAGGGTCCCAGCGTGTCTGAACTCGATACAACACATACCGCTGCAGCCTGAAATCTTTCCACTGTGCCATGCGGAGCCGTCGGTTGAGATATTCCTCGGTGAACGGCTTATTGGTGCTGTACAGCTGTTGTTGTTGTTGTCCTCCAGCCGTCGAGAAAATCCAGCATGCGGTTTAAAGCCAAATGCGGGACGTTAATGTCCCTCTTCCGATTTCAATTGTACCCTCCTCGCTGCTATTCTCCTCGAATATTTCGGTTGAATAGGGGCCGGGGCAGAGGTGTCGCTTACTTCATGTTAGTAGCCTCATGGTCTCGACACGCCAAAATTATATAACGTTATAACGTTATATGTTTGTCCTTTGGACAAACAGGCAACTCATTCACAACTGTCAGGTACTTCCATGCGCAGTCATCGTAGATCATCTGAGTGCCCACTGCTGTGTTGGATGCGGCTAAAAGTATAACGGCATTTCCAATTGTCACAATTCACAAACTCGGCACAGTGCACAAAACAGTCGGAATCAGAGCCATGAGTATCACTTAAGAGCATCGATCGTTATCTCGTTGGTATCAAAATGTCACCCCTGAACTAAACGGGAAATGCAAATCAGGCTGTGGTGGAATATATCTTCACCTCAACGTATTCACTCCTGTAGGCCAAATCAAAGCCGTCATCACTATCTTAGCACTCGTTGCCAGGGCAGGCAATCATGGTGCCATAGGTACCGCCGTCGACACCGGCGAGCGTGAGGATAGCACCAACGACACCGCCGAGACCCTCGCCAGCAATGAAACCTGTTTTGAAAAGAACAATGTTAGCTTTTCCTTTCCTTTCTCTACGATGTTAGACAGGACAACTAACCGGCGGCGACGGCATAGCCGTAGATATCCCAGGTGCGCATGTTGTACTTCCTCCAGAGTGCGGCAATGATGGCGCCGAGCAGCGCAGCATTGGCGAACACGGGGGCGGGAATGACCCACGACAGCGCGATGGCACCCCAGTTGGGCAGCCACCGGCGGTACTTTTCGCGCTCACCGACCAGATAGAAGTGGCGGATCACAACCTGGATGATGGAGACGACGCCCATGACGATGGCAAAGATGCCGCTCGTGAGCGGGATCGAGACCATGGGATCCGTGACAGCCTGCGCGACGGCAGCCCAGGCCGACACGGAGGGAACAAAAAAGGGGCAGCTCTCCTCCTCCGGAAAATTGGGGTCCCAGATGCACGGGTAGGCCGAGGTGAAGAGCACAAACAGGCCCGGGCCGAGCCAGACCGAGATGAAGCTGCCGAAGGACTGGGCGATCCACTGCTTGATAGGTGAAGTGCCAATCAGGAAACCGGTTCGGAAATCGCTGACCAGGGCTGTGGCCATGTCAGCACCGCCCGAAGCAAGAGCACCGGCGACCAGGTTGATCTTCTGGGCATGCTCGACCGTGTAGCCGCTGTTCTTGGTGGCGCCGCCAAAGACGAGCTGCGAAGCCTTGGCGGCAGCCGTAAGGGGCGTGGTGTCGGTAACGGCGCCAATCTGAATGGCGAGGAACGAGAAGAGGAAAGCAAGCACTATGGCAAGGATGGTCAGGCCCGGGTGCGTGTCCCACTGGAAGTGGAAGACGATCATGCCGATAACCAGGGTAACAAGCAGGCCAAAGGCCCACATCCAAGTCTTGACCTGCTCCTCCGGCGGGAAAGGATCCTCGACCACGTTCTCATCCTTGTAGTTGTTGTTGCCATGCTTGGCGAAGAAAGCGCTAGACTTGCCCCGGGCCACCAGTTTGTCGTTGATGCCCGCACAAGATTGGTTCCAAACCGACTTCATGCCCGACCAGATGGCCTTGTATTGGACAAACAGCTCTGCCATGGAGGAGCACACCATGACCATGACGCCTGGCCAGAGAAGCCAGTACCGAGGGGACGGCGTCCGCTTGCCCAGTTGCGAAAGAGAACTGAAATTGTAGAGGCTGTCCCACTGGGGATCATCGGGGTACCGTTGAAGGCCGATGCATTCGCCGTAGTGCACCAGGGCCGGGCCAATGATGGCCCAGGCAATGACAGAGCCGGCAAACATGGAGATGGCGGGGTTCAGGCCGATCAGGATGCCCGAGCCGATGAATGCCGGCGTCCACTCAAAGTACCAACCCCAAGACTCAATGTTCAAAGCCCAGCTGGTGTAGCCACTCCAAATGTGGATCCAGGTGAAGACGTGCCAGTCGTAGAGGATGCCAATCGCGTAGTAGGACGCGACACGGTGGACGAGAGCGCCCATGAAGCAGATGCCGAGGCACTTGAGCTTCTTGATGGCGTCAACGCTGCCTGCGGCGCCGGCGTGCATGGACCGGATCGTGATGGCGACGGCGGTCGGCGTGGGGAACATGAGCTTCAGCTCACGGGCGACCTGGACGATGAAAAACCTGCGGAGCGGCGTGACGTAAAAGATGCCGATAAAGGATGCGACGAGGGTGATGGTGAAGATGGCACCGATGTCGTCCTTGGGCGAGCGGCCCTCTCCCATGACGCCGAGTCGGTACATGGCGGGGATGGCAGCGACGAAGATACCGCCAGTGCCGCCGGCGCCGGTCGCGGCGGCCTGTACGATGGAGTTCTCCTGGGGACCGAAGATGCCGCCAATGATGGGAAGGTTTCTACCCGACTTCTCGAGCAACTTCAAGACTCCATAGCCAAAGATAGCTCCGAACATGTTGGCGCTGAATGTGAAGCCCGTCTTGAGACCTGCCCTGGTAGGTTAATCCTGGGCGACATCAGTGGGCAGGGGGGGCGCAAACTCACCGAGATACAGGTTGGATGCGCAGACGAGCGAGCCCAGGATGCAGCCGACAACGACAGCTCTGATGGTGAGCGGGTTATCCTCGTGTGGAATTGAAGGATCCATAAGCAGCGGGCGGTAGAGGTCCTCCTCCACCTCCTCGCCAGAGCCGACCTCGCTTCCCAGCTTGTCCACGTCGACATTGTGCGTCTTGAGATCGGCCGTGTTCTCGATGGGCGGCTGGCTCTCCGAGAACGGCCGAACCGCGGCGGCGGCCGCGCTGGCCTCGAGGGCCTGCTTCTCGTCCATGGTCATTGGGAATTTCTGATGTCGGTGTCTCTCAGAAAGCGCAAGACCAGTGAGGAAAGGCTCCCGGTCTGGATTGGCGGGACGCGATTGACGAGGGCGGAATGGAATGGGCAAGAGGAATGAAGAAATCCAGGGAAGCGGAAACGCGGTGGTATGCAGGCAGTCCTTAATAATTAGAAGGTCGAGTCATCGAGTCGAGCGTAACGAGCTGCCATGCGTGGTTACCGTGTGCATATGCACTGATTAACTGGCCGAACCGGAAGCAGAATGTGGTCCTGGCCTACTCATATCCGGTTGCCACTCAGGGCAGGCCTCCCCAGGCCGGGCTGCCATGTGCTTCTCCATCTCTGCCCCGTGATAAAGATGCGTCGAGAGATGAGATGGGAACTCTGGGCGATTGGTGGCGCTGGCTGTTTGGCACGCACACTGTTCAAGGCGCTTGCCGCATTCCGCGCAATTCGCTGTCCACTGATTCGCCGGAACAAGGGCGACAGATCTCGATTAGGCAGGTCGATGGCCACCGTTTAAGTATGAAATTTGGGGCCGGCCATCGGTTCCATCCCGACAAAGCTCGCCACCATGAGATGCATCGAAGCTGCCGATCTGGTAAGAGCTCTGTGGTGTGGGGTTGTTAGCCAGCCTTCCCGGTGGGCTTGGCTCGATAAGCTCGGCGTGCGATTTCGCACGGTATGAACATAGACGGGTTACACAGTAGTTACCGTTCTCGCTGTTTAGAACCAAACCCACATTCTTGATCCCGGACCGATAAAAAAACAAGATCTTTATTGAGTTTAGGACTACTATAATACGTGAGGAGTATCTGATCAAATTTTACGTCTCTGTCATCCTAACCGGAATACTGGTGGAAGGTGACCAAGTTGACAAGGTGTTGCACGTTGCTTTTGGGGCACAGTGTGGTTGACGATGGTGTTCACGGGCTGCTGAGGCGGCAAGGCGAGCTCATTGGCTCGGTCTTTGCAGCTTCTGACGAAGAAGGCAGGTTGTGAACTCTGCGAAGGCGGCGGGATGCAGATGCCACCATGCCGCGAAACAGCAGGCGGCTTGGCTCGCTCCCGAATGTCGTCGCATTTGCCTTGGCATCTCCACCTCAGGGCAAAGCAGCAAGGGTGGTCTTCAGTCATCAACGTCCCCGGTCCACTTGTGAACGGAGAGACTGCTACAACCGGCTTGGGCAAGTGGCATTTTTCTGGAAGCATGTCCACAGTAAGTCGAGCTTGGAAAGGCGCACATGTTGTCCAGGCTGACCCCTCCTGAACAACAACGGAGCATGGCAGCGACCGCGCAAGGGGATCCACTGGCAAGCTACGGGAGGTGCGGCCGACAACCCATTGCGTGGATGAATTGATCATCCGTAGGTGTCTCAGTTTTAAAGAACCAGGAAGCTTAGCGCGGTTCCCATACCTATGTCATTATCGAACGTATGATGGATCAGACTGCCCTTGTTGGGGGCCATTTCGAACAAGCACGCGCTTCGAAATATTCCAGACTGGCGCATGCAGCTCATGCCCGTTAGCTCGAACAGGGTAGTGACGCGTCTAACATCAACTAGGCAGGTGCCTAGACAGCAGCCCTCCTGTCGACCTGGTCGCCATGTAAAGGTTCCCAACCGCTACCATGGCTGATCCATGTTCTGTAAGGTCCCTGGATATCCACCAATTCACCGACCTCGATGATACACGGAAGATCCCGGGCCGGGTCTGGGCTGCCAACGAGGTCCTCCTGGCATGGGTGAGCCGGACAATCCCAATCTCCAAGGGGCCCAACACATCGTACTGTGTAGACACGCGGCACCATGACGGCGTGCGACATGGGCTCCAGCCTCGCGATCTGGAGACAGCCTGACGTTTCTCGGGCCCGTCCCGCAACCCCCAGGACTTGAAAATCCAAGAACTGTGGGGGCTTGGTTACGCAAGATGTCCGCGACTTTTCAAATCCAGACCAAATTCGCAATCGAGAATCAGCCTATGTCTCTTTGGGGCTGCCCTTCCAGCGCAAGACCGTCTAGATACGAACGTATCAGACTGCTCCGCACTATCTATTGGTCCGTTCTTACCGTGAGCGTATGGTGACTTTCCCCGATTCGCATAGGATTCCGGATACTCGTTCATGGTTGGGTCCATTGGCAACGCAGCTCGCGTGCCTCTGTCGATGGTTGGGTCGGCTCGATCGTTGTTGGGGAGCTGCCGTTTCATAACCAACCGCTACCCACCTGCCAATCCCGGTAAGAAAGCAGCCGACACCAATCGGGGGCCGGGAATGCGGCACATCAAAAGGGAGTTTTGTTGGTCGAGAACCTGGGAGTTATGGTCTCAACTCTTCACTCTGAGAGTCCGAGTGTCCCGTCAAGGGTGAAGTCGGCCAGAACCAGATAAGACCGTAAGGCTATCAGGGTGCGTGTCATTGACGAGTTGCCTGTATGTACAGATCGAGACTGTAAATCTCTTCCTCTGCCGTTGGGCCATTGCAGTTGCCGCAAGCGTCGCCAAGATAAGACCGTCGCCAAGCCACAAAAGCTTGTCTCCTGCCGTTCCTGCAAAAGCGCGGCTCGCTAATCCTCCCGAATGACTTCTAGCGTCGACTGGTGAAGGGAAGTGGTACCCTGACCCACCTCCTCGTTGACGCATGCCATCAACTTCTTCAACCGCAGTTGGCAACAGGCTCGAGTCTCATGTGAGCATTTCGAAAAAGCGACCGAGAGGAACTGGCATTCGCAACATCCAATGAACGAACTGGACGTTGATCTCGGACCTGTGCGACACTCAATCCGTCAGCCTCCTCCGAGTCCTCCATCCATACCGAAATGGCGACCATCAAAGCACTGGACATGGAATTCACAGCACACTTAGAGCTTAGGGGGGCAGTAGCTATATGGTAGAACCCGTCATCACCGCGTCACCTAGCCACGCTGCGTGTAGAATGAATCTGAGGCTTGATGCCAAAGAGACACCGCTTACTTAGGACTAGATTTCACGCTCTTGTCTAGGAAGGCAGTTTCGCCATAGATGATAGCAGCCACAACGCAAAGTAGATCGCAACTCAGATTCAACTCAGATATGTTGTCTAGGAATCCAGCGTCAACAGCATGTCCGGTCATCCAAAGTTTCACTAGAGCGTATAACGTACATTACAAGCGAACGGCGCATAGAGGTGAGTGGCGCACTGATAAGGGCTAGTATGGAAATCTGGACACAACAATAACAGCTTATTCCCAGATTAATCCCGCTGTTAGTGTTGTGCCCAGATTTCCATACTGGCCCTTATCAGTGCGCCACTCGCCTATATGCGCCGCTCGCTCATAATGTACGTTATAATTAGTAGTTAGTTAATCATAAGGCCTAAGGAGGATTTGAAGTAGAAAATACTTTTCTATTTTCAGAATGACTTTGTCATTTTATGTAACGGTCCCAGGAGTATATTGCAACTAGCTGGTGACGACTCTACGAGTTTGCCTCGAATGGAGAGAGAAGAAGAAAAGAGAGAACTAGATGACAGGAAGAGAGGGCAGCTCTTATATGCTCCGGAACACACAGACACTGCCTGCTTCAGGATGACGTTATCATGATACCACGGCCGAGGGTTGCCGAGGCCATCATGGGCTCAGCCCATCACATTTTAAATGCGTTCAAAATAGAAACTGTCCGAGGGCTTTAGGACCATTTTATGTTTATAGGCGATAATAATCGCTCAAAACAACAACTGCAGCGTATTGTTTTGACGATCTGTTAATTTGCCATTGCAAGATTTCAACAGCACCCATTCTGACCGAGGCTGGTGGCCCGCTATGGTAACTTTGAATTTCATACGTTCGAGGTATCTCGAACTTCAGATGGTACCAGGTTGAGTGACTAATCAACAGAGGAGCCCCGGTGCTGAAGCACTCCGGCGAGTGAGGAAGGACAGGCAAGTTAAGCTAAATTCACTGGTCCCAAGAGGTATATACTAAATCAAAGCAAATGGCTGGACCACAATTAGCCTAGAAAATTCGCATCGATGTTCCATTAACGCCTGATTTCGCAAAGGAACGCTGAGCCACCTAAGCAGTTAGATGTCCGAACCCTTCTCGGCTTCTATCCATTGAGGCCTGGCTGATTCTGTTTTCAACAAGAGGCAATGACTCGTCAACGCAAACCTTCCAATATTTTATGCCGATGTAACAGAATGCCCTTTCCATCCAAACGGCTGCTGGGTTGTTCGCCAGCTCCTTCCCGCGCGGCATTCTTTGATCCTGTTGTTGGGCTCTGCAGAGACCAGCCTGAAATATCTTCAATCACTGCTGTGCTCCCTTTCCCCGTTTCAACCACTTAGCTTTTTGTTCAAAGCCTGGCTTGGGTCCTGAAGCGGACTAGAAGCCGATATACACCCCTGATTGCCCAAGAGCATCGCTGCCGGACGTCATGCAATCCAATCTGGTCCTGATAGCGGCCGTATTGGCGCTTGCCAATGGTCTCCCTTGGACTTCTCGCCCTTCTAATGACATCTCCAAAGTCGATGGCCCGGGTACTGTCTCACTGAAGCAAGTGCGAAACACGAACTTCGTCCGCAGCGGCCCGCTTCAACTGGCCAAGATCTACCACAAGTACAAGGCGCCTCTCCCGAATGATCTCAAAGCAGCAGTGAAGCGAGTTCGAAACAATCTGAGTAAAAGACCGACTGGCAGCGCTGAGACGAAACCTGAGGAGAACGACGTCGAGTACTTGACTCCAGTGTCGATCGGTACTCCCCCGCAAGTCCTAAACCTGGATTTCGACACAGGGTCCAGCGACTTCTGGGTGTTCAGCTCCGAGACTTCCAAGAGCGACGTCAATGGCCAGACCGTCTACGACCCCGACAAGAGTTCCACGGCGAAGGAGATGGAGGGCTACTCGTGGCAGATCTCATATGGCGATGGCAGCTACTCCAGCGGCGATGTCTACACTGACACGGTCACTGTCGGCGGTCTGACCGTCCCGTCTCAAGCGGTTGAGGTTGCAAGAAGGGTTTCGGACGCGTTCACCGCAGACACCAACAATGACGGCTTGCTGGGTTTGGCCTCCAGCGCCATCAACACTGTCGACCCTGTTGCACAAAAAACCTTTTTCGACAATGTCAAGTCCGATCTTGATGCTCCCGTCTTCACGGCTGACCTCAAGGCTGGTACCCGTAAGTGTCATCTTTATCGATCCCTTCATTCCGTTCTTTGATGCGTTTGGACTGACATGATGATTCCGACAGCCGGTTACTACAACTTCGGTTTCATCGACCCGAACGCTTACACTGGCAATATCACGTACACGCCAGTCGATGACAGCCAGGGCTTTTGGGCTTGGACACCGTCAGGCTACGCCATCGGCTCGGGGCAGTTCAAGAACACGTCGTCGCTGAGCATTGCGGACACGGGTGCGTCCCTGCTGCTTTTGCCCAGCTCCGTGGCGAAGGCCTACTACGCCCGGGTAGCGGGCGGCCACTACGACTCGACAGCGGGCGGATACACGCTTCCGTGCAACGGATCAGCCCCCGACTTTTCCTTTGGCGTTGCCGACGCGGGAGCCAGAATCACGGTGCCTGGCAAGTACATCGCGTACGCCCCGACAACTTCGAGTGGGACTATTTGCTTTGGGGGGATTCAATCGGACGAAGGCATCGGGTTTTCCATCTATGGAGACGTTGCGCTCAAGGCTGCCTTTGTCGTGTTTGACGCGGGCAATCAGCAGCTGGGCTGGGCGGCCAAACCTCTCAACACTTGAAGAGGCCTGAGCGGGACGAAAGCGACGACACGGGCTTCGGTCTTGGTGGGCAATAAGCCTCGTGGCGGCCTTGAACGAGCTCGCAGGTTCCTTGACCTTGGTCGCTTTATTGCTCGTTCATCCACCCACATCCGTTACCCAAGTTCGGGTCGGCCGGAAAGCCCGTCATTTTCAATTGCCAGGAGTCGGAGTTCGTGCTGACCCGCTTATGCTTTGCATCTCTATCAGACTTTAAACCATTCTTTACTGTGATTTGCGCGATGTGGAGGGCATGGACTGCAATGAAGGGATCCGTGGCTGCTTGGGGGTTTGGAAGCATCAACTTCTCGTCGATATCAGACATTTTCACCAGCCTAGCAATGTGACAATTCCGGACCGAGTAGCTGGTTATCCAAATGGTCGATTGATTGCTTATGATTGATTCAACATGACAGTACGGCCCAAGTGATCCTGTTGATCAAGTCTTTGTGAAGGCGTGTGTGGATCAATGCCCAATTGGGCAAAAATAAGGTCGTGCCCGGGTTCGAACCGGGGTTGTTGGAAAGACTGATTGCCCATCAAAATCCAAAGTGCTAACCGCTACACTACACAACCTTCTTAATAAATTTGCCTCAAATATGGCTTTTGAAAAGCTTATATAACTAGCATGAAGCGCCAAGAAATGACGAAAGTGGCTTCTTAACTCTCGCTCAACTGCGTCAATCATCAGAACCAGACCGAACCAGGTGCAGGTACATTTTCAGAATCTAAGCAAAGTATTATACAACATGCTGTGTGAATCATTCACGCGTGTTTGGTTCTGATGCTGACATGCAGCACACCGGCATCCTTCAGCGCATCGTCGAGTCCGAATGTGCCCCTTGCGTCGACAAGAATGAGCTCCCGTGGCCATGAAAGCGGAATTCGCTGGATGGCCGATTAGTCCAGGCTTCGATGAGTCCAACACTAATCTGGCGGCCTCCAGGTGATTCCATGTCTCGCACACCGGGACAACTGTATGTAGACTCCAACTGTCTCCTTACAGAGACGGCACCGGTTGTCACTTCGCGTCCCAGGTCAACCAAGCTCGTCAGCAAAGGCCTGTATCCAGGGTATCTCCATTCCCAAACGCCGTCTATCCCAATTGAGCCCTGCGTATTGTATGCCCGTGATGTTGGCGCTTGATCCCAAACCCCTTCCCAGCTAAACCATCACAAAGCCTCCTGATCATCCAAAATTGGAAGTTCTACCGGGAACTCGGCGTCCGTCTCGTTTGCGTCGGGATCCAAGAACGCGAAGGCCACAGAGCACATCTCTGTCAACCCCTTGGCGCCGAGAGTGTCGTTCGGCCCGGCCTTGATAACATTCCACCCTCGAGACAAGTCGCTGGCAGTCTTTGGGAGTGCATAGACTAGCTTGAAGTCGCTGCCACTTGTCGGCAACGTGGTCGCTTCGGGCTCTCCGATCGAGGCGGTTAGCCCTTTCGGGTAACGGTCGCGGAGGACCGAGAGAAGCTCGTCGGTCAGGCGTGAGAAGGTCCAGTCGAGCATGGCAAACATGAAGATGATGTGGATGCCATATTTGAATCGAATGGTGATCTGGGGATCATCTACTAAAGTCGCGTTGCGGGGCTATGACGGCGTCAGCGGGAGTCGGGCAAGTCGCTCAACAGCTCGCCAGACAGGGTGATGCCTAATGTGACATAGCTGGGGTTATGTAGTAAAAGAGTCATACCATCTTGGTCTTGCAGTCGTGCTCGAAGCCGACAGATGGAACGATTGACGCTGGAGGTGGGATTTCAGTGATGATTGCTTCCGAAGAAACGACGCGGCAGGCAGGCCGCGCTACACTTAGATTTGCTAGCGGAGGCTGCGGCGTAGGGTTACCGAAAACGTATTTTGCCCCTGTCATGGGCAATGCCCGTGCCCGGGTTAGGGTTGCATTCCATGTAGATAAGATAAGGCAAGCCCACTGGAGTGGGTCTTGCGTTGCCACCCTCTTGGTCAGTGCGCAGCCCCACCTTGCCCTGCAGGGCTTTTCCACGGCTGCACACTGCCCATTGAGTCTGGTTCCTTGTGCGATCTGAGCAATACTACGGATGTACCAGACCACTGTTGAAGTGAACTGGCTCCTTGGCACCTGGATTCAGGGGCTGGGCACTGTTGCCCAATGCAGTAAAGCAGGGTCTGGCGAGGGTCCCGAAGCCCTCGGTTCTTTAAGCAACACACACATCACGCATGGTTCAAGACAATCAATTCAAGCTTCATCTTGTGCCTCAATTGATGCAGTGCCACCTGGTTGGTCTATGCCTATTCGAGCCTGTAACTGTTGCTGTCCAACAGTACGGATCCGTAAAGAGCATTGAATTCCAGAAATGCCAATTTTCATTTCACACCCCTACTGCGGAGCTGGCTGTGGGAGCTTGGACCATCCACTATGCAGCCGGCAGCGATCTCAAACCAGTTGAGCATTTCGAGTGTCGTCTTCCAGTCGTGACAACTCGAATGCCAGAGGCTTGATATCTTGTTGTCGTCGACTCTGGACAGTTCTGCCGACCATTCTGACCAATTCTCTATCTTTTTTTTTGCCACAACAGGTAGAGCAATACGATGTCCACCGCAGACGAAAACTTGCCTTTACAGACGGCGCCCCAACGGCCGCCGCCGCCGTCGCAGGCCGAAATCGAAGCCATCTATCACAACGCCCGCCTTTCTCTCCCCGCACCTCTGCGGATCCCAATGGCTGCGGCCCTGTCTTTCTTTGCCGGATTCACCGTGGGAACCGCACAAGGAGGCAAAGCAACCGGTTTGCGCTTCCGTGCCGAGCACGCGCACAAGATGCCCACCAGCAGCACGGGTTGGTACCTGTACCACAAAAGCAAGAACTACCACATGGCCTACGGTGGGATACTCGAAGGTTTCAAGATGGGATTCCGGGTCTCTTTCTGGACCACGGCATGGTTCGCCATCGAGCAGATGTTTGACTCGTATCGCGGGACCGCCGACCTCCTCAACACGGTGACGTCCTCCGTCACGGTGGCAGGCGGCTTCAGTCTCTGGAGTATGGCCCCTGAACTCCTTCGTGTGCTGTTGGGCCTGTTGCTGACGTTGTGACTGATCATTAGATCGTTCTTCCCTCCCTATGACTGCCCGGACGACGAAAGCCGCCCTCTTTGCCGGTTTTGTTTGGGGAGGCGTCCAGGACGTCATGAGCCTAGTGAGGGGCCGCCCCGTTGGATATGTCGAATGGACAAAACGGCGCCTTGGCTTCCCGCGACAAGAGCAGCCGGGAAGTCCTTAACGGCAGGAACAAGAATTCATGAAGCGCTCGACCTGCTCCACGGGACCGCACCGGCCAACGGCACATTTGCGGGCCGAGCCCGGCCCATCGGACCCAGTCACTCTGTCCATTCAGCGTCTTGCAGAGGCCTAGACCCGGGATTGCATGATTGCGCCAAACGAGAAGCCAACAAACCCCCACACTCCGCGAGCGTTGTCAACAGGTCATCTGACCATTTCAAGGGGCCATTTGCTCGACAAGCGCCGACATCAACCGTTCTGAATCCTCGCGCAGCTCTTCAGTACCGGGATGGCCTTTTGTAAATCGAAGCGTGGTTGCGGTTTGCAATCTCTCCGGTATCCCTAAGCCGCTGTGCCCGTTTTTCGAATCTCGGAATGGCTCGACGGACCCGGAGTCTCCATTGAGCCCTCGAGAATTGACCAACCGCCGACGACGCTGCTGCACTCGGCCGCTTGGCAGGGTCCACTTTGGTTCTCACTGGGCCCTGATGGGGCTGCATTTGCGATGACGGTAGAGAGCAGGTGCTCCACTGCGCGGCTATCTGCGGTTACTTGATAAGGACGGCGATAACATCACCAAGTGACGGACAAAGGCACGTATATCGACAATCATCTTGTCGCGCACGCCACTGGGATTGGCGGGTTCTGGTACGTTCTAAGCAGAAGCTGCGGGGTGCGTTACCGGTGACGACAAGGCCCGAACAGGTCTATAATTAGGAGTTCGTCTCATCAGTTTGGCGAATTGCCGTCATCAACAACAATTCAATTTTGAACTCCTCGAGATTATATCGCCGTTGCTCTATCCTTTTGCCATCCACTTGGCTTTCTGGCCCAGGCCATCTGGATTTCGACAACTACCTTACACTTGCAACGGGAGACGCACAGCACCGGCGCCACGGCAATGGCACCGATCCCCAGGTCCCTACCTGGCATCCTCCCGCCTTGTAGGATAGCGAAGACCAAACAGCTTTTCGCGACGAACCCTACGACGATATTCTTCGCTTCCGCCACGCATGGCCCTCCCTCACACTCAGAAGCAGTTTCTCGAACAACAAAAAGATCGACATCAACAACGACGTCAACCCGGTCATTGCACTCGTCCTCCAACCAATCATCGCCGTCCGGGAATCTTTCATTCAATGGCGCTGTCGACCTATCACCTTCTGCAGCAGCAACCAAGCACCGCACAGTCAACATGGCAAAGCTAGCGCCGCTGGCTGTCCTGCCACTCACCAATGTCCTTCGTTCATTGATGACAACGACTGTCTCATCGTCATCTCTTCTACTTCCGCCTTCCCTTGCCGCCATGTCCCTCCTAGCCAACACCACAAACCCGGCACTCAACCCGGACCGGAATCCAATTCTCCGATCCATTCTCAAGAGGACCTTCTACGCCCAGTTCTGCGCCGGCGAAAATGCGCCTGAAGTCCGGCAAACCATCGATTCGCTCAAGAAGATCGGGTTCGCCGGAGTCATCTTGGGCTACGCCAGGGAGGTTGTTCTTACAGACGCGCAGAGGAAGGACCTCGAGTCATGCCGGTCTGGTGCCTCGGCGGAGGAGTGTGTGCGGACAGAGATCACACCCTGGGCCAACGGGACCTTAGAGACGGTGCAACTCGCCTCACCCGGCGACTTTGTCGCCCTGAAGTTCACGGGTGCCGGTAGACAGGCTCTCCACGCCCTCTCCCAACGCCTGCCGCCCTCCGAGGCCTTGGAATCCGCTATCGACGGAATCTGCCAACTGGCCGCGTCGCGCGGCGTGCGCCTCCTCTTCGACGCCGAGCAGCAGGCCCTCCAGCCGGGCATTGACGACTGGTCGCTTGAGTACATGCGCAAATACAACATGCCGGACCGCGCAGTTGTCTATGGGACATATCAGGCGTATTTGAAGTCGACACCCAGAACTCTTGCTCGTCACCTCGCGGGCGCCCGCGAGGGCGGGTTTGCGCTGGGCGTCAAGCTCGTCCGCGGCGCATATCTCGGTTCCGACCCGCGGCATCTGATTCACGACACCAAGGCCGACACGGACGTGTGTTATGACGGTATTGCGGAGGCCCTGCTGCGCCGGCAGTGGAATTCCCAGCTCAAGCCGCTGAGCGAGGCAGAGGAAACATCCGCGTTTCCCAACGTCAGCTTGGTCCTGGCCACGCACAACCGCGAGTCGGTGCTCAAGGCGCAGGCAATCCTCTCCGAGACGGAAGCCGACAGGGATGTCGCGTTTGCCCAGCTGCAGGGTATGGCGGACGAAGTCAGCTGCGAGCTGGTTATGAGCGGCCGTGATGGGAAGACTCCCCGTGTCTACAAGTACCTTGTTTGGGGGTCGACGGGCGAGTGCATGAAGTACCTTCTGCGGCGGGCGCACGAGAACCGGGATGCGGTGCAACGGACTCGGGCCGGGCGGCATGCCATGCGGGCGGAACTATTTCGGCGGGTTAAAAGCCTCTTTGAGGGGCTGGCAAAGTGAAAGCGCGGGGTCGGTTTGGCGTTCAGGGAACTAAGGGGTGTTGGCGCTTAGAGGCGGTGCCATTTGCATGATTATGATAGTTGACCAAGCGATGCATTTGCGTACACACATTTACAATAGGTTAAGCGAGAGTAAGGAGCATGTTTGACTTCACGGACCCGTGGATCTCAACCAATTTCGAGACCCGTGCGCGACCATATACGTCGTGCCCATTTTGGTCCCTGCACGGTGATCACTGCACGGTGATCAGCGGCAGAGTGAGAAGACGACGAGGATGTAGCCTTACTGCCCACGTGGCATTGATACAACTGTCAAGTTGACCCTTAACCCCCTTGTTCCTGAAGGATGACCGCTGGGCATGCCCCGATACCAGCCCGTGACAAAGACAGCTTTTCACACGACCGGGGGAGCCACGGCAATCCCGTCCATCGCTCCTACAGCCCCGCTACGACTCAAGACAACCACTCTTCAACTTGGGCTAGAACCCGAGCCGTGTCCATGTATAATCATGTCCTCGTCGATGCCACGGTGGGTATCTCCTTGCCCGTCGTCCGGGCTTGCTCTTTGGCCGTCCTCCTCCCCACATGCCTATTCCTGGGCCTGGTGATATTCAATCCACATGCACCGGGCGTGTCCACAAATCCAACTTCTCTTCCTTGTAATCGTAAATGTCGAAATTCGCTACCATCATAAACCCCGCAACGCCATGCCCATGATGGCCAAGCTCTCCATTTGTCTCCTCCTCTCGTGCTCGTCGGCCAGCCGGTCCAGCGCCGGCACCCCGTTCAGCCGGTAGTATTTGCGCACTTTGGGCCAGTCGGTGGCTTGGGTAAGCTCGGCGTCTGTCAGCGGCGCTGGTGTCCCCTGGACGTGTTGCCTCAGGTGGTCACAGATAGCTTGTTGTTGTTGTTGTTGTTGTGTCGTGGCTTCATCTTGGTCTTGCGCCGTGAATTGTCGAGGGGAAACGACTTTGATCACGATCAGGTCTTTTGTCTTGCCAGGTGTTATGCCCCATCTTCGGTAGGCGTCTGCGATCTGCGGAAAGGGTTTAGTTAGCGCGGGGCCTCGTATGAGAGGTGATGAGCGGATGGTAAAGGGGAAGGTTTACATTGTTATTCGTGTTGAAGGACACGACAATCTCGGAGTGGACGTTGGGTGTCCGCAAGGTCCCGTCCAATGAGACATTGACTGCACTGTAGACGGCTGAGAGGAGATGCAGCCGGGAAATAACCGACGACGCGTCGATAAAGGCGTACTCAAACTCGCTGTTTCGGGAGAGTAGTTGTTGTTGGAGGAACTCGGTATTGGCCACGTCGCGGAACAATGCGCCGTAGATGTGGTATGTCGAAGGGACATGCTCCAGCTCGAGCTTCTCGAGAGCCATAGCTTCAGGTTTGTGGCCCTGCTGGATGAGGCGGGGTTGGACCGGCCTTTGATGCTTTTCTTTCCTTGCCGACGGACTGTGATACGTGAGTAAACCTGACGGACGATGCTTGTGGCGTCGGCTTTCTAGATCGCAGAGAGAAGCTAGAAACGCGATTATCACTGGAAGCGCGGTGTAGCAAGTTCGCGATGTTGATTAGAAGGGGGTAACTACCGGGTTGGCAGGAAAGCGAGGGGTCGGCCCGCTATGACCTCGGTGGAGAGCCACGAGTGCGTGGGCTCCAAACCAATTCGGCATTGTGTACATTGTAGAATGGAATGTTACGAACGGAAACTTTCAGCATCGGAGGCTTGCAATGGAATGGCAGCCTCAGTTTGAATGGGAGTTACGATGGGAATATACTTCACAAGTGTATGGCCAAGTCTGCCTCTTCTCGACCTCAAAAGTCAGTGGGTATCGAACATGCAACAGCCTACTTTACCAGAAGTGTCGGCATTGGCTTTGCAATAACGGAGCGTCGCACTGTGTTTAGCTTGCGGGTCTCAATCTTTTGAACCCTGTCTGGCGGAAAGAAGTCCCGACATTCTGGACCGCGGCACGCTCAGCAGGAAGCTTGGCTGCAGGACCTTGTTATCTCGAGAATCTGGGGACGGCGGCAATCTCCATCCTTTCTCAAGTCCCGTCGCTCAACCATCGGCAAACCCCGTACAGGCATTCCGGTCCTCGAGCTCCGGCCAAGCAAGGTACGGGTGAGTCTCCCACGCGCGTTGTGCATTGTACTTGTACCGATACGTTGGACCGGTGCAGCGACAAAAAAAAGGTCAAGGGTTATCCCCTTTTGTCGCCTCGACGCCCGAGTTGGCGAAACACAGCATCAAGCCCCGAATTTCCAAGTGTGCACCGAGAGCTGCCGGTCGCCGAAACACTGCCCTACCTACTTTGACCCAGGCGGGCAGCTACCATGCCTCAAGCCCGCCCACTCAAGCGGCCCAGCGACGCCGACGATGTTCCAGTCGACACGGGCTCCGCGCCCAAGGTGAAACTGGCGCGTCTCGAGCGTGGACCCGAGGACTTCTCGAACGTGGTCAAGACCAAATTGCAGTCGTACACGCGAACAGGACAGGCATGCGATCGGTGCAAGGTGCGTCGCCTGCCATTCTGCATAGCATTGGCCATTGGGATTCGACCCGGTAATACTAACGGTCGGGTCTTTTTTTAGGTGCGCAAGATTCGCTGCGATGCCCTCCCAGAAGGTTGCTCCCATTGCGTGACCCAGAACCTTGAGTGTTATGTCACGGATCGCGTCACCGGCCGCACCGAGCGGAGAGGCTACTTACAACAGCTCGAGCGCGAAAAGGGCGCCATGCTTGTCCATATCCGCGAGCTTGAGAAACTGCTCGAGAACAACGGCATTGAAGTTAGGCCTTGGCAGTGGCCTGGATACATCACCACATACCCGCCTGGCGTCACGTTCGATGCCCTGGGCAACCCCATTCAAGATTCGGCTTCCAAAGAGCAATGGCAGCAGGTCGGCCTGGTATGGGCCAAGAATGGGGGCCGCCCGAAGCTGTCGTCGAGCAGCAGCGCTCCCGCGCCATGGTCACTGCCCGCCTCTCGACCCAAGGACAGTTATTTGGGCGTGTCGGCGGATAGCGCGCCTCTCAGCTCCATCAAGGGCACAACGCTGTCCATCCTCGGAACTACCATCGACATCACCTCGTTTGACGCCCCGGATATGGACGAGCCTCCCCCTGGAACGCCCATCGGCTCGCCACTCTACAACAAGTCGGTCATGTCCTTCTTCCAGTCCTGCCTCAACATCAATCCTCCACTGGGCAACGTCGAGCTGCCCGCCAAGCAGGATGCATTTAGATATGCCGAATGGTACTTCCTCATGATCTCGCCCTTCCTTCCTATCCTGCACAAGCCGTCCTTCTTCCAGCTCGTAGGTTGTCCCTTGCTATCCCATCCATCACCCCAACCTGGCGCTGATCCGCCCACAGTTGACACGCATCTACGACGACCCGACCTTCAAACCCACCGTGCCGGAGCTCGTGCTCGTACACATGGTCTTCGCCAGCATCTACTTCCAATACGGCATCCGAAACCGAGAGGAGCCCGAAAAGTACGCGCAGCTCAACGACCTGTCCAACAAGCATTACCATTGGAGTTTAAGCAAGTTCTTTGATCTCGCCGCTTCCCAGACGGTGACGGCTGTCCAGGCCCTGGCCATGATTGTCTCCCATACCCGCAACTTTCCCAAGCCTGGTTGCTCCTGGATCATTGCCAGCTACGCCTTTGTGCGGGCCATCGAGCTGAACCTGCACCGGGCTGTCCATATCCCCGGCGGCGGCACAACCCTGGACTATGAGGTGCGCAAAAGGGTCTGGTGGGCCATCCTCGGAATCTTGTGTACCCTCAACGGCCGCCTCGGCAAGCCAATGCCCATCTCGCCGGAAGAGTATGACGTTGAGTTCCCCATCGCCATCAACGACGAGTACCTTGGGGAAGAAGGAATTTTGGATCCGTCCAAGGTCGGCCATTGCACTTACCACGTCGGCCTGATGGGATTCAAAGTTACGCCTCTCTTCATGGAAATGTATTCCAAGATTTACGGTGTGCGGCGGGATCCCAGCAAATACGTTCAAGTGGTCACTCATCTTGAGGAAGCCCTGCGCGATCTTACCGACAACTTGCCTGACGAGCTCAGAGTCGAGAAGTGCCAGCCAACAAACCAGATGTTCGCGCTTTATACACAAGCATTTTGTCTCGAACTTAGCCTGTGTCTCCGACACCCGTCTGTTTGCCCGACGGATGATCCCAAAATCTGTGCTGAAAACACCAGGATTTGTGAAGACACGGCGCGGAAGCTCCTCAAAGTAGTTGGGTCCCTGGTTAAGATGAAATCTTTGGACACTACCTGGTACCAACTGGCCGTCTATGTGGCTGCCATATTCTCATCACTCGTGGCGCACTGGCAGCGGCGATATGAAACGACAGCGTACGAGGTCGCCAACCTTCGGGAAGAGATGTCTCAATGGCTAAATATCATCTCTGAGATCGGGAAACTGCTTGGTAAGTTAGGCCCCAAGGCCCGTACAGACTCATTGGTGGGGGATACTGACACCCCAGCAAGGCACCGGCAACCGGCTTGCTACCGAGATTGGGACCATCATTCAGAGAACAATATCCTGGATTGAGCAGGACATGGGCCGGAAGCCCGCCTCGCCGGCTGTCCAGCATTCCATGAAGCAGCAATCCCCGTCATCGTATCAGCAATCATTAACCAGCGCAAAGCAGCAGCCAGACAACGCGCTCATCCCCAGCAGCGCAGGGACGACGGCGGCCGAGCAACGAGACGCCGGTGCGACAAACGGCAGCACCTACTACGACTCGGGGGTGGCGGCCCCGACCGCGCAATATTCGGCGCTCAGCTACAGTGACCAGTCCGCCAACGTGAACCACAACGGGAACGGAACGGGCCGATCGACCGACGGGGCACAGTATATCTATGCTGCAGCGTCAGCTGCTACGGCAGCGACCGCGTCAAACAATGCGTCGACGATGGAACAGGCTGCGGCGAGGGCGGCGCAGAATCCGCTGATTGCCTTTGCCTCGCAAGCGACGCAGCATGTCGCGGGGCAGGCGGCGGCGGAAAACTGGCCGGCGCAAACGCAGCTCATGACGGCGGCGCACAACGCGGCTACTGCGCCGGCCAACACGTGGCAAGACTGGACCAATGCCATCCAGGACACGCAGGATCGGTACAGCGCCAACGCCCTGCTCACGCTCAACGCCGGGCGACCGGGCGATGTCGGCGCGGGCGGAGTGGTCGACCATGTCGGCCAGGGAGGAGAGCCCATGGGCACCTCGCATACGGGGCAGTGGCCGTTACTGTTGTTTCACGACGGCACTGGAGGCGTGAGCGGTGCTTGATATCATCAGCGCTCGTTTTTTCTACGTTTCATGTTCGCGCTTTTCCAATCTGCATTTCTCGAGGATTGGTTGATACCATGGCATATGAATCCTTCTCTCTTTCAGGCAAAACAACGGGCTTTTTATATGTTGGAGACATTGTTGTCCTGCCTGTACGTTGATAGTTTCGTGGGCTTCTTGGTTGGCTGGGAGGTGGTAAGGGAGTTTCAGGGGTCAGGGGACAGGGCAGGGAAGACAATCTGGCATCTGGCTGGCTCCATTCAGTTTGGTGTCTATACAGTTGGGGGGCCTACTTCCCCGAATATACCTAACCTCACTTACCTGTGTCCTGGGCAACTTGGACATAAATCTACAGACTAATTATCCCACCACACCGTTGTTTGGTTTCTCTTCGAAGGTAATTTCTTAGTAGCCTGCCAATGGCGCTGGAAGAATAACGACAGGATTTGGAGTAACTAGACGTGTGGACCCAACAGCGGAATCGACCCCACAATGGAATTTTGGCACCACCATCACCACCATAATAAAAGACATCTAGCTCATCCAATTTGCAAGCAATCTACACACAAATCTGATGGTTCTACTTGTTGGATTTGGCAGGTGGTCAGAGAGGGCAGTTCAGGGGTGACCAATGGCTTGGCACCAGGATTCTCAGGATCAGGAACAGGCAGGGAACTTCT